CTAACATCTTTCTGTGACCGCAGCTCTACCGCTGTATCTATGTATGCGAAAGCACACTAAAACCTTTATTCAAGCTTAATTTTTGTAATCACAGGCTTACATTTTTGCTTAAGACTGGTATTCACTAAAGGACAAATTATCCGTGTCTCTACATTATTTTACATACACGTGTTGTGGAACATTGCCCCCAATAAATGCCGGTTCCACGCTGCATACACTTACATCTTCACTCAAAACCACGTACCCTCTCTGTAGGCAAATGTGACCAGCCCTTCAGTTTGCTTTGTAACACACGTTCAGTCCCTATTATTATGATTAGTTATCAACTTCTCGTGAATGTTGGGCCCAAATTCATAATTACAAGGCACCGCTTCAGACTAGGTGTGTAATAATTGATATTTGCTTAATTATTGTTTCATCGACTTACAAGTGGGATCGTCGCTTTTGTGATGTTCAACTATCAGTATAATATTTTACATAGTTTAGACAAGGTTACCTATAGCGGATAAAGATAATAAGTAATGACCTTTATTATTTTTATAGCTATTATTGTGGTTCACAAATCAATTGATTATTTAATGTATTGGTTTTCAGGACTAAATTATTTTTTTAGTTAGTATATTACGACAATAACCAATAATTCGTCAGCTTTAATGAGTCTTTTATTGGAACGCTAGTCGAAGCATAAAAATATGCATTGCGGTCGAGGGATCGATCTATTTGTACCTACCGAGTGATGTGTCGACTCCCGAACGCGGCCCCAGAAAGCTTTTAATAAAATATTGTTACCTCATGGTAAAACCTAATTTGCCGCTCTCCGCCTCCGTTCTAGAGGATTTACAATCTTTACGAAGCTTGCCAATGGTGGAACAACACAAATCTTCGATTACCATGGTTGTTGAGATTTACTTTAGCGAGTATAAAATATCTAACTAACAATCAAATACTACACGTCGAATGAATGAATGAAACTACGAGTCGTATGAATGTAAAATGTATTATTGTTTATTACTGCAATCATGCCTACAAGTAATTATTTTAATAAGCAAACGTAAACTAAATCGGATTTTATTTCAGTGGTGTAAACAAATACTGTATTTTCGGGCTCGTTATTTTAAAGTTGTTATAATTTTACGATATTGAACCCAAAATAGTATTCCAAATGCAAAACGGGCTGTGCTGTAATTTTACTGAAATAAAGTCAAATTTAGCGATTCACAATTGGGTGGATTTAAGTGTTAATTAATGTAACACCGCAAAATTTTGACTCATGAGGTATTGATAGATTAGCAACGATTTTCTAAAATTAGCCGAATGCTTCAATCGTCAAGTATCGATCGCATTTGAAGTAATTTGACGTTTAACTTAAATCTGAAAGTATAGTTTTTAATTGACATTTGTGTCAAAATTAGAGGTAGTGTATGTTTAGAGTGCATTATCGCAAGACGCGTAGGTGAAAATAAAAATGGTTAAAATATACTATGATTAAATTGATTAAATTGAGCGGTGCTATTTCAAGATTGAAATAACACCGCTCAATTTAATCAGTATGCGTTTTTTAACAGGCATCGTTATTAAATTAAGAACATGGCACGATTAAAGAATATGATTTATCTTTTCTACAGTGGCTCTTAGCCCAGGACAGGACTAGGTAATCCGAGGCTATCTCTATGTTAATGATCCGGACGTTTATGTAAAAGATGTAATCTGAGGCAATAAACGTTTACATGTAAATATTCGTAAGGCTATGCGTATACTGCAAGCCAGCGGCGTGCATCGATTGCACTGAATACAGCTCTACAGATGTAAACAGACAGTTGTGGGTGGTGTAGTATAATAATTTTCAGAAACTCTCAATTTGGATAATGAAGCATTTAAGAAATTATGTTCTATTGCTATAAGGTCTAGTATTCAACAGAAAAACTATTAACTTCAGACAATTCTTCTGAATTTTAGCAATATTGGCAGAGTTTCTTGCGTTATTTTTTGTTCCCAGCACTAACTTAACTGAAATGTTTATCAAATCACTGGTAGGATAAAAATATTAAAAAACATCTAACAGGCAACATTAAAACATTTTTATTGTATTTGTTGTTTTTGTAATTATAATCAAAAAGCTTTATTTACTTTGACTTGGTGATCCTAGTTATTATCTATTCCTTGAGGTAGGTACGTATCTAAAATAATCGCAAGCAGTGCCAATCTTGCGTTTGATGAATTTCAAACATGCAATAAATTCATGCTCATTGAAATGCATTCCTTGACCAAGCCCTATGCTCGGCCTAAATTGTTCGGAGTTAACGTCATCAAATGGCAACATTATCATTTTCATATTGAAACTATTGAGTAATGTTTGTTTTTTAATCAAGATCTATATGACTTGGGATCATTAGAGAAGCAAATAGTCGTGTAATAGGCGTTTATTCGCAGATAACTGTGAATACTTAGTACTTTTTAATAGCTTGATGTGCTGTTTTCATTTAATCATAGGTACTTATTAGGTATTAAAAACACGTGTCTATAAATTCGAATCAAATTATATCATACATCCATTTGATTACTTCATTTATTTTGCTAATAACTTACTTAGTTGTGATAGAGAAATAAAAACTAAACAACACCCTCCAAGACAAATCCAAACTGTACCCAAGATGGGAGACGTCGTGCTAAGACTATATTTGAATACTTAAAAAAGTTACCAAAAATTGAGCCGTGAGCGCGATGGAGACTATTAAGCACTTCTGTTCGTGGTGACCGAGTAAGGGTTGTCAAATCTCAGTTAGTTACACAAAATATGAAGCTAGTTTACTTAACGTAGTATCAGATGCGATTCCTATTTGAGATAATTTGAGAAGTAGGTAGGTAGGTATTGATGCTCGTTTTCTATTTTTAAGCTCGTGCCATTAATTTCACTGCACTTTAACATCCAACGCACAATTCACAATGTTAATGTGGGGGCGTACGCCAGGTAGTCTGAAATTTAATTTGGACTGGAAAAATCTATTCTGCACTTTTTCTCTCTTTGTGCAAAAGTTCACACAAAATGACGATAATTTGTTTTTAATTTTAATTAATAGTTGATTGCTCTGTTTTGCCCTGGTTAGAAAAAAGCATAGATCCGAGTTACCTATTACCTTATGAAATATCAGAATCCGTACTCAGTACTTAGTTTTGATGTTACTCAATAATACCCATTAAACAAACAATAAGGAAAAGGAACCGAGCCACCCCTGAAGACGACAGCAGAAGTTTGCACCGTCGCGGCCGTATGCGCAAACTCTAAACTTAATACGGCTATTTAGTATACAGAGATAAGTATATCACGTACTAGGCCCGTCTGCGGCGCGAGCTGTGGAATTTTAAATACGGAAAGGTGTTTCTGAAAATGTTTGTTCTTGAAAAAAAGAGGATTCCTTCCGCGAAACGACAGCTTTTTCTTTTATTGTCGATTTATGCAAACTTAGACACGTGATCGTATGACACGGCGTTCCTGTAAAATTGTATGACATTGTTATGCTCGTTGTTAGTACAATGGCTGTAGTAAAAATGTAATGGCTTGATAAAGTGCGTAATTTTCTGTGTTATAGAGGTGTATCTGCAGCGGATGCTTCTGATATGCCTACTTTTCTTATGCATAACAGTAGAGTCAGAATCTTGTCTTGGCTCTATGGTCAGTAAGCCCTGCGGTGTAGCAGATGAAATAGCACAAAAGCACAACCTCAAAAATTTTACATTTCTTATAGATTTAAGTATACCTACATAAGTACATAAATGTATATGTACAATTGTACATTTAGTAAAAAATAAATAAGAAATCGGTTTTAAAGGGTTAGAGTAAAACTCTACCAAATTCGCTTTTTGGTAAATAATTCATCACCAATTAAGCGTCTGAATTGAAATCCAGATCCAATCTAATAAACATGTGTAATCCCCAATAATTGGACTGAATTCCACCCTGTAAAACCTCGTCTGTTTTAAAATAACAATTAGTAAAACTTTGAATTTTCAACAGTTGCGAGCAAGTTAACTCCAAAGTAAGATTACCTACCAGCGTGGGTATTGTTCAAATAAACGTCCTACTCTTTAAATGTTCGCTTGAATCTTTGCCGCACTGCAACTGTAACTTCTTGTTCGTCGTCTGCATCACAACTTCGAATAACTTCATACTAACTTAAACATTGGCTAGGCAGGAATAGTTCTATTGGCAACGCGAAACTTAATCAAAACATATTTGACGCTGCTAGCGCCATCTAGCTGGTTAGCGCCGTACTGAACCGGATTGAATAAAGCAGACACTAACTTCAAAAAGCACGTGCTCTACCTGTAAGCTCAGTTCCACAAGTCTGTCGTAGATGGCATTAAGAGTATTGAATTCGAGAACTTATTTTACTTTAAAGTACTTTGGTAAACACTAATAATTCAGAAGAGGGATTTTATGATAATTTTATAATGCCTTCTATGATGACTTCATAACGTCAATGAAATATAGATTTAAAACAGTTCAGTTCCATAACTCTGTGATAGATGGCATTACAGGTATCTGATGTAGAGTCAAGAAGAACCTTTTCACTAAAGTTAAGAAACTTGATCATTTTGTTTCACTCTCAAGTTATTTAATTACCTTTATAAATAAACTAAATATTGTGGCAAAAATAATGAGTAATTCTGCAAAACATAGATTTTGCTGAACATAATTGTGAAAATGATTACAAACGCTTCAGCCACAGATGGAGCCACAATTATAAAATGTAGAGCTCAAACTCTTTCTAGCTTTTTGTTAAGTATCAGGTAGGTGGTAAAATATGACTTTTTGGGTAAAAGATTTTAGTAACTCCTTATTACATCGACGAAACATTTTAGATATACTTAAAGTATTAAAGTGGGTATCAGATTCGTAATTATAAAAAAAATTGTGAAATAATATATCCTTCTAGTTGCTTTATTAAAATTTTTACGCCTGACTCTTCACTTTAATAACATTTATTTTCTATTGTCTACAGAAGCATGTGGTGCAGACGATTTCCGCTGCGACAACGGCAAATGCATAGAAGCAGCGCGGCGATGCGACCACATCATCGACTGTCCTAATGAAGAGGACGAACGAAATTGTGGTGGGTAAAATATTTCATCATCGTCATTGTGGCTGACACAGGACGACTACTGCTCAACATAGGCCTCCCCCAATGATTTCTATATTGTCCTGATAGTTGCATCCAACGCCTTCCAGCTACCTCTACAAGGTCTTCGGTCCACCTTGTGGGTGGACAGTAAAATATTTGTTGTTATCAAATTAAACCTTGGTTTGTAATTGATATATTAACTAACCACCAATATATCATATTAACATCAAATCAAATTACGGTAAACCGCAGTACATCATATCCACTAAAATGTTTATCGATAGTTTGTGGTTACACTAGGTACTTACCTCTAATGAAAATTAAATTATTTGAAATAACTACGTAATGAGATAAACATTCTGAATTGGTGGTTTATGAAGTGCAATCCTAGAGTTTTGATTTACAGGGTTTTGTTTTTTTTCGTTGATGATTTTTCTACTGTATATCCCCTAACTAAAATATGTAATTTCTTTGAAATTCTTTCGCCAAAATTAATCATCATCATCATCAACAGCCCTTTACAGTCCACTGCTGGACTATGAGCCTCCTCCACTATAGTGGAGGGTTTTGCCATAATCTCCACGCTTGGCAGGCGGGTTGGAGATCGCAGTTTAAAAGATTGATGTTTTTCAGAGAGCGCTGCTGCCCATTCTCTGTTTGATGTAGTCCCTAAGTCGCCTCTTACAAAATTAATCAAATGAATTTAAATAAGTGTATTTTAATTATTTATTTAGAATGTCGAGACGGCGAGTTCCAATGCCGCAGCGACGGATCTTGTATCGAGGGCAGGAAGCGCTGTGATGGCGTCAACCACTGCAGGGACAGTTCCGACGAACTCAACTGTGGTATGTATTCGGACCTACCTACTCTCGTTGATTTGAAACCAGTTCTCTAGACCAGTTTTTAATTAACTCATATGCTGAGAACCACTAAAATGAGCATATATTTTGGGCACGGAAATTATCAACAGGTCTAGTAGACATTTTGATTTTTTTTCGCGATTTCTACATTACTACAAGTAGTCACTGAAAAAAACTACATACTTAATATTATGCTCTTTATCTAGAGAACTTGTATCATAATGACATACTAACACAACTAAAACTGACATACCTGCATTGCCCACACATGCTTCTTCATTGGATTTAATACGGTAAGCCGCAAGACTCAGTGCCAATCGCACCAGATGGGCGGGTTTACTCGTCTGTGAAAGCAGTGGTCAGTTTCGATGCAGTGACGGCTCTTGTATATCTATATTGCTTCGCTGCGATGGGTTTCGTGACTGTCCAAAAACTGGCAACGATGAAATTGGATGTCGTAAGTAGCGGTCTTATCATAAAAGTAGTTTGGGATCGATCAATAAACGAACACTTTATTACCGTTAAGAGTAATTTATCAACATTTTTGAGTTAACACAATTATTGTATCTCCAGATTTTTAAATGTCTTTAAGTAGTTATTAATCAATCCAAAACTATGCTGATTTGTTCTTTTACTACTAACACAGACGCTCACTAACATTTTGATTCAAAAGCATGCTATCCGGATCAATGGCAATGTGATTTTGGCAATTGCATCTCAAGAAGCAAACGATGCGATGGCCACGTTGACTGTCCCACCGACAGATCAGATGAGAGACACTGCGTTGGTAAGATCAAAATAAGAAGTAAGGTTTTCTATTAAAACATAATTACATAATTTATGAACACAAAATTCCATGTCTAAAGCTCAATTCAATTCCCAATATAAAATAAGGGCACTATTATAGAAGGCACTTAAAATTAACGAGGTCACCTTTTTGGTTTGCACGTAAGACAATTAAGGTTATTGAATTTAAAATTCCACTCACATTTGGGAAATTACACTGGTACATCACTACATCCTTAGTTTTGCATGTTTTCCAGCCAATGGAAAGTTTAGATGCAGAACTGGCAAGTTAATACCTGAATATCTAAGATGCAACCGCCGTTACGATTGCCCACATGGGGACTATTCCGACGAACAAAATTGTCGTAAGTTCAACACTGATTCCCGAGTCTTTGTTTCGTCATTGGCTTTTATCTTTTCATCTCTTTTATCTTCAGATCTTCTTTGCATTTCTTGTACTTCTCCGCTACTTTTGTCTCGTTCTTTCTGTTTCTTTACTGATGTTCTGATGTTTGAAGTTTTGTCTTTTGTTCTAAAAATTTTCGCTCTATAATTTTCTTCTATGAACTCATACTGAAATATTTCATACTTGAAATATCCAAAACTCATTCAAAATGTTTATTTTCTAAAACAGCATGTGGTGACGGCGACTTCCAATGCGATAACGGCAACTGCATACCTGCATCAAAGCATTGTGACCGAACGCATGATTGTCAGGATGGTTCAGACGAACGAGATTGTATTTACGGTTTGATCTTCTTAACTGAAAATTTTTAAACTTTAATTTGCCAATTTCTCTTAGAGGTGGTGGCGTTTGCACAGTACCCCACTTGTTTAGCATGGTTACTGAAAACTAATTGATTTGATTAAAAATGCTTGTTAATAAATAGTACCTTACCACACTCACGAGATATCACAAATGTAAGGCTTTTAAGGCAACTAGATAATAATTGCAAAGTTCATGTAGATATTTAAACATTTTAAAGCTACATTATTTTTTCGTTTTACATTTAAAACTATCTATAAATTTCAAAATGTCTACTCATGTCTAAATTATATAAAATTATTATTCCGAACATTTTGAAGTTTATGGATGCACTTCACTCAATTTTATTTTGTATATTACTAGTGAGGGATTGTTGTTTATTTAAATGAAATACAAACAAATAACACTACTCAACCCGATTACCTACTATAAAATTCAACTCGACAAACTAATCATTAATAAAAAATATAAAGTATATCCCTGGCTAGTTTGTGTAAATTTACGGTTATGGTAAATTATGTTATGGCAGGCACAGTATGCATGGCTTTTCAATATAAATGCACGAGCGGACAATGCGTACCGGCTGAATCGGTCTGCAATGGGACCAAGGAGTGCAGCGACTGGTCTGATGAAAAAGACTGCCCTTGTAAACGAGGTCAATTCCCGTGTAGGGACGGTTCATGCATTAATATAGCACTAAGATGCAACGGCCACATCGACTGCCACCCGAACGGCGAGGACGAGTTCAACTGCGGTAAGTGATACGGGGTTTGGAATCAGATACGCTTCATGTGAGCTTCAATACCGCACTTCGTTCATACATTAATCGTCTTTGGTGTTTGCTATCCAGGGTATTGCCCAAGCCAACATTACTGGCAGTGTGCGGATGGTAGCTGTATACCACATACGAAACGTTGTGATGGTCGCTCCGATTGTCTCGATCACTCTGATGAGAGAAAGTGTGTCACCCCAAAACCGTTGAGCAAAGGTTCAGGATCATTTATCAGGGTCACCACCTGCATGCTCGTTCATCCTTCGCATGATCACTTCGTTTTGTTTTTCGACCGATTAGTTCTGTATCGCATGAATTAGCTTTTGTCTTTGGTATGTCTTCGTTGTTTCGTTGGATTCAAGTTGTAGTTCATTTTCTTCGTTTGTATCAATAAAAAATATTATCTGCTGTGGGAAAATACGTAGTCTTGAAATTCTTTACGTAATTTATTTGCTAGAAATGAGGATAAAATCTATTTTATTTTGATAATGTTAAACTAAACTTTGTATTGAAGTAGAAAGGTCGAAGTGTTAATCGCAACCGGGGATCAGTCTGTTTTGGTCAGAAATGAACATATTTGGTGATTTGCAGTTCCAACGTCGCCGTGCCCTGATGATAGCTTCACTTGCCCCTCTGGGTCCAGCCGGCCTTGTGCTAGACGTTGCGATGGAGAGATCGAATGCGACGGGGGCGAGGACGAGGAAGATTGCGCAAGTAAATAAAAACCTTTTATGCGGATACACACGATCGAACTAATTTTAGGAACATCTTTACAATGAATGCTTGGTTATTTCAACTACCATCACAAATAATAGTAAATCGTCTTCTTTAGTGAATTGGGGACGCCTTCATAAACTACTACTTGACCAGTAATGACAGTAAAACAACTAAGAAATAAATAATGTAATAGAGCCACTATTCAACGGTTAAGCCTATTAGTTTGATCGTTCGTGTGTCGGATATACCTACCTATACTTGGCTTTTCTGTGCATAAACTATCAATATTATCAGAGTAAATACTTTTCGGCGCAACACCCCGCTAATCCACGCTAAATTTTGTCAGTGTGTGCGTGCGCATTGGCGCGCTCACATACAAACCGCGCTCGGTGCGTTTCTATGAAGATGACCTACTCATTTGTATTTACTCTGATATTATTGTACAATTTAAGCAAGAGTTCATCAGTTACCAAAAAACTGTTTTAACTTTGTCTATCCCTTTGTAAACTGGACCTTTATTTCGTCAGTAAATAGTTACCTACTATGCAAATAAAAAGTCTATAAGTTTTAATTTAAGTTTAATTTAATTATGGAAAGCTATTAAAGTGTATTTACAATGTGCAAATATTGTTCTAAGAAAGTCTGTGCGAATGTATTAATCTGCAGTGCGATGGTTTATTAACGGATTTCACAATGCTACTCGTATTTGAAATTATTGCGAGCTAGCGAATTTTATGTGTGTTATTGTGATGTTAAGTAAATTGTATTGTTTCAAGCTTGCGGTCACGAGTGCGATGGAATTTGCCTGGACGATCAGAAGATCTGCAACGGCTACTCTGACTGCTCCGACGGCAGTGATGAGCTGAACTGTGACCACTGTGACGGGCCTGACGATTTCAGGTAACTTGAGATGACTGGGCTAATTTCTATCGACCTACAAATAAGAACGCTTTGAAACACGTATAGAGTATTATGCTTTATAAGCGAAATGTTCAGTCTACGCGAATGTCGCCCTGCGATTTATATTTTAATTAAGGTGTCCTGCGAATTTTTCTTTTATCTACAGGTCTGGTTAACAAGGTAACATTTTGTTGTAGATGTAACAGCGGGGAATGCATTAACGCTGTGCAGCACTGCAATGGCATATTCGAATGTCCCGATGAAAGTGATGAGCTGTACTGCAACTCAACTATGCTATCGAAGCCAGGTAATAATTAATTTAAAAGCCAGACAATTTATTAAAATTTTAATATCAAACAACTTCAGTAACTCTTTAGTTTGACATCTCCCATTATCTGTACAATTTCAAAATAACATGGACATTATTTGGCAGTAGTATAACTTTTCAATTGCTTCTTTTTTATAAGGAACCGGATCTTTCGGAGACGGACTTACCGATTACCACTATCACTGAAAAAGGAAAAAATAAAGTCTGAAGTTTTAAAATCCACACAAATAACAAAAAATTTGAACCTAATATACCTACTTGTATAACATGGTTACTGTGGACTGTCATAAAACTTGAACAAAGTTTAGAATTCTGGAGCTACGAGTATACATAGATAATGTATTTATAAGAGTAAATATAAAAAATACCATGTTTGCAAAATGCTTAACTTTTCTGCTTCAGGTGACTGTTCTGCAGACGAATTCCAGTGCCGAGATGGTACTTGCATCAATAGTTCTTTCTATTGCGACGGCGGAAACGACTGCATCGATAACTCCGATGAAGAGAACTGTCGTAAGTATTTACTGACGAATTATTAACTTAGCAGAAAATGCAATCATATGTATTACCACAACTAGCTTACAAGTGAGGACCGATTAGTGGCATAGCAACGTCAGTCATTAAAAATTATGCTATCGAAATTAAATATCTAAAAAATTCATAGAAATTTTCAAAAAGGAAAATTGGATTAGCTAACTCACTATCTGCGTTGGTAAGCCACTTATCAAACCCTCTGTTTCTGATGACTACATTTATAAGTTTGTTGTCTCTGCGAGCACAGAGCACTTAAGCTTTAGCAATACAATTAAAAAGCACAAAATTGTCTACACGTGAATGGAACTTTAAAGCGCACAATATTTGACACATTTGAATCGGCACCAAAATTTTACTTGCACCTAGATCTTTCACATATAAAGTTATTAAATTAATAATTTAGTTTGAAATCATTGGCACTCTTAAATCTTGTGTACGTAACTTTTTAAACAGGGTAGGGCCGGTAGATTGTACATACAAACCGTGGTCGTGAGAAGCATCTTCTAAGTGTAAATAAACTTTTCCACACTTGTGACAAAATGCCGAACATGAAAATATAGGTACTGGTATGAAACGTAATAGGTAGTACATAAGTGATTATGATAATTTTGTAACATGAAATGGTGTACAGCATGGTACATAGTCCGCCCCTCGCGGTCGCCAGACCAGCGGCCCTGCCACGAATCTGAGTTCACCTGTAACGATGGCCGCTGCATCACCCACTTGAGGCGATGCGACAATATCTATGACTGTATGGACTTCTCTGATGAACAGAACTGTCACACCTCCGGTACCAACGCAATTTTTACCTCCATCATTCGTTTTGGAATGCTGAATGCGTGTTGACCAGTCTACATTGTCAGTTATCCCGATCTTATATCCCTAGTTAATTTCGGATGTAGATTTGATTATTTTGTTAGTTCTCCTGGTTTATTTGACATTTATATTCTGTTCCGTTGTGTAGATTTTCCAATTACAATTATTGCAGTAATTAGCACCCTGTAATTAGTGTATAATTTAGATTAATTTAGAACGTAGGTATGTAGCTAATGCACCAAAACCTTTTATTCCATGCATCTACATTATGCGTCGCTTTTATTTCCAAGTTACGTAGAACAATATTATAGAAAAATGTATTTATTTTTTATTAAAACATTCTGAATGATTCCTGCAACTGTAAAATTTGAATAATGGATGTTGTTAATACGAGTAATAGAGTAGTCCTATAAAGTATAGTTTGTATTTTTTATAAATAATTAAGCAATTTGGTTTCAAGTTACTTTTCAACCCATTAATTTGTAACCTATTTAATAGCTATGTATACTATTGAAAACATTATAAATAATATTGTTATAGAACCAGCATGATTTAATCATTACTTTATGCAAATATTAATAGGTAGAGTATAGAATTGTTCATATTATTTCAGAATGTGACGAGAACCAATGGCAGTGTGTCTCCGGGATGTGTATTCCGGCGACGTCATACTGTGATGACCTTCCTGATTGTCCTGACAATTCTGACGAATTAAATTGTCCGACAACCCGGCCCTGGATCACTACTTCCACTTCACGACCAAGCAAGGATCAAAACAGCCAAACAACGCCACGATCGGACAGTCCTTATGGACAAGGTCAGTACCCCGGTGGTCAGACTGAAAACCCATATGGTGTTCAAACTGAAAATCCATATAGCAACCGACCTGGGAGCCAACCAGGTGGTCAACCTACCGATCCTTACGGTGGTCGCCCTGAAGATCCCTACAGTGGTCGCCCTGAGGATCCCTACAGTGGTCGTCCTTACGATCCTTACGGTGGTCAACCTGGCGGTCAAGGTAGTCAGCCAGGTGGACAAGGCGGTCAATATGGAAGCCAACCAGGAAATCAAGATAGTTCGTACGGCGGTCAACCAGAAGGCCAGGGTGGTCAATACGGCGGGCAACCAGGACAGGGTGGTCAATACGGCGGGCAACCAGGACAAGGTGGTCAATACGGCGGGCAACCAGGACAAGGTGGTCAATANTCAATACGGCGGGCAACCAGGGCAGGGTGGTCAATACGGCGGGCAACCAGGACAGGGTGGTCAATACGGCGGGCAACCAGGACAAGGTGGTCAATACGGCGGGCAACCAGGACAAGGTGGTCAATACGGCGGGCAACCAGGACAAGGTGGTCAATATGGCGGCCAGCCAGGAGGACAGGGCGGTCAATATGATGGCCAACCAGGAGGACAGGGCTACCCATATGGCCCTTCATCAGGTGGACAAGACCAAAATGGAAATATTGGTGAGCTTTTTTGATTTTCAATGCTTGAAATACTAACCAATGCCGCATTTGTAAGGAAATAAATCTACAAGGTATCAATAAATTTCACTTTGTGCGTTGTTCCGTAGTAACTATGTGTAATAATACATTATAATGTTTACATTGTGAATTCCTTAGAATAAAATTACGCCAGTTAGGTTTTTAGTCTGGCAAGCCTAACTTAATTCGTCGTATCACTAGATGGATGCCCAAGGAACCAATGGCGTTGCGAGAATGGTCCTTGCATAGACTCGAACCGCCGATGCGATGGGCGGATCGACTGCCCCTTCGACGATAGTGACGAACTCGACTGTCCCGCCGGCAGTAAGAATTCGACCTTCTGTCCCATTTTGCTGTTTCCAACCCTGAACTCTAACTAAGGATATTAGCGAAACTACGCCGTGTTTTGAATTATTAACAGTTTTTTACTACAAAATATACCGTGCTCGTCCCGTATTATTATTATCGACGTAATCAAATTGAACAATGAACATAGCGAGGCAAATAATACTAGTTATTTCTTATAGAGCGACTTTATTTTTGAATACTTAAATCTTAAAATAATGCCAATACAATTAAAAATCATAAACGTATTCTGATTATAATATATTTTTTTAGATATTTATTTCAAATGAGAGTTTTTCCAAAGAAAAAAAATACAACGTATCCGTTTCGGTTTTGCTAATATCCGGTAACCCCAAACTATTAATGTGACTGATAAAAAAACTAACGTTCCAGAAAGCTAATTCTGCTCTAAAAATACTACTAAAATGTAAATAAATGATTAATGAACGGTTGTGGATGTTTAAATGTAAATAATACTAGATAACTATGTTTATGTTATTATTGTAGGCAGGTAGGAGAATTAACCATTACATTCACCTCATTTGATGTTCCTTCAACATTAAAAATCACGTACCTAACAATCATAGTTACATTCTACTAAACAGCCTGATTATTAACTAACATTGGAAATCCTGTTAGTTAAGAATGTTAAACAATGCCAGTATTTTGACATCGCCTCTTATGTTTTCAGGCCCAGCTGCTCTGAAGCTCAAGACGTATCCCAGCCAACAAACTGTCAGAAATAGTGAGTATTGCCTTTTAGTTATTGTTCGTAAGACTACCCGCAGACTAAAGACTAACTAAAGTACGGCCAACGAGAAGCGATACCAAATGTAAACAAACCCAATGTCATGGTCATTTGGAATAGCAGGGGTGCATTACTTTTTAATAGTTAGATTACATATTTTTGTAGACAATATAGTTTTAAAAAATATCTGTCAAACCATAAAAATAGATGTTTTATCGAATTTTGTTTTTGTTACACACAATGTGCCCGGTGTATGGCAACAGGCCTACCCCTTTTTCAGAGTACTTAAATATATATCGGAATAATAAAATAAGAAGCGACAAGTAACAGATTCGCCCTCGTGAATTTTGAATTGAATTGCAACAACTATGCATACTAAAATGGATGTCCGAATGTTGACGAACCCGTCTAACTTTGACATATTTTGGCGGGAGAACGAGTCATTACGTCAAATACACAAGATGGGAAGAGACAGAATAGATTGTCAATTCGACAGTCGAATCGACCTTTTGTATCGCTGCTAGTTGGCCGTACTTTAGTGACCCAGTATGCGCTAACAACTTAATGTGATTAAGCTAAGCTATCGGCCGACTAAAAAATGTCTGTCGAGCGGGGAGTCTAACGCCCGTATTCACAAACGATACTTGCTTAAGTAAAGCAGCAAATCGAATGCGCAGCATTAAATAGAGCTCTGTGATTGGTTCGTGTGTCACCCTGTGCGTCCACGCCCACTGTGAGACCTCATAGTATGTTTGTGAATACGGGCCTAAATGTATTTTCAAAGAGGAGTAACTTTAACACTAATTATGTACTTAAGTTTAAACATTTGTACACATCAATTCAGTTGAGGATTCGAGGTGAGAGGCTTTGTAGAAATGTTATTGGTTACTGAATATTGTACTGGTGGTACGAGTATACAGGGTGTTAGGTAAATGGGTATATGAGCCGACACTAGCCCATGTTAGCATGGTCATATAAATGGTATGGTGAAGTCAGAAAATTGATATCTTCATTTTAATTATTTTAATTTTCATACAAATCGGATATTATAAAATTTATTTTGTATGAAAATTAAAAAAATTAAAATGATGATATCTAATTTCTGACTTCACCATACCATTTATATGACCATGTTAACATGGGCTAGTGTCGGCTCATTATACCCATTTACCTAACACCCTGTATAGCGTTGCTAGATGCAATGTTTTTTGTAGGTACGAATATTGCCAATCATTAGTAATAAACCAAAAATCATCTATGAAAGTTTATGGCCAACTTGTACACACACTTCAATACAATTTGCATTAAATTGTAGGTATGTAATAATATCATCCATGTTTATCAACCTTCTAAGACCGACAGAATGGTATAATCATCATATTTAAATAGTGCAATGCGCAAAAGGTCTTATTCCTTAAATTTTATTATTTCATTACTATTTTCAATCATTCGCTTTCAATGTAATGGAATTTTTAACTATCAATCTCTATAATCTTTGTATGTTCTTCTTTAGCTGTTTCTAAAACCTATATTTGGTGGAGGTAAACCCTTGTTTTCCTAGCTTATTTTGTTTTTCATCGATGTGACAGTTATTTTAATGCGCTTTTGTTTCTTTCATGGTGGCGGAACAGCCAATTTTGGTGAGTCGGTGTGCTAAGTATTTAGGAGAGATTGCATTTGGGTTAAAAATCTCCTTTGGTTTTTGATAACAACATAATGTTTTGGGTTAATAATCTCATTAATAAAGGGTTTCATTTGGCGTGATTTAATAAGAATAGTGATCGTTCTTGAAACAAACGTTTTGATTTTCAACTAAAAATATCATGGTTTAGCTCGATACTTACGAACGATTACCTATTCTTACTTCCTCGAGTCTTGCTATTTCAATAATAGTAAACATAATGGTTGCTGTATCACAATGCTCGGGTCGATTAACATTTCAAGGATCATAAGCACACAATAATATTGGGATTTGCTAATTTTGATTTAAGTATTGCATGGTTTTTTTTAATATTACGAGTGCATTGCAATTAGTTTTACCTAATCTTTTATAATTTCATCTCTTCTTATTTTAAATTACTAGTTATTACTTACTACCTACTACTTATCTTATACTTTCTAACATGATGATGAGTAAGCAAGGAAGGAAGGACTCGTGTATTGGTAGTACATTGTTTTAATTACAATATAATAAACCTTCCACAAATGAGTCCTTTATTTATTATTTTAACACTACATGAAAAGGAGAGATAAGTAAATATGGTAATTTTTGATATCTTTGGGCAGGTCTTTTGGAAATGACACTTTTACTTAAAATTGTTTTCGGATCTATCTTATTACACATTTCATCTTCATAACCTTTAGATAATACTAAACTAAGGAACATCATCTCAAAATGTCTTTATGAACCTTACTAAGCATTGATTTTGTGAGTATTGATTTTTCATGAGAAATACGTAGATGGCTGACTGGGAGTTAGAATAATAGTTTTCACTGCAACTTTCATTCCATCCTGGTGGTTATGACATGAAGCATGGGGTTCTACGCAGTAAGCCTCAATTGTTATGTGACTAAGTAAATGTTGATATACCTAATATAATATTGGGTAGTATTTGTGTCATTAAATATGTAATATAAATGTGTAAGGTGATAATAGTCCAACGTTGTCAACATTTGAGGGTCGATAATTCGATTCACGTCGTCCTTTGGACTATTGTGGTGAACCCGCTCTTAGGAGCAATACAAGCATTAAATTTAGTTTAACTGAACCTTAATCACTAATTTTTCAAGCAATCAAACTCAATTTGTAGTTTTACCTAACATTTATCATTTATTAAAGTGGCCTAACTTATTAAAAAAAAAATAGAAAGATAAAAATCAACGAGATCATTGAGAGTGCATGATTACTTGTGAATATTTTAAATGGACAGATATTTATGACATAATTTAAAACTGACTTATTTAAACAGCGATAACATAATGGTCACATGATATTGAGGAGACTGCGCTATGATGATCGCGTGCTAACTTTATTGACTGCTATAGGAGGTGACGTAGTTTTCCAATGCCGTGACGAGGGACCACTGAGGGCCCCCGTGAGGTGGGTCAGGGAAGGAGGACGCCCTCTGAAGCCAGGCTCGACGGACAGACACGGACGACTCGAAATGAACCAAGTTACGGTAAGCATGAAATTAAAGTACTAAATAGACAAAAATAAGGCTGGACTATTCCCAACTGTGCCCCGATTGCGCTAAATATTTTCAACTACAACGCGACTGGATGACGAACGAAAATCATCTGTTTGCACAAATTCGTATCGCGGTGTCGCTTTGACAGCTAGTTCAAACAAAAACAAAACGCAACTGCTTCTGTGTAAAAGCTGAAAGTAAGCTACTTTCTCTCAAATGCAAGAAAAAGAAAAGGTGTTCGGACTTTTAATGGAAAGTGCTTAAATCCGTTGTTTCGTCTTTGTTTGCGCATGAACTTTACCGCGATACCGAATTGCACATCAGATGGAATGAAATTGGAGTGTGGAATGAAATAAAGACATTACAAGTTAGCGCAATCGAGGCTCAGGACACAATTTGCAAATGATCGAACGTTCAAAATATCGAATGGTTATTATATGCATTAAAAACTCAATTCATCGAATGATTAATTTATCAAAAATCAAATTATATATTTATCTGATTATTAGCTATATGTTATTTAAACTATAATTTTAAGCCACAAGCTTATGACCTAGTTTATAGAGAGCTACTACAAATTTAAGCTACTACAAATTGCTAATAATATGCTTTAAAAAGACTACCGTACGTACGATCGATTCGCTTCGAATACGTTATTGTAACTACGAAGATGATCAATCATTGTCCATTGTTTTAGGCGTCCGACAGCGGCGTGTACATCTGCCAAGCACCGAAATATCTAGGGAACCCTAATGCCGAGTTGAGGGTCATGCTTAACGTCGACCCTACACGTAAGTCGAAGCTTTAGAATAGTAGAATAATTATAAAGAGAGATAGGTATCTCTCTTTAGGACCTGTGGTTTGACCCGCCAAATAAAAAAAACATTGAAGTAGGTTTTAAAAAAGTAACTATTTAGTAGGAGTATAAATTGGTTCAGCAATCAATTGGCTGGCTATCATAGCCCTAAAACATTAAATTTATTTACCAATGGCATGTTGTAATTCTCTTGGATTTTATAGCTGTAACAGTGCGGCCGCCCCAGATGACTTGTCTGGCTTACGAGGCAACTTGTGGCAATGGACAGTGCATCCCCAAGTCAGCCGTGTGCAATGGCGTCGTTGACTGCGCTGACCGATCTGACGAAGAGACTTGCCGTGAGTATTCAACAATAAATGTTGCTTGCATGCTTTGAAAAGCACGTTACTGTACATATACTTAGTCCTAGCAGCTGATCACCATCAGCCCACTGCTGGGTTTGTATCTCCGGTAAACACCACAGAGTCTTATTTTAAGATTAGGGGAGACCTAGGAGAGTTGTGACAATTTTTACTTTAGGCGCCATATCTCGCTCAAAAAACATTCGACAGCTATGAATCATACAAATTAATGTAGCGCCGTTCCTTCTGTTTTTAAAACAATCATCAAAGTTAACTAAAGTATTAGGGTTTCTAAGAAAATCACCAAAATCTTAGACCACTCCCTCTGTCACAACTCTCCTAGCACCGAGGTAAGTTGTGACAGGTACCGAGGTGAGTTGTGACAGCATTGTATTTCATCTATTAGATATAAAAATACCATAATACTCAATCAAATATGATTTTTTAGCAAAAAAGTACTTTAATCATCCTTTAGTAACAATTAAAACAAATAGTTATAGGATATCGTTACACAGATTGAGCCACATTTCTCCAGCTTTCATTTTTCTCCCACGACACTGGATTTTTTTTATTACATTTTTAGATAATATAGTCACTTAATATATTTTCTTCCTCTTCTGTAAAAATAAAATAGTCGCGGTGGTATAATCCATAGACGGAGCTTCGCCTTCTGGGTTTACTTGATAAGTCTATTTCTTCTTAATATATCTTGACAAGTTTAGATTGTAAGATGTCGCAGCGTATCTTAAACTTTAACCGTTTTTAACTTAATCACTTCATAAGCCAGGTCCTATATTTCGACTCCAGCAAACAGTTCCTCTATATGGCATCCATGTATAGTTATTAGGTATTCAGAATCAAAAAAGTAGCAGCAGGCATTTAAACAAATTATTAAGAACACAAAAAACACCTAAAAACATCGTGGAAATGGCCCATCAGAAAAATTAAGTAAGCTAGGAGAGTTGTGACAGGCTGTCACAACTCTCCTAGGTGTTTGAAATGACGACTTGGTTCGAATAATATTTTTTATTTTCTAAACACGATGCGCACACAAAATATCAGTGCTACATTTTGAGACCTGAATAACCATGCAACTTGAGAAAAAATAACACAACAGTGCACATATACTAAAACATGATTTAAATTGAAATAAAATTTTGACGAAAAACTTACTTTTCGCATTTTTTTGTACACAGACGTCATATTTACGAAACCGTGCCTCGTGCGCCGCCCGCAGGTACTTAGTCAAGAAGAGCGTCTTAAAAGCGACAAACAAGCATTTTTTCCAGCTTCCTAACTATATTAAGTAAGGAGAAATCGTCCTTGTCACAACTCACCTCTGTCACAACTCTCCTAGGTCTCCCCTATTTTCCAACTATGACCAGACCAGCCAGTCGGTGTATATAATCGCTATATTTTGCCGGACTGCCAAGACATCTATAACGGAAAAGCGGTAAATATGCATGAAATTTGTCTGGTCGAGGTGGCTTGATAAGAATAGCTAGTATGAAGGGCCTGACAATTATTATCCAGAGTCGTTAAGGTATGTCTAATCGTCACAGTTGGTATCACAATTGGTTAGGTATTTAGTTCTAAGCGTTACGATTATGAAAGTTTGCTTAGGTGTATTTATGAAGTATAATACTAACCTTTTTTAGACATGAATGGCAAATGCGAGCCCAACCAGTTCAAATGTGCAAACAACAAATGCGTACTCCTGACTTGGCTGTGTGACTCCGAAAACGACTGTGGCGATAACTCTGATGAAATGGACTGCGGCTTCGAAACGATTGGCAACTGCAAGACCGTGGAGTTCTCCTGCTCTGATGGCAGTCAGTGCATTCCTAAGAGCTTCCACTGTGACGGCCAGAGCGACTGCTTGGATGGATCCGATGAAATTGGTTGTGGTAAGTGCATTTGTCTTTTAGATTCTGTGGCTTTGATTATTGTCAACGACTATTATTATGCCATGTCATTAGTTAACATTTGGTTTCACTCTAAGTGGAATTTGTGTGTCTATCATCTCTAAGTTTATGGAGCTTTTAGTTTGCGTTGGCACGCAACACAAATATGGCATCACATTTAGCCTTCTTCATTTACTAATCCAATTGGGAAATTCAGCTCCTGTCTACGTGACAAGACCGCCGCAGCCTTCCAACGTGTTATTGAACACCGGAGACACCCTCGTCCTGAACTGCTCAGCCACTGGCACTCCCTCACCTCTGATCTCATGGCGACGCAACTGGGGCGACGTGCCCGAAGTATGCAAGTCTGACAATGCCCAGATAAACGGACAAGTTGTTGGCACTCTCACCTGCCCTAACATGCAGGTAAGAATCTTCAGTGCAATTTCTTATTAACTACGTCATATTCGTAGTTGAAAATTCTACAACTGATACCTTCAACTAATAATAAAATATGTTTTTAGTCTGATTACAACGGAGCTTACTCGTGTGAGGCGATGAACAACAAAGGAACAATCTTTGCCGTGCCTGACGCCATTGTCTTTGTCAACAAGACGAGCGTTTGTCCTAAAGGATACTTCAACAGGTAAACCGTGTTTTAGTTCGAATCTTCATTTATCATAATCATTCATGTCACTACTAAACCAAACATGTAACAGTTATAAAAATGAATAGCTCCTAGCTGTATTCCAGTGACTTAAAAATACTCCACACCAATTGTCAAACATCAAAAACATACGGCCAACATTCTGTAGGTGGCGAGTAAAGTTTGACAGAGAATAATTGATTCCTCATCTGCATCTAGCGAGGCGCGATCCGAGCGGGACTGCATCCGTTGCTTCTGCTTCGGCGAATCGACCCAGTGCCGCAGCGCGGATCTGTTCACTTACAACATGCCCACGCTCCTCGGCGAAGGAGGCACCCGACTGGTCGGCGTCAAGAACACCATCAACGGAGACATAGTGATTGATTCGCAGGCTATCACCAACCAGTACTACTACCAGCCACTCAGGAATGGGGCTACGGTAAGATGACTGTTGTTTTTCTTTGTCCGACAACCAGGTCAATTCAAGCATGCTGTGTTCCAAATATGGAACATACAAATAGCAATTTACGCTGGGTTTTGTTGTGTCCCATGTAGAAATCGAAACCATGTATCTACCTGTGAGATGAAAGAATCTTACGACCTTACCAATGGAACATGTAGATGTATGTTTGATCAAAATGCAAAGCTCACGAATGTAGGTACCAATGAAAACAGTATCCACCCTAGAGTGGGAGTACCTACTTCTAGTATCCGTCTGGTGGTTAACGGTATGCCACGTTCATTTAGGATAGACACAGATAACGGGTAGGTTCCTACACCTTCAGGCATGTATTTTGCTTAAAATATAGAAATTTTTCAGGTGACGAAACTTGCTCGCTACAACAACTGGGGAAGCTCCAGCGCTCTCCCGTACCTGACGCTTCCGGAGACATACAACGGCAACCAGCTCACCTCGTACGGAGGTTACATTCGCTACAGACTGGCGCCACATCTCAGAAGCTTCGGAGCTGATTTCGGCCTGCCTGATATTATTATCAAGGTATGTTGATACGAGTGTTAATTACTTCTAAAATCGAGAAATGGTTGGTAAGTAGCTTATCCTATGCATCCGTTGCGTCGTTGTAACTCTTAATTCTAACATCGGGTTACTTTGGTAAATTAATTCGTTAGAATGACACCTTACGAATTTTTTTGAGCAAATGATTTTGATGATATATTATGATGTTAGACTTGGGTGTTATTTATGAATAATGCCAACAAATCTTGGGCAACTTTACCAACGATAGAAGGTACATTATAATCACAAGGGACTTGTTGGAACAGGGTAAATACCAGAACTTGGTGCACATCAGCCGCGACAACCAGAACAAGATCGAAGCCCGTCTGACTCCAGACAACTGGGAGAAATCTAGCTCGAGGGGTCTTGTGCCGGCGACTAGAGAGGACATTATGATGGCGTAAGTTAACTCTTTTTACTGCACAAATTGTCATAAAGCTATTATAAATCAGAATCAGAAATGATCAGCAGGATGGACCAGATCAAATTCTTACTTATACTTACTTACGCATCCAACTTTTGCTAAAATTTATTCTTTATTGATATCATTAAAAGTTGAAATAAGGCCGACAGATTTTCAACCCACCACGAAATTACAAAATTTTCCCATTCCATTTTGAACCATATACAAAAGACCTAATGTTCAAAATCAATTACCCAATACGACATTGTCTAGTTTGGACAACATCGAGATGATCTTGCTGCGAGCGAGCGTGAACAACGCCGGCGTGAACATATCGGACTTCGTCATGGAGTCGGCGAAGCACATCAACGTGGGCCTGGGCGTGGCCAGCCTGGTCGAAGAGTGCTCCTGCCCGCCTGGCTACGAGGGACTGTCGTGCCAGGTTGGTTAACATACAAAAAACGAAAAGGAAATAGGTAAAATACAAACAAAATGAGAAGACAAGGTCTACAAAGATTCCATATGATAAATTGTTTAGGTAGGTACACTGTGGACGTCATTTGGCTGAAATGAACGAACGTTTAGGTACATTTGTAAGGAAGATTTCAACGTTCCCATTTAAATTTTTTAACCCTCTATGGACAACATGATGAATTTATACCTTATGATAAGTGAACTATGTACATGGACGAAAGTATCCTACATTGTCGATATTCCACCAGCAAGCACTAAGCGTTTCGATAAAGGGACTGGAATTCGCTGCCTGTTACTGTCTTTCCCGAACACTAAAATTCGGGCCTTTTCAAGGCGAGAGTGAATAGGCACTTACAGGGCAGATATGTACCATCCTAGAATGCATCTCACTTAACATCAGGTGCGATTGCGGTCAAATTCTGCCTAAAAAAAGGTTGAAAATATGGTGGCAAGGCAAGTAAATAGTAAAAACAAATATCTCTTATTCAGAAATGCGCCCCTGGCTTCGCCCGCAAGCAGTCCGGCCCATGGCTAGGCAACTGCGAGGCAGAAGTGCCCGAGTGTCCTCCAGGAACCTACGGCGACCCATCCAGCGGATACGCCTGCCGCCCTTGCCCGTGCCCGCTTACCAACCGGGAGAACCAGTTTGCCAGGACCTGTGCCCTTGGACCGGACGGAGAAGTGATCTGTGACTGTGCCCCTGGGTAAATATTTCATTGAGTGACTAATTTTTAGATATGTTTTTGGGTGCCTATTCGACTGCCCCCGCTCTTCCCGATGTCGGAATTTTATATGAATCCTATAGCTTAATTTTGTCTTAATCCTCACACATAATATGATGTCATTCCTTAAAAATCTCGAAAATGTATGTTATGTATAGAACAAATAATTTTCGTTACATTCCTCATACAAAATGCGTATTTCCAAAGTGAAATTAATTAAATTGATCTTCAGATAAATAGATTTTGAAATGGAATACTCTTCCAGTACTTCGTAGGCGGTTACTTCTTTACGGACGGATTATTACACTGAATCCTTTTTCAAATAGCTATGTAGGCCGCCACTGCGAGTCCTGCGCACCCAACTACGTAGGCAACCCACTGAACGTGGGCGACTCGTGCCGGCCGCAGCCCGACAGGCCACGCTGCAGCGAAGTCGGCACGAGCCGCGAGCGACTGCCCGACGAGTGCGAGTGCAAGGACAACGTGCAGGGACGCTACTGCGACCAGTGCAAGAACGACTCCTTCTACCTGTCTAACGACTTCAGGTAACTCAGTTCTCCGTGTCCTCAGGCTTTTCTTTCCCATTGGGCACTCTAGGCCTATGAGTGCGACTCGTGCCGGCCGCAGCCCACGAGTGCGAGTGCAAGGACAACGAACAGGGACGCTACTGCAACCAGTGCAAGAACGACTCCTTCTACCTGTCTAACGACTTCAGGTAACTCAGTTCTCCGTGTCGTCAGGCTTTTCTTTCCCATTGGGCACTCTAGGCCTATTATATAGAGTGCGACTCGTGCCGGCCGCAGCCCACGAGTGCGAGTGTAAAGATAACGTACAGGGACGCTACTGCGACCAGTGCAAGAACGACTCCTTCTACCTGTCTAACGACTTCAGGTAACTCAGTTCTCCGTGTCCTCAGGCTTTTCTTTCCCATTGGGCACTCTAGGCCTATAGAGTGCGACTCGTGCCGGCCGCAGCCCATGAGTGCGAGTGTAAAGATAACGTACAGGGACGTTACTGCGACCAGTGCAAGAACGACTCCTTCTACCTGTCTAACGACTTCAGGTAACTCAGTTCGCCATCAGGTTTTTCTTTCCCTTTGGGCACTCTGGGCCTATAGAGTGCGACTCGTGCCGGCCGCAGCCCACGAGTGCGAGTATAAAGATAACGTACAGGGACGCTACTGCGACCAGTGCAAGAACGACTCCTTCTACCTGTCTAACGACTTCAGGTAACTCAGTTCTCCGTGTCCTCAGGCTTTTCTTTCCCATTGGACACTCTAGGCCTATAGAGTGCGACTCGTGCCGGCCGCAGCCCACGAGTGCGAGTGTAAAGATAACGTACAGGGACGCTACTGCGGCCAGTGCAAGAACGACTCCTTCTACCTCTCTAATGACTTCAGGTAACTCAGTTCTCCGTGTTGTGAGGGACTTCTATCATAAATCATGATAGGCTCTCTGTGCATAATATGCCACCTGCTGTCTGCTGCTGCAACTGCCCGTAAGAACAGAGTCAAATGATATCTTCCTACGAGTAATTTTTCGTTAGATTTTGCATGACTGTGTTGAAAATTTTAAAACCTTAACAGTATATCCGACCTTTAACCTGCTATAAAGTGCAATATTACCTGTATCAGACTCAAGCCTCAATTCTAATCATTTTTATTTCAACAGACAAGGATGCGCGCTTTGCTTCTGCTCCGGGGTATCCCAGCAGTGCCAGAGCAGTAATCTCCGACGTAAGACCACGGCCGTTCGCTTCAACACCCCTGACATCGTCAACCGAGTCAGAATCTACTCCAGCAGCCCCACGGGCGGATCCTCGGCCAGATACAACACGCCAGTGGAGACCAATTTGACTGCAACCTACGCCAGGGAGGAATTGGTGCTCAGCGAGTATGACAGGAACCGCCCTGCTATCTACTACTGGAGCTTGCCTATCAAGTAAGTTTATTCCTATGATCAATCCTATTTTAATTTCCTATTAAGTTTGTAAGGAAAAATGGATGGATATTTGTTATTATTTCTAGGTTAACCAACTGACCCTATTTAGATGTATGGCAACGTTTTCTCACCGTCATTCATCCCACTTTTTAATTAGAGACACGTCAGATCGTCGTCGTCATTCATCCCACCATTCAGTTGGGGAGGCGATGTAGTTTCTCGACCCAGGGAAAAACATATGACCGATCTTTGGAAGAGATAAATCCGTAGATTCATAAATCGAATCGTGGCTTTTTGTATATTTAATATTCTCGAATCATTGTCATGCAGAGCAAGTTCTGACCGTTTATTCTTTCTCAGCTTCGCCGGTGACAAGGTGACGTCATACGGAGGATTCCTGCGTTACACGCTGCACAATGTTCCATCGCCTGGCAGCGCCTCCAAAAACAACGCCGCTGACATCCAGCTTATCAGCGTAAGTGATCCCTAAAATACAACTCTGTTGTGGGAAAATAACACTAATTAAAACTGCTTAAGACACTTTCATTTGCCGTATATTATAGTTATATTTGTAATTTACTACATTAATGCGCTTGAAGTCGTTTCAATAATAATTGCGCCTTTAAATGTTCACAGGAGAACCACCTGACATTCCACTACTTCGGTAACTTCGAGCCATCTTACGACGGAACCCTTGAGGCTAGCGTTCAGTTCTTGGAACGCGGTTGGCAACGGTACGTATTATTAAGGCTTAAAAGCTTGATGCACTATCATCTTTTTACCCAACTTCTATCGACATAATATATGTTTGTATTAACAAACATGTTCTGCATGTAGCGCCTAAACTATTCGTCCGATGTTGATCAATAAAGTGTCAATCGATTCGGTATTATGGAACGGGTAACGCGGACTACATTTTATTAAGGCGAACGCACACTTATATCAGCCGGACGCGTCGAAAGAAACTAATTTTAGTTTTTTTTTATATTTCCAGTAAGTTTTTTACGCTTTATTACTTCCTAATTTTAACTAAAGCCTGGTCTTCGAGCACGTAGAATTTTGGCCAATGACCCCAAGCTACCCATCCTTATAGCTCGCGCGTAATTATGTTGCTGCCGCGCTCGCACACTCACTGCGGGTGCCCATCGCACAGTCGCGACAGCAATATAATTACGCGCGAGCGATAAGGATGGGTAGCTTGGGGTCATTGGACAAAATTCTACGTGCTCGCAGACCAGACTATAATCGCATTATTCCTTATTAACAGACCTGACGGCAAGGAAGTGTCGCGTGAGTTCTTCCTTCTGGCCTTAGCTGATGTCAAGGCAATCCTCGTGAAGGCGAGTTACACCACCAACTCGCAGCTGGCGTCGCTTGTGGGAGCTAGCATCGACACGGCTGAAGAGAACGGCGATGGAGCACCGGCCTACCACGTGGAACAGTGCGTGTGCCCTACTGGATACATCGGCACCTCTTGTGAAGACTGCGCTCCTGGTTACACTAGGTATGTACCACAACAGGCACTTACAATAATTTACTTACCACTTTTGAACTTATTTAGGGGTTGCTCAAAAGTAGACACTTTTTGCTACTAATACGCACGACACGACATCATAGGCAAGTTGTCAAGTATGGTGTCAAGTGTCTTCAGCGCAAGGAGTGCTGATTATATTATTGAATAAAAATATAGTACTGGTATCTGGTATAGGTACCACACAAAACACAACTAACACTTTAAAGTGTACCTACGAATGCGCAGCCTTTAAGTAGGTAATCATCAAATTCTAAGCGGTCGCATGAATCCGTGGTAATCGATTTCATTGTGTCTCGATTCGCGGGTACTTGAAGAGCTACAGAACTTTGGAACTCTTATCCATGAAGGACTAAGCCTTAGAACCATAGAGAACTATACATCGTCAGATCTATGTTGAACAACAAATTGAAATTAGAAAAAAAAAACACGTCCTTAAAGCTATGGGCGTTTTTTAAGGACTGCTGTTTGTCACAGGTCTGAAAGCGGATTATACCTGGAACACTGCGGCCTATGCCAGTGCAATGGCCATTCCAACATGTGCAACCCTGAGACTGGAGTCTGCTTCGTAAGTAACAATTACATCGCTCAAAACCACTGCTATTACATGTTTAATTCCCAGTTTAATTTTAAAATTAATTAAAGGAGTTGAAAGCTGACTTCTAAAATCTAAATCTAGGCACATACAGCAAAAAGCTCGAATCTAAACAGGAGTGTTCTTACATAAGTGTCTTATTTCACATTCGTTTTGGTGTAGTCAGGGCCTTAGGCTTACCAGCACTGCACGCGTGTATTTTAATTACTAAATGTAATATAGTCAGTTTTCCTCCTCTGAGGGGGTTTCAAATACCAATACGTAATGTTTTTTGTTTCCATTTATAGCATAAATTACACGATGGATAAAAAATCTCTAAATAATCATGCTTAATATTAGCAATGTTTCGACACATTTGCTACTATGTAGTAATTGCTCAATAATGGCATTCTTTCTTAACTGTACCTTTCAAATACATATGTTAACTTATAACTGCATATTCATCAGAGATGGTGCAGCATTCTAATGGTGAAAGAGTTTTTCAAATCGATCTAGTAGTTTCGGAGCCTATTCAATACAAACCAAATGTTCCCTCTTTATAATATTAGTATAGAGATACATGCTTTACACCATTGTTTCGACCAGGATTGTCAACACAACACGGCTGGCGAGAACTGCGAGGATTGCAAGCCTGGGTACAGGCGCGACGGAGCCAACTGTGTGGCCGACCGCCGACCCAGTTGCGAGTAAGTACAACGTACAGAGAATATCAGGGTGGACCGACGATATGGTGAAGGTCACGGGAAGAGCCTGCATGCGGGCAGCGCAGGACCGTTCATTGTGGAAAACCTTGGAGGAGGCCTTTGTCCAGCAGTGGACGTCATTCGGCTGAAACGAACGAACAAACGAACAGAGAATAAGTATAGCAACTGTTTATTGTGTGACTAAATCTGTGCCTTGAAACACTGGATAGGCTATGCCAGAAACTTACTAACGAGGTGTAGTTGTTTTCATTCATTAGACAAAGTTGACAGGTTTGTAACAGGGTTGGTAATAATATTTTCATACCCATATGCTTAAGTTAGGAGTGGGTTCACCACAATTAATTGTCCAGCAGTCGACGAGATCAACTACCATTAGGCATAGGCATGGAAATAAGTGCTTACATTTATTTCATTTTCAATCAATAATTATGATTGTTTTTTATATATATACGTGACCCTCGAACGTAATCTAATAGTAAATTGAGCTAGTAATCTTATTTGAAGTTACATAATAAAATTCAAATTCTCGTTGGCAAACGCATGGATCACAGAGTTAATTTTGGTAATTGTTGTAGCTCTTTACTATCTCGTAGGTACCTAGCTTTAGAAATCGGTATTGTAGGTTTAAAATCGCACTCTTAGTGTAAGCTGCACATCCATTTGTTATTTAAAATCACTTACTAAAAGTATTGCGCTCTGTTGCATTCATATTTCAGTCCAGATCCAGATTACCGATGGCAAAAAATATTTCATAAAAGTTAATCGGATCATGCGTAATGGACTTTGTTTCACCAGTTCCTGTAATAACGGGTTGACAATAAGCTCTTAACAGAACACCGAATATTGGATGAAGTTTTATTATAAAAGAAATTTAAAGGGTTGCCTAACTGAAACCTGTTAATAGCTCTTTCAAATGAAACGTTTTTAGCGGGAATTCAACCGTGCGTTTGTAAGACCGCACTCTAGTCTAATACTGCTAATAATTGACATTTTTATTCCAACGCAGTGGTCTAACTGATTTGCGTGTACGGTGTTGCAAATGGACGACTAACGTCCGGCTCAAAACTTCTAATTTGAAAGAGTTCTGAAGAACTTTAAGGGCTTTTTCAAGTTCGCACACTCACTGTTGGTAGGTAAGTAGGTACTTGTTAATTTTATTCCAACGCAATAATCATACAATTTTCCGTGTAAACCTACAAACAGACGACAACCGTCCGTCTCAGAATGTCTAATTTGAAAAAGCCTTTAGTGTTAATAATAATATTTATTTAGTTGCGATGAACGCGGCTCTACCGGCTCATGCGACTCCAGCGGCTACTGCGAGTGCAAGCAAAACGTCGAAGGGCCTGCTTGCGACACCTGCCGCCCTGGCACCTTCGGCTTGGACGCCAACGACCCACTTGGATGCCAGCCTTGCTACTGTTCTGGCGTCACTAGCAGTTGTCATGAGGTATGACATCACCCCCCAGTAGTTGTAGCAATTACAGCCAATGTATCTCTATCAGGTCATTTAATCTCTACTGTATGAGCATGACCCTTTATAATGTACCAGCGGCAAATGGAGGATTTGGCTTGCACTCTTCACACTATCCAAATCATTTTTGTGTAAGTCTTGATGGTCTGTAGAAACGAAACGAAGAGATTTAAAATAATAAAGTTTATTTTGTTGTCATTTTGTGTTTCTTCATAATCAGCCAATTTTATTAATATTAATAATATAACACTGCTAGCCGAAATTATCAACTCGGGAGTGTTCTAAATGACAAAGACTCATTTGCCGCTAACTGAGCGGTGTTACCTAACTGTTTTTGATTTCCAACATGCTGCACATCCAAAAAGCCGACTCGTTTTATAAGTATTATTGGTGCAGCATCACATAGTAGGGACTTTTTACACCGTCCATTCTTGCCCACAGGCTTCGTCCCAATACATTCGCATACCGATGGCGGCGCCGGTGTTAGGCGACGACTATGGCGGCTACCGCCTCATGGACGTGACCGCGAGCCGTGTTCTTACAGACGCCATCGTATCCGTACCCATCGAGAGTGAACTCATGTATGTGTTCTCTTACCCGCCGGACACAGAACTGTACTGGTCCTTGCCAGTATTCCCAGGTAAGCTAATTTCTTAATGCATAAAACGTACAAACTTACAACATAATTTAAGGGTCACAAAAAGTACTTAAAGAAACAAACTTTAGGACAGATTGCGGGTCACAATCTCTCGAAAATTGACAGCGTATTGGTAGCTCAGTTGTAAAAAGGTACTATCATATTTGAGTGAAACCAATACAATTATCCATTTCACGAAAGGCTTTGACTGTAGAGCACCCTCGGGAATATTGAATGTTCCCGGAATCAAAAACAGTCTGTGATATTTCACAATAGTGCAGTTTTATCAATATATTTTTTGGGATAGGTTACATAAATATCAATTCTGCCAGATTTTTTTTCATTTCATGGATACAGCTATACCTCTTTATATCTGTTTGAGAACTGTTGTTAATAATCTTCAGAATTTATTCCACATATAAATTATAACTTATACTAATAGGTCTTCTCTTCTGGCTCGCTGGTATGTGCTGGTATAATACTACAAGTATGTCTTGATAAAATATTTTATATTTTTATCTAAGCAGTTCAGAGCTTCATTGATGGTTGCATTAAAATTATTTTTTGAAACTGGCCATGTCATATTCGACGAACCAACAGTTAGTTATTAATGATTTATACATTATTGTAAAATGGGGCTGTCATTTTTGTGTAGTATGAACAGTAGTGGCCTCAGAACGCTACCTTGTGGAACGCTGTTTTATTCCCCCTTTTTTCTTTACTACATTTACTTAATATTATTTTGATTTCTGGCCATAAAAAACTCCTATATTTCTTAATTTGCTGATAACGTTTTTTTAATTGAAGCTAGGTACTGACTAGGCAGTTAAGTATAGGTACCTTTTATTGTTGTGATTTGTTGCTAAGGTGTTAGTAACCAAGCACAACCGTAAGTGAGCTGCCACACTAGCGGATTGCAAGCGTTTTCAAAGCGGAGCGGCGACGCAGCGAACACGCCGCGTTTCCGCGGCGAAGACGTCACGGCTGCGCGGCGAACACGAGGCGAAAACTCTTGTAATCCGCCAGTTTGGCAAGGTCCTTAACGCTTTATTATCTTATTATTTACTCTAAGCCATGTTTAAATCAGATTGAGTGTTTTCATGTCTTCCGAGTTGGTCTGTGGATGCTGATGGATGTTTGTTTTATAGTTTTAAGCTGCATCGTAAAAACAAGATTGAAAATGAAGTACTTAGTTTAGAGATTGGTGCGAAGTATTACACTATAGTGAGCCAGCCTAACCATCTCATGTCTTCGTAGAACTTCTTATTCTTTACCCTGACTATACCTACCTACTTTATTTGAGATTTCCTCTTCTCATTTTGACACCCCTTTGCTCTGTTCTTGCGTTTGCCTTCCCACGACTGTGACCTTATTTCTTTTCTGCGCAGATCATAATTTAATAGTTACGGTCGTGACGTGTCTGTACCATCCAAAATATCAATCTTACTCTCAACTTCTTCTTGATATAGTTCCCCTGACATCTTTGTCTTTCTGATTTCATCCTATTTTTCCAAGATTTAAACCCAACGTAGTACCTTCATCGCTATAATGTTTAGCAGTTGTTTGTTACTTTTATAAATGCCAACAGTCTGACCAAATGCTTGCAAACTTTCAGTGTATAGGTAATCTTGAAACATACAGTTTATTAAATGTTGGATGTCTTCAGTGTTGGCTGTCAAGGCATGTCGCAACGTTGCTACTAATGTCTTGCTGAATTTAGATTGTTCATAGATTGTATTCTAATGCTAAAATTTACGTATAGGTAACCGCGTCTTGTCCTACGGCGGCGTATTGCAGCTGAAACAGAAGTTCGAGAGTAGGGATCCTAACTCAGTATCTGAGCCGGGCACCGACGTCATCTTCGTGGGAGACGACAAGTCTCTGTACTGGAGCAACCCGCAACCCATCAGGGCTGGACAATCTTTGGTAATTAGTGTGTTTTGTAAAAAAGTGTTTATAAACAAAATCTTTGCTTGAACTGTCTCGTTTGACAGTTATTCGTTTCCCGTTGTGGCATTACTAATAGCATATGACTGATTAGAACTACGGAACACCCAATTAGAAACATGGAAACTAATACTTACACGTACTAACAAGAGTCTTATCTTTTGGTAATACATTGTTGTAATTTCTTTGCTCAATAATTTATTTTTTCCAGACTTACAAAGTTCCTTTGTCGGAGAAGGGCTGGTACCTCCAGAACTATGGTTTGCCTGCGAGCCGGGCCGACTTCCTCTCAGTACTTCGCAATTTGAGGCGTGTACTTGTGAGGGCTACCCTTACCATGAACATCGAGTCCTCATCCATAGCTGACGTGCAAATGGACACCGCCACAGAAATGAACGACCCTGGCTTCCCACGTGCTACTGGTGTTGAGGTATTTACTGTTCATCATCATCGTTTCAGCAAAAGGACTTCCATTACTAAACAAAGGACTCCCCTGAGGATTTCCACAACGACTGTTGCTGCATTTCCCGTATTCAAGCATCCTGGTACTTTCCGCAACCAGAACGTTGGTCTCCCGAGCGAGCGCCTGCCTACGTCCGCCGATCCGTGGCCACCACTTAAGAACTTTTCTGCTCCAACGGTCGCCAGTTCTACGAACTATGTGCCTCACTATTTCGAGCATGTTGCTAACGTTAGCAGTCCTAAGGATCTCCTCATTTTAACTCCGAGCTAGCTTCTTATAAAGCCCGTAAAGGGCCAAAGCAGGGACCTGCTAAAATATCGTTTCAGCCAAATGACGTCCACTGCTGGACAAAGGCCTCCTCCAAGGTTTTCCACGGTGCACAGTCCTGCGCTGCCCGCATCCAGGCTCTTCCCGCGACCTTTACCAGATCGTCGGTCCACCTAGTAGGAGGCCTGCCCACGCCTACGTCTTCCAGCCCGTGGTCGCCACTCAAGAACTTTTCTGCCCCAACGGCCATCGGGCCTGCTATATGTGGGCATATAAATACCGGCTCATCGTTGCAGATCTGCCGTTGCCCAGAAGGCTACAGCGGTACCAGTTGCGAAAGCTGCACACCTGGTTTCTACCGCGACGCGAGCCATATGTGCCAGCGCTGCGAGTGCAATGGCCACGACTGCTACATGGCCGGCAACGGGCAGGTGCTCTGCAACTGCCGGGCGCCTTACACTGGACGCGACTGCTCTATACAAGGTAAGGAAATAGGATGATAATCTAAAAATAATAATGAATCGATTAAAAGGATACCTGGCCATTCATAAAAAAAATAGCAATGGTTGTTTTTTTTTTAATTTTACCAACACAGCAATGTTAAACTAAATAAACATCTAAACGCCAAACAGGCCTGGTTATGGAACTCCACCCGACCATACTAAAGGATCGAAGACCGCAGTCTCTGTTCCGACATGTCATACTGACTTGCAAGTACCGGGCGCCAGAGCCGCTTACTATCAAATTCTACGAAGAGGGTCGCGAGATTCCTCCTCCGAAGTATTATAACGAGTCAAGCCTCGGCAAGGACGGATGGCGAGGGGAGCACACGCTGAATACGATATGGGACACCCGTCGTCAAGAACAGACTTTCGAATGTCATACCATAACCCAGAAAGGGTTCACTCTTGGAGTGCTGACGACAAGTTTGCCGGAGCCAGGTAGAGCGGCTCAGTCGATGTACACGGCTAATCCGATCATGCTTCGTGAACACACTCATCTCGTTTGTCCGCCAATTTATGTTTAGGAATTTAACACCTTCTGTTGAATCTTTAGTGTCGTATCCTTGTACGATCGTCTTCGTTTTTCATTCACAATTGGCTTTAATTGTTACAATAGTATGTCGGCAAGCTTCTGTAAAAATATCGAATCGTCTTCACGATGTCCAAGGCCAGTTTTGTAGTCATTTGTAACTTGTTCTGAATTATTGACCTAACCGAAGATCACTGTTTTTATATCTGCATACATTTCGTGCTGTCCCAAACTATACGTATAAACTTAACCACTTTGTAGCTTCTTTTATGTTATAAAACTAATCAAGGGGTAAATTTCAGGCGAACCAAGCATTCAAGATAACACAACACGTCCACCGCCGCCACGGACCACAGTCGTAGTTCAAATTACCTCCCCGACGATCAAGATCCAGGAAGTAGGCAGTAGCGTGAACTTCACGTGCCAAGCGCAAAGCAGGATGACTAGTGGAAATCTGCCAGTGAGGTGGTCCAAGGCTGACGGATACTTACCTCAGGGCAGAACTCAGATCGACGGCCGGAGCGGAATGTTACTCATCACAAACCTTCAGGTCTCGGATAGTGGCAAATACATCTGTCAGACAAGCGACGGCTTGTCTACAGCCCAGGCCGAGGCCGTTCTGAAAGTGCCTGGTAAGTGAAATATTAATTATCTTGTTTCGCCTAATAACTTCCTAGTAATTAGTTTGACTAAGGTTCATACAATTCTTTCACGCTAACCTTTACGGAACAGTTGTGCCGTTTTGGATATTCTATGCAAAAGGTGAGTTCGGAAAACAATGATACTTTGCTGACATCGTAACGAGTATTGTTACAATTAAAGACCACTCCTGAAATACGTAGAGAGTATAAATAAGTGCATAGTTAAATGATTTGCCACGCTCGATGCGGGCTGTATTCAGTTTGGCCTGACCTCAGATCTTTGTCTAACAGCTTCTCCCAAGGATTTCCACAGCGTCCGGACCTTGACTTACTTGACTTATGGTCCTATGTCCCCTAGATCGGGCAGAGGGCGTCCACAACAGTCCTCCATCGCGTTCGGTCTTGAGCTATGTGTTTGATCTCGCTCCAAGTCTTGCCGATCTTCTTCGCCTCGTGTGCCACCACGCTTGCGTTTTCCTTGGGGGTTCCAATCCAGAGCCTGCTTGGGGATGTGATCGGGATCCCTTCGGAGAGTGTGGCCAATCCAGTTCCACTTTCGGCGCTTGATCTGCTGGACCTGCGCTGCCCGTATCGTTCCCGAGCTTTACGAGATTTGTTTCTTTACTTCATCAACAGCCCTTTACAGTCCACTGCTGGACTATGAGCCTCCTCCACTATAGTGGAGGGTTTTGCCATAATCTCCACGCTAGGCAGGCGGGTTGGAGATCGCAGTTTAAAAGATTGATGTTTTTCAGAGAGCGCTGCTGCCCATTCTCTGTTTGATGTGTAGTCCCTAAGTCGCCTCTTACGACACCCGCGGGAAGAGTAGGGGTTGGTGACAAATGTATTCTACTCTGCCGTCACCACACGGCTTCAAGGTTTTCTTTACTTACCTGCCCTGAATTCCCTCAGGCAACGAGATGTCGGTCCCTACAGCGGAGATCCGTCCGGCGATCAACGACTACTTCGAAGGCGACCGCATCGAGCTGGAGTGCGTGACGCGAGGCAACCCTTCTCCCAGTATCACGTGGCAGAGAGCCTCTGGCCGGCCTCTACCGGAGTACGCGCAAGTCGTGAGCGATGTGTTCATCATTGACCGCGCGCGGGAGGAAGACGCTGGAGAATACAGGTAAGACCACAGAATAATAATAAGTACTACGTACAGAAGTTTTACTTCGCGAAGGTATTAAAAAAAATGTAAGCTCAATGTCATTAACAATATGGTGTAATTTAGCCTGTCTCAAGAGTCAAGCACCATTTTGTTGACAAACGTCAGTGATCGGCACTGCGCCGAAGCTATAGGGCTGACTTCGGTAAAATGATGTGACGTGAGGTGCTACTTATTTACCTCTCAGTGTCTTGAGGCAACTTAAAAAAGTACATTCTGTGTTTTTATTATTATTTAGGCAGTTAAATACTGCACAGTATTTAGTAAACCATTTTCTTTATTTTCTTCCATCATACACAAGAATACGCGTGCGTGAGTCAATGTTCGCTCGTATGTGAGGCCTTGTCAAATAGTATCCTGTAGGTGGGCCATCGTGCGTGTTTTGTTTTCGATGTAAACTCGCGTAGATGAACAGGCCTGGTAAGACTTGAAAGTCCGTTGGGGTGATCAAATCCACTTCGTATTTAATGAGGGTTTTCGCGTTTGAAAAATCCGCCAGATGGCAATACGTAGACGCGAGCTCCAAATGCTGCATGATTGGTTATTTTTGACATATCTGTCAATGTCATGTCAAAAATAACCGATCATGCAGCATTTGGACCTCGCGTCTACGTATTGGTTATTTTTGACATATCTGTCAATGTCATGTCAAATATAACCGATCATGCAGCATTTGGACCTCGCGTCTACGTATTGCCATCTGGCGGATTTTTCAAACGCGAAAACCCTCATTAGAAATGTTTAGGAAACGTACTTTCACATCTCTTTCGTAACATTGCATTTGGTGCAAGCGCACTGAGTGTTCATTCGTCGCCATCTTTATTTGAAACGATTGGTCAGATTATGGGATTTGTGATAAATGCGAACATAAAATGTGGATGTGTAAAATCCTAACCATAATGCTATAAAAATATTTTTTCGTCATCTTCATGAAATTCATAATTTATTATTACGTCATTGTTTTTAATTTCTTCCGTGAAAAAAATAATATTAATAAACCTGTTTTATTCAATGTTTTCCAACATGTAACAGTTAAAGCAATACTCGGGCACTTCTTAATAAAGTGCCATAGGCTGTAAAAGAAAAACTAATTTTAAATAGGTACTTATTCATGAAACCTTTGAGCTGTGAGCAATATCGGCTCCAGTGGGTCTAGACAAAGTGCAAATTATAATCGCAAACCAGTCGAAAAGTGGTCGAAAAGCCCCTTTTTTGTATGGAGTTTTGACGGATTCGATTTTCGATTCGATCAAAAAGTGCGTTTTGTCTAGGGGGGCAGATAGACAACAATAGGGTAAAGTGACGCTCAAAGTAACGTGATAGTGAATATAATATCATATTTTTGAATTTTTGACAATTTTTACTAACTTAAGGAAAAAACGGGGTCTCCAAACATCCAACTCGTAATAGATACCTCAGCTACTTTTTAAGTAGATTAAGGAAGACGAAAGCAGATAAAAAAAATACTGTAACATCTTATGCAGTTGTTGTAAATTTGCAACAAAAATGTGTGGCTATTCTGAGGTGCTGTCGACTGAATCATTGTAAACGATGCTAATTTCATTTCCTTTCATCATAGATGCACAGTGAAGAACACAGCTGGTGAGGACTACGGCAAAGCGGTGGTGAACGTTCGCCCGCGCCCGTCCCAACCGATCCGCGAGAAACTGACCGTGTCCCAATCCTCGCCGACCATCTCTGAGGGACAGAACACAAGGATCGTGTGCACAGGCACCGCTAATGTCCCCGCCGGCTCCATCGACTGGGTCCGGTGAGTTTTTGTTTGTATTGGACTGCCTTTGAGACCTTTATGTCGCTGAATAGCAGTCGCAAATCGCTGGAGGGGATTTGGAAGTATGCAATGCAATTCACTTGTTTTCAAATTGAAAACAAAAGATTGTTAGAACTGTTAGATAGTTATTTCAGCTGCCTGAACCTTTTCAAATGTATTACTTACTTATTGTAGGCGTACACACTTACAAATAAAGTCTCTGCTTATAGCCTTATAACTAATTAAAGGATAAAAATAATAGTTCGGCAATTATGATATATCAAGAGTCAGATAATATAATAGCCATCGACTTTTGGATATCCGGCTCCGACCCCATTTCTTTGTCCGTTCAACGGCGACTATTAACAACTAAAATACATAAAATTAGGTTTAATAGAAATGGACTTCATCCAATACTATTCAACACTCAACAGACAAGACGGTGCACAATTCCAAGCGAACGTGCGTTCCATCAACGGAGTTCTATACGTGGACTACGCCAACCCTGATAACCAAGGAGTATACATCTGCCGCACGACGTCTTACGACGTGGCCCCAGTACTGGTGGTCCTGACGGTGCTCTCTCAAGGCACTCCTCCGCCAGAACAACAGCCGAACATAACCGTCTCAGTGAACAACTTAAAGATACCAACCGGTGGAAGTGGAGCCGTAGAGTGCACGCCTAAAGGATACCCACAGCCCCAAATTCGGTGGAGGAAAGTAAGTAACCACTCAGTATCCTAATAAGAATATAATTTTGTGAGGATGGATAGATGTTTCTTACTTTTTCACGCTTAACCACCGACTCAGAATTTGTTGTAGAATAGTTTTATCCAGGTTTTTGAAATAAGGATATGCACGTGATAATGTTTTCCTGTGACAGAAAGCCACAGTCCGAATTCATGTAGGCAAAGCTGGGGGCAAAAGCCAGTAATAAAAATCCATGAACATTTTACTGTTTAGTTCCACACATAAGCAACTATCTTGAAGTGTGGCTCGGTCATAACTAAAAATTTAAAAAACGAAGGGCCCTATTTCAGAAAAGTCAAACACACGTTGAACATTGCTTTAAAATGACATTTGCATAATCATGTATCATGACAATTATTTAAACAAGTGTTCAAGGAGCTTTTAATTTTGTAATAAGCGCCAAAATGTTTTATTATATCATAATCATCTGCTGCTATCGCGTTCGAGTATTGTTTCCGTACTTTACAGACACAAAAAACACAATAATCTGTATTAATATTTTATGGTATTGGATCTTTAACAAATGCGACCTTAACTCAAGGTGGTATGGTTAAAATTAAAACTACCTAACTGTAATCCCTCCTTAGAGCTAGGTGTTCTACAGGTTTGTTTTTAAAACTTTTCCGGTTGTAAAAGGGACAAGTAATTCGAGGTCCTACTCTGGAAACAATCTGGACGTATTCAACTTTGTTAAAAACGATGGAGTGGACTGTATTAGATGGATAGGCCTGCCGGTGGTGATTATAGGTATGCTAGAAGCAAAGAAACACCAAAAAAGGGCCAAAACAGTAGGTATATTGCTCAATACATTAGAACACGGAGAGTGTACAAAAAGCAACTTCAAAAACTCTAAAAAACAATATTTAAAAAAAAGTATAAAACCATAAACAATATCAAAAAAGGTTTGCTGGCCAAACTGCCAGCAACAAACTTAATTCGTTTCGTTCACTCGTAGTCGGGTAAAAGAGTTACAAACATTATGATTTTAATACCTTACAGGACTACGTACGTAGTATACCCCCACTTTTAATAACATGTTTTTCACACAACGTCAAATCGGAAAGCTTCAAAGCTTTATTGAAACTTTGGAACAGTCATTTAATTGTATTCGCGATTCCAACGCTCAACGTTTGCTGCAAAGGGTCATTTAAAATTTCAGGAATGCAAAATTAATTCCGGGGTAAAAATTTTACAAACTCCCGCTAGGTGATAATAGCTCTTTGAGAGCTTCCAGGAATGCATATTTCGAGTTAATTACATTGCAATATTAAATATTTTTGATTGTTGCAAAGTTCAAGCGAAATAATTTTCATGTTTCGTATTGCACGTTTTAGCTTTGTTTGACCAGGCATATCAGATGCCCGTGGGGGCGGCTCATAAGTAAACATGTTTGTCACAAAATGTTTAAAGGTGAGGTAGACCGGAAACACCATGACCATTGCTCTGTCTCTTTCAGTCCAACGGCGAGTTCGGAGACAGCACGAGCCAACGCCAGAACTCGTTGATTATCGCCAACGCTCGCGAGGACGACAAAGGCTACTACCAGTGCGAGGGCATCTTGGACGGACAACCCATCTCCATCATCTACGTATACATCGACATCGAAAGTACGAGCCTTTTGCGTTGACAAATCTTTCACAAGTGCTAAATCGAATCAGTGACTGCAGAAAATGCAATCTCGCTCCGAGTTGACAGTTCCTTTTGATCTCAACTCAGACACTTTACTTGCATGTAAATGCCGTTCCCATATCCGCGATTTTATTTCGATATTTTGGGAATAAAAGTAGTCGCAGGTAACCCAATAAATTACTTGCAATACCATCTCTACTCTAGTTTCGTGACATACTTTTCACGAGCTGTAGTAAATCGTAGTTTCTGTTTTGTTCCTGAACTCTTTATACAAGATCATTATTTGCCCATTACTTCTTTTTCTTTCATTCTTCGTGCGCTTTGTATAATTTCAAGTAGAGATCTCAAGATGATTTAGAGAGTTTTCGCACTGAAAAAAATGTTTGATTACTGCTTACACAACAAAAGTGACCACCGAACACTTTGGTTATGAGGAACAAAATGTTGTGTAAATAACAAATAATTCTGTAGTGAGCTAGACTTAGTTTGGTTATAGTTAACACTTAGTTCGGTGGTGACTTTTGTTGTGTAAGCAGTAACCAAACATTTTTTTCAGTGCGTGAAGATATTTTATGAAACATCGTAAGTTTTGTCCTAACTTCATATTAGTACTTTTAAATGGAATTTTTTTTTGTATCTTTTCTAATCTTTCTCGAAAAAGACCCAATACTGACAATACCGTCACAAGAGCGCAGATCTGGCCCTAGAAGAACAGCCTCTTACATTGTATGTTCTCACACACGCTTCTGTAAATACTATCTACCAGAGCGCGAGCGACCAGCAGTGGAGATCTGGCCTCAAGGCGAGCAGGCGCTCAACTTGGGAAGCTCTTTCGAGCTGCGCTGCCGCGTCACGGCCGGCGTGCCTGAGCCCACCGTCACTTGGAGCCGAAGCGGCGGCAGACAACTTTCGCCGTACACGCAGCTGCAGCCCTACAACATCTTGAAGTAAGGAACTTTCAGCAGTAGCGGCGTCCAGTCCGCCCCGGGTGCCAAGCATCAGGGGGTGACACAAGTCGCGCAGATTAGTACTCACATGCGCACCTGCATGGCAAGTTTGTGGTCTATTTCATGATACGGGGCTGCGATTGATTGTCTTTCAATCTTCGAATCGGTAGGAAACCCCAAAATCCTGGGGGATACCAGGGGGTGCCTTAGGACTTATGACGGAGGAGGGGGGAGGGGTGATCGCCCCGGGTGCCAACCCATGCTACGCCGCCACTGACTTTCAGCTCAACCGGGATGACGTAATCTGCAATTTCAATAGATCGAGATGACGTATTCTAGCATTTCATCATGACTCTTTCGACCAGACTGCTGTCACATTAAGGCGTCAGGACATGAGAGCGACAGCAGCACGGCTTTTTGTATAATCTTTATCTAATATTGGCAGCGTGTCTGTCCCGCGTTTGTAACGCTCCTAAACTGTCCTACAATCGCTGAAATGTGAAAGCGCTCTTATGGATAACTTTTTAGCTTAACCAGCACTTCATCAGATCATGATGAATGTAATGTATCACTACATCAGATTAAGATGACGACAATGTGTCTCTATCAGACCAAGATGACGTAATTTCTACCCCTTTGATCTCAGTCAATGACGGTCAGGGTGCATGATCATCTTAGGTGCACATTTAGCAGTGACTTACCAAAAGGATTTTTATGAAACCAAGCTGGTTAGGCCGATGGGGCAGCAAGGTTCTGGAATGGAGGCCGCGTACTGGAAAACGCAGCGTGGGACGTCCACCTACAAGGTGGACCGACGACATTGTAAAGGTAGCAGGGAAGCGCTGGATGCAGGCCGCTACCAATCGATCAACGTGGAAAGCATTAGGGGAGGCCTATGTTCAGCAGTGGCCGTCCTATGGCTGAAATGATGATGATGAAGCTGGTTAGGTTAGGTTTTCTGCATCTATTGTCAGCAACAAATCATTTTTGTTAAGAAATTTTTATTGGGCAAACACTCAAAATAAATACATTCACAGATTCGAGAAGATCGAAGTGAATGACGAAGGCGAATACTATTGCTCGGCTTCGAACGTCGCTGGCACTGCCACAGCCAGCTCCACCATCAAGGTCCGCTCGCCTCCTGAGGTGATCGTGACTCCCAGCGACTTCATCCAAGTGCAGTATGGAGAGCCCGTCACGGTTGAATGCCGTGCTAGAGGATACCCCCTACCCATGGTCTCTATCAAGAGTAAGTTACCAGGCCTAATGTTTCTTCTGCAATGTTCTTTTCAAGCTGTTTTAATGACAGTGCATATAGGTATACATAGTTGTAATACTATTGGAACTTCTGATGTTACTAGACTTTATGTTGTGTATGAATGGGTATATGTTCCTGAAAAACCTTGGCTTATTGAAATTGTGGAGCGAGACTGTACTGCAGAAGAATATCGAGATTGGACAACACATGCTATCATCACCACCATTTCTATAGACATGCACTCAGGTTTTATCTCAGGAGACGTTCATCTAGCAGCAATTGGTCTCACTAGCTCTGCTCAAACTTTATCAGGTCATTGATCCACCAGGCTAATAGTTCCATTGGCTATTTTTCTTCAGTCTAAACCCTATGGATGTTATTCCAAAATGTATCCTTGTAATGTGTATTAATATTCCTAGAAGAAGCAAAGAAGGAATAAGTAGATTCTGAATTATATCATTTGTCACCTGGTGCTAAAAATAAATATTATTTCAGGCGCAAACCGGGAGATCGTAGCACCCTATCCTGGCATGGTCACCCTGAACATTTCGTCGGCCAGTGAACGCGATGACGGATACTACATTTGTTCCGCGACTTCGCCCGCGGGCACCATCGAAGAGCAGTTCGGCATCAGAGTCGAGATGCGAGGTGACATTGGCTTCGAACCCGGTGAGTGCGACTTTTGATAATAGCGTTTGATACCAAAATAATAAGGGTCAAAGAGAATACGTTACATCTTGATGAGATAGTCGAGTTACCCACGAGCTAAGTAAGAAGAGTACAGATTATATTGGAAGTTTCACAGACCGCAGCATTATTGAAAAAAAATTGGTAGGTACCCTTTCAAAATTAGAAGATCGAATGCAAATAACAATACTTACTAATATTGCAGCCATTTCTAATTGGCCAGTTTAAACTTGCAATCTTAGTTATTCTTACACGAATCAAAGCGCTCATGTTGCTTTGAGTAAAATTCTCTTTCAAGCACTTTGACAGCTTTAAGTGTGTACTTACGAGTACCTATGCCTTGATGGCGCAACACAACGCTATCAAAGAACAGTGAAACGTGTCGCATTTATGTATTTCAAAATTTTTACGTCCTCATTTGCTTGAGGATTGAGAAAAAGAGTTGCCAAATAAAACGCCAATTGTCAAAATGTTTGCCGTACCGTGTAGATGTTGTAGACAATGGCTGACTTTAGTTTTGGTAAATATTTTTTTCTAATTTTTATTAGTTTTTTAGTTTTACTCTTCCTTTATAGGAATTTATGTTTGTAGATTTTTAACATAGATTAGCTATGTGTAGGTAGGTACTATGTTTTATTTATTTGCTAAGTGTATTGTTTTTACTCAATATCTACCTAGCTTAGTTGATATATGTAATTTTTTCTCTTCTCTTACTAAATGTCATTTTTATTTACCATTGTTGGGTTAGACTTACAACTTCCCTGCATGTTAAAGCTATACTTCATTCGCGTTAAGAAAATAGTGAAACAGCAATATAACACATAAACATGTAGTAAAAATCAAACCAATAATAATGCAAAATAACCGTCTGAACTTACTTCAAACTGGTCAATGTGAACACGGCTTTCTAATTTTGCTATGACCTAGTAAGTTAGAAAATAACTATTTTCTTACGCTCGTAGCACACCTCCGCCTCGAAACCGTGACAGCGAAACGATTTCAGTATACATCTCTGCAATCACATCCCCACATTAGCAATGTGGCCAAGGAAACACAGAGGTGTATATTGAAATCCTTTCGCTGTTATAGTTTCGCAGCGGAGGTGTGCTACAGGCGTTAACGCGAAATTATTTGCTGTTTACTGGCGTAGTGTTCAAATATTAAGAAACCGCCGTCAATTACTATCTTGAGTTTTTGTTGAACAGTAGAAGGCAGTGGGGACATATTCGTCGAGCCCAATCTCCCCTACCCGCCTGAGCAGCCCAGCGACTTGATTGCCGCCGAGGGACAAGAAACACGCATTGTGTAAGTTATTTTTACTAACACCTTGTACAGAACGAAAGATAAACTTAATTAGACAACATCAAAAACACTAACACCCGTATTCACAAACGATGCTTGCTAAGTGAAGTAACAAATCGAACGCACAGCGTTGAATAGTGTGATTGCTTCGTGTGTCACCCTGTGAGACCTCATAGTAATGTTTGAGAATACGGGCGTTATACTCGTAAAAAGAATATCAAAATCGTTGCTGCAAAAACGGTCACCCACTCAGTATTGGCCGCGCAACAAAGTTGAGGTGATAGGTCATACTCACACTGATGTTATTGAATACAGAACACACAAATCAGTCAGAATACGCAAGACGTTATTCATTCATTCAGAGCAGAAACGTTAAGTGATCTCACTTGATTGTTTCTAAACTAAAGATATCGAAAAACTTGTTAGTGATCCTGAAAGTTCTTCACGAGCTTTAACGAACGGTATTAATGAATTAGCTAGTAGGTTACAGAATAAACTGGATCTATCCCAAAATTTTTTCCAGCTTTAGTTTCCAGCTTCCATACATTTAGTACAGCCACACAATATTCGAAACTACTATACAAGATATCCAAAAACTAGTCCTGAAAGTTCTTCACGAGCTTTATCAAACGCAATCAATATTAGGTCACAGAATAAACTGGATTTCACGAACCAAACGTACATTTTACCTGAATTGTACTATTCGTAAGAACGCGACATAGAAATCTTCTAGTCTATAAGTACTCACCTTTAAATAACGGAACATTTTGATAGGTCTTAACATGAAATAAATCTTAACATCTTAACATCAGTAAATACCTACCTAATATTATATTATCTAAAACCTATGCGACAAACACAACACGTTGTCTTTGTGAGGTACTAGAATACACGTTTCCCAGGGTTCTCTCCCAGAACACGTAGCAGAGTCTATTTAGCACAGGGCGCTTGCTTCTAGGTAGTCAGCGTGTATATAGACTATAGATATAATCCCCTGTACTGCTGAAATTGTAGAATTGTCTACGTGTACATTCGCTACCACGTCCAAACGTTGGATTACGTATTAGAACCAACATAGGAACTATTGAACAAACAATTAATGCATTTACTCGTATGTGAACCACACGTTCGTTCCAACAGCTTTCGTCCTAAGGCTTGATTCACACGTACCACAACCACAATACGGAGTGAGCGCTATTGTATTCATATTAATATCATAAACATACGTACCTGATATAACTATAATACCTGTGGTAATACCAAGCACACTGCAACCACGTCGTAACCACCAGCGACATCATGAACATGATACCATAGCGACAATGCAACTATACCCACAACCATCACATCCAGGAACCACCACCACCACGCACCAAAAGTAACTTGTTGTACCACAACGCTACCGCAAGAAACAACGACACTATTCACACGTAACCACAGCTTGACCACGGTTATGGTACGTGTGAAACAAGCCTAAAATAATCTAGTTTTCCTCTACCGACAAAGTACATTTGCCTCGCTTTTAATTGTGTAAAAAAATCGACAATTCGAAGGTTCAATGTAAGCCTAGAGTACTAAATGTTACGTCACGTTTAACTTTTAAAATGATGCTCAGAGAAACACTGATAATAATTTATCATGGCAGAAAATCGCGCGTAATGAAAAACTATTTACGTTCGGAATCGTGTACCCTAGACATGTCCAAAGTATATTAATAACCAGTATTAACCAGGACCAGTATTATGCTAAGACTGTATTGGTAAATACTCGTATTTAAATAAACCTGCGTATACTTACTTCTTTTAAGTAGGTATATTTCAAGACACAACTTTTGACTGCCAGACAGCAAATATTCGTAACTTATGAATCCTTATCAAGTAATACCATTGACAACTACAAATTGAATTCAATCTATTTTTTTCTTTGATGTGTAGCTTGAATGCGAAAATAGATTTCATTTAAGTTAATTTAATATTCCTTTCATGGAACTAGATTGAACTCAAAAATGGCTTGTAAGAAGCACCATGAAACCAATGCAAGGTGATTCAATTTAATCAAATTAGCTTTTCTCAAAGGACCAGCTTTTAGTTTTCTTCTTGCAATAAAAATATTTTTATCGGGGAAAGAAGGTTGATTGATTTGCAATTGACCCCTAAGTCGCGTCGTCGAGGTCAGAGCTGTTTCTGTTATTTATTTATGAATCACTCAATTCAAATATGAAATGTCTTTTCAATAGAAACTGATTCGTCTTTGATTTTCTCATAAATTTAATATGTAGGTATTACAGATCATTTCTACAATCTGTGTCGTTTCATATTAGTTTGCATCAAAACAGAATGATTACCTACTTATTTGCTTTCAACAGGCAATCATTGTGGCTATTTCTAAATGAAAACATGAATGTGAAATTGAGCTCTTTTGAAATGTGACTCTCCAATTATACGAGCCACTTCATAATGAACAAAGATTTTGTATTACAAAAGTGAAGCCAGTTCTATGATGTTGATTTTATAATTACGTAATGAAATTATAACTGCGCCTAAAATTTGTTACTACGCGCGGCATATAATATAAGTAGCACTTGACATTTTCACTGAACGAGCCGCCATGTTACGTATCTCAGTATGTAAATATGTATTTTAAAACTATTTTAACGAAATTAAACACCATTTTTGTGCGCTGCACAGTGATTTAATGATTTCTGAAATACATAATATTTTGAACGATAAAATTAAAAAGCTTTACAGCAAAAAAAAACAGTCAATCTGAAAACTAGGTACAAAAAGGCTCATCAAGCTTAACAATGTGGCATTTTATGTAGTTGTGATAGATTCAATTTTTTTTTAGATGTGATCCTTCATTCCTTTTTCGGACAAAATTTCTTGGGGCTTTTGACCATAACAGCCAGATCAGACTTTTCATTGTTAAATATTCAAGTTAAGTTGCGAATTGTAGATATCCCTACTGCGTTAATAAGAGCTAACATACTCGTTACATATGGTTGTTACACATCGTGTGGATCTAACCGATGAATTTATTTAACAGTTGCGATTCGTCGACCGCCTTGGATGTGCAGTGGACCAGAGCTGACAGAAGACCACTGCAGCCCAACGCGCGACAAAATGGAAACATCCTGATCATACAACGGGTAAGGAGAACCTACTTTTTCATCATCCTCTGGTTAGGTAAGGAACACGACCCATTTCCAGACGCAAATGGAGGATTTTTTATATAACTGCCCACGCTGACTAGACGGATTGGGGAGGCTGGATGTTCGCATATTTCTCTTTTAGTCGAGGTGATTACGACACCCACTGGAAGAGGGAAAGTTAAAAGCAGACTATTTTCATTAACGATGCAAAGTAAAGTTATGTATTGGTATTTAAAGTTTACTTTATGGACTTCTTTATCCTACTAATTTCTATATTACTCCGATATGTAGGTACTAACAATATAAATTACACTGATAACCGGCTAGAGCATGAATTAATTTAGGTGGTCGACACGTATTTGCTTGCTGTTTAGTGGATCGCTACCGCAATCACAAAGCTAGCGGCATCCGCTAGGATCGATCCCGCAAAGGGAAATGTTATGACATTCAATGTAAACGTGAGTTGGTGGAGCTTGAAATATCTACTACTTAATTAGTAACTAGGAATATCTTGTTCATTTTGACACGCATTGATTTATTACGAATGAAAGATGGTCGACACACTTATACGACACAGTAAAATATCGAATTAGTAACTAAATTCCGATGGCTGACCTAGCATTAATAATTGAATTAGTATAATATGTAATTAAATCATGACTTCTTTCTGCAGCATTCTCAAACACTTACATTTTTATTGATTTCCTCAACTATCCCACCAGACTTCCAAACAAGACGCCGGACAATACATATGTAACGTCATGGACCGGTACAACGGCGAGGTGACCAAGTCGGCCACCACCAGCCTGGTCGTCATGGCGCCGCCCAGGATCACCCTGCAGCCGCCCACGCAAACCGTCCACCCGGGCGAATCGCCCACCGTAGAATGCGTAGTAGAGGGTGAACAGATCGAAGAAATCGTATGGCGACCCCTCACCAGACCCTTCTCTAGGTAAGTCGACCAACTAAATTACAGACGAACGAAATGAACATTTATCGACGATTTTAACACCTTAGATTTTTTCAAGAACTAGGACAAGGACTCGCGTCGCCCCATCGATGTCTGCTGAATGTGATCTCATTAACGGAAAAACTTCCCGGGAACCTACATGCCAATTTAAAACGATTTTGTTACATTTCAAACAATATCCTGCCTGCCAATCTCAAATTAGTGTTATTATTAAAATGTATGCTTACAATAACACTATCGAAATAATTAAGCCTCTATAACTCATTGAATAGTAATCTGATATTCATCTAAAATGCATATCACAAAACAGACAATACTGAATACCGTTGTAACTGAATAACAGAATTCCAAAGCGCACGGAACTTTGAATTTCAATACCGCCCAGTTGTGCGCCCAGTCACAAATGCATCAGGTTGCAAACAATGTTGGCTAATACAAACGTAAAATCTGATTTATGGACGTCACGATTTCACACATCACATGCTGAATTTTGATAATGATCTCGACACCCACAGGACTGAGTTTCATTAAATAGCAGCAAATTAGGATTGGTCAGCGTATTCGCAAAGCCGGGTATTCTGGGTAATTCTATGATTCAGTGGATCTGGTTTCGCAAACTAACTACAATAGACAAATGCAATCACCCTCATTATACACTGCGCACAAAGAGGGACTGCCGCCCATGGATACCGCTTTTGTACGCATGCAATAATCGCCTACGCGGTCCAGTAGTTGCCGTATTAATTGAATTGGGCTTAAATTACTGATGATATTTGAAAAAAGGAATATAATTGATTCATCACACTTATTTTAAGACTAGACAGAGCAAGACAAAATCTTGATTTTTTTCAATAAATAATTTAAGGATGTGCCTTCTTGTTTGAGGAAAACTCAGATACCTACCTAAAGTGGCTATAAATCATAAAAATGCCTAAGACAAAAAATATATCACGATAGGAAGCTTTAACTTATATAATATTTATTCATATTTTTCTTACATTTAATAATCCAAATTCACAAACACCTGGACTATTTTATTAAAATGCATAATTACATCGATAACACTTTGTCTAAAACCAATTATCGGTAGCATTGCCAGTTTGCCAGTGTTCTACTTTTAGTATTAGCCGGTCTGAAAACGCGGTGTAGCATCGATGCCGTCGCAAAAGCGCTAATAGATGATGCTAAAAGTAGCTGAGATCTTGAAAATGAAAATGAAAAATGAAAATGAAAAAATGAAAATGAACTTTATTGTGAATGTGAATTTAGGTAAACAATAGCAGATACATGGCTTAATAATAGAAACGCTTCAAATTCTACCTTTTCTTAAGGCACTTCTATTAGGCTTTCACGTAGACTAAATTAATTTCTAAATCCTACTAACAAAGCTTTACGCTAACTGTGGGTTATGTGTTTATCAATTCAGTTATTGTAAAGCCAATGACTCGATGTGACAGCACGAGGGAAATGCTGTGAAAGGGATTATGTTCTATTTATTCTCTTTGTGACTTGATATTATAATGAATGTGACATTACCTTAATTAATTATTCCTGTTTGTTCACTGGTGGACATTATTTGAAATCCAATCGGATATTTTTTTCATCCCATTTCGTATGTAATATTAATTATTGTAGTAAATTAATATTATAGTTAATTAGTGCGGACATAAAATAAAAGGGGCTCGACGTTAATATAAAGGTACTTAAAGAATAATTTAAGACGCAAACATCAAATTTAAATCATCATATAATAATAACTTCAATTGTTAAAGAAAAACGCGAAATCATAGTTGATTGTGCAATTTAAAAAGTTAAGGTCATATTATTTCAGAAAAACTATTATTAACAAAGCTGAAATCACTCGACATTAATGATCTGTAAAAATAATTGTACTTAAAAAAGCTTATAATCGTCCCACTGGAAGGTGAGCGCCACTCCGCCGAGGGGGTGGTGGAAACTTCACCCCCTGCTCTGTGTGCGTTGGTGTAAAGTCGGATGTTATCAAGTCTGTCGACTAATCAATTGATAGCAGGCGGCATCAGGAATAATAATAGGATTATAGCAGACTATTTCAGGTGGCACAGAATAGCCGATGGCCAATCTAGGTGAACAATGGGTGCTATGGTATTAATTATTTCGAAACGTAAAACAATTACCAACATAATTATGGTAAACTACTGATATGACGAAGTTCATTTGATGTGGTTCAAGTCTAATAAACGTTATTAAAACCAGTAAAATAAACTGAGTACTTCACATTATTTATTACTACCTAGTATGATTTAATATAAAATATCAGCGCGGTCGTAACCGAAATACAAGCATCAGTTAACGATTGCGGTCGAATTAATACTTTTGACTACAAAGGGTTGTCGGTTTGTGTACTATGGCGTGTGTCTGATAAAAATACCCATAACTAACCACCGTGCTCAATTAGCAAGCGCGAGCTCGGTATAAAACACAATACGGCATTAATTTTATAAGAGTTAAATCGAATATTATTTTATCCATCCCACCATAAACGTACCTTCTGTGATTGACGGCATACAGGATTTTCATGTATTTTGATCTTTCAGCCTTTTTTTAGTGATTGGCAGTTTTTTTAATTATACCTAATGAAAGTATGGAATGTTCCATTTGCAACATGTCTTGACATGATGCATTCGGAAGTTAGTCAGCACTTCAAAAGTGGTTTTGACTAACGCCCTTGGTCAAAACCACTTTTGACTGGAAAAATCAGTCAAAAGTGATATTTACCAAGGGCATCAGTCAAAACTACTCTTGAATGATTTTTGCAGTCAAAAGTGGTTTTAAACGATTATGAGTTTTGACTGTAACATACATATTATTATGTACCAATACCACCCTCGTACATCACCCACTAACCTTGTCGGCTAGTTAGTGGGTGGCCGGGGGGTGACGCTACATCGCGAAATATTTTTCTTATCGACTCTCAACATTCATACCCAAAGTATTTAAATCACATACAATTACGGTGTGTTTTACATAACACTACAGTAACTGTACAGGTGGCATTATTTATTAATATTTTATATAGATACAGGGTTTTGTTTTTTTTTAACATATACATAATAATATTTATATCACACTACTTTATAAGGGCGGAAGGTTATGAGTGTGGATTGTATGGGTATGTTTGTTACTTCTTTACGTTTAAAAACGGCTGGAGCTGGAAGATTGTAATAAAATTCGGTATGGAGTTAGCTGATACCCTGGATTAACATAGACTACGTTTTACTGCGGGTAACACCGCGGGGCAAAGCTAATCTGTATCATAATTCCAGATCATTATCATTTCCGTAATAATAATAATATTTATATTTATTGATACGCTGAAAACATTCGCCGTTATTTTAATGATCAGTAATTATCGCCGCTTCCACAGATTTATTTGTTGAAAAACTCAACAATATTTTTTATTGTTATTGTGTAAGCCTTTCAGCTGCAATGAACTGGTATTTACATTGATTGTTTGTACCATTATTCAATTATTATCCATCTTATTTTGTTTATAGGTACAGACGAGGTTACAAGAGTGTACTTAACTTCATTAGGTATTTTACCATATCAACTTTTTCTTGGGTTATAGGTTTCGTCTTTATCGAGCTCGGCTTCTTTGATGGTTGAGTTTCATTTTCCAGATTTGTATTGGTTTTCGCTCGCAAATGTCTTGAATGAAATTGATCTATGATTTTTCAATGTTAGCTCGTTTTTTAAGAATGAATAGTAGTGGACATAAAATGCTACCTTGTGAAACTCGTTTGTTTTCCCTGAACTCTGCGCTGTATTCGACTTTACATTATCTTGATTTCTACATGATGTGTGTTCTTCTTCATACCTCCTATCTAGATAGTTATCTACAATTTTTTAGTTAACCGTTACTTCATTTTGTCAGTATTTTATGTTGTCCCAGATAAATATATTTTCGGATATTGATAAAGTAAATAGCTACTTACTAGTATCAAAATTGTATTAAATTTTTTTTTAGTTAAGTATGTGTGATGTTCATTGACATAAGGATTTTAAAAGTTTGGCTTTTATTCATTCTATCATAATATATGAGTTTACTTATTAATTATTTATATTTGAAGTGAGAAACCAAATACATACGCTTCAAATATATTTATTTATTTATTTAATAATAATCTTAGCTCTAGCATTACATTTATAAATTTCAAAATAAATATGCAGAATCTCTTAATTTTTAAGTTGGTTTTCCCTTATTATTTACGCATACCAGTATTTTTGTGTCATGAAATTCTTTCCGATCATATTTTCTAGAAAATATGCCATTTGTTAGTCATTCTATTTCTTTTCCAATGAATGGTTGTATGGCTTTGATGTTATCCTACTTGAAAAAGTTGAATCTTGTGAGTAGACTAGCACGCAAACAATAATAGTAGTAAGTTATGCGCCAAAGAAATAAAGCTATTTCTTCACGAGTGCTGTATTGTATTGTGTTCCGAGAATGCGAAGGATTCTGGGGTTAACCCCTTAACTTATTGAGGGAATCAAAGACTAGAATTTTGAGGATGCCGAGGGATTAATGATTGCTTAAAATTAAGACAGCTTTATATCCATGGAGTATAACTAACTACTCTCCATTTCACACCTCCTGCGAGATAATACATAATAAACTAAAACCGCATGAACAAAATGTTTTGTTCCCACTTTCCAAATCAATGCCTCACCACAAGGCATCATAATGATATATGATAATGATAATGAAATCCTAACAACAAAATTGGCAGTAGAGACACTTGATAATTAGGTTACCCAGTAGGTTTATATGCTAACACACAGCAGGGCAATACGAACAGGTGGTGTGAAAATAACACTGTGTGACAAAAAATCTCAAAATAATTTAATTTTAATATACGAGTAAATTGCTGTATGATGGGCATCTAATACGATATGGTAATTAATTTTATATATTGTCTTTATCAATGATAACGAGTTATAATGTAACTTTAAATAAACTTATTTAATTTGAATAGTGGGGCATTTCACGCGAAGCGGACAGCGAAAATCAAGTCAGGTTTTAGATTTTGTTCATATTTGGATTAAATGTACTGCTATATGACCTGAATGGATGTGCATCATTATAATTTTTTTATGAAGCTTAGTTTATTTTTTATGAGCGTTCAAAAAATTGGTAAAATTTTAGGAACAGATTTTTCTGAAGCTATTACTGCTATTATTACATTTGATTAAAAACAAACTGACTATTGAACTTTTGAGAATAAATAACTGTGTTTCTTACTATTTACTACAAATTTGAAATTTCTTTTTTGTTCACATAGAAAACCGGAAGTAAAGTTTTAAAATCGAATTTTACAAAACTTCGGTATTTTTAATTTTTTTTATTTTTATTTTAAAATATACCTAGTAGTCTATAAATAACGTGTGTAAAGTTGTAGAATGGAGTCTGTATTGGTTTTTGATTTAGACGCAGTACAGTGCGAGCGCGCCGCAATGAGCGTCATACTGGCTATCGACATTTGGCTACTGTATAAAAATTATTTGTTCGAAAACAACTGAAACGTTAATATTGTTGCATGCATACTCTTAAACAATTATAATTTTGACTCGGCGAACTTCGTACCGTCTAACAGACAATGATTGTTGGCATTGAGATGGTGCGTATTACGTCGCGGACTACCCACATCACATCTTATTGAATAATACACTAAAAACATAATTCTTCTTTTTTAGGTAGTTGGCTCGCTACCTCCATATCAAATTTCATCAAAATCTGCCGAACCGTTCTTGACTTATAAATCGTGTAACTAACACGACTTTGTTTTATGTATAAAACAAAGAACGGCTGAACAGATTTTAATGAAATTTGGCATGAAGTTAACTGGCACCCCGGACTAACATATCCCGACTACCCAAAAAGAAGGGTAATGTTTTAATAGTATTATCCAATAAGTTGTGGGTGGTCTGCGACGTAATACCATCTCAATGCCAACAATCATTGTCTGTTAGACGGTACGAAGTTCGCCGAGTCAAAATTATAATTGTTTAAGAGTATGCATGCAACAATATTAACGTTTCAGATGTTTTCGAACAAATAATTTTTATACAGTAGCCAAATGTCGAGAGCCAGTATGACGCTCATTGCGGCGCGCTCGCACTGTACTGCGTCTAAATCAAAAACCAATACAGACTCCATTCTACAACTTTACACACGTTATTTATAGACTACTAGGTATATTTTAAAATAAAAATAAAAAAAATTAAAAATACCGAAGTTTTGTAAAATTCGATTTTAAAACTTTACTTCCGGTTTTCTATGTGAACAAAAAAGAAATTTCAAATTTGTAGTAAATAGTAAGAAACACAGTTATTTATTCTCAAAAGTCCAATAGTCAGTTTGTTTTTAATCAAGTGTAATAATAGCAGTAATAGCTTCAGAAAAATCTGTTCCTAAAATTTTACCAATTTTTTGAACGCTCATAAAAATTAAACTAAGCTTCATAAAAAAAATATAATGATGCACATCCATTCAGATTATATAGCAGTACATTTAATCCAAATATGAACAAAATCCAAAACCTGACTTGATTTTCGCTGTCCGCTTCGCGTGAAATGCCCCTAGTGTCTAAGATTTTTTTTACATAAATATTCATGTTTAAATTTACTATATTTAGTATATTTAGCTATTTTTAAAATGTCACACAGTGTAATTCGTGTTGGATCTCAGAATCAATTGGGACTAAATGGGTATCAGCTAAGTATCAGTAGGTAGTCTAATAATAAAAAAAAGTTTAAAAAAGGATAAAAATACGTGTTATGTATTTTTTGATAAGTTAACTGATGACGGACTAATTCAAACTTGCTTTTTTACCCAGGAAATATCCCTATACAGTAAACTCATGATTTTTCATACATAATTTGTTAGTCTATAAACGTCTGTACCCCATTGATTTTGGATATTGAGCTTTTGGTGAGGTAAATGTGCATTATAATGAAACTACTAATACCCATTTAATGTCAATCGTTTCTGGTTTTCTTTGGACCATCTCTTTTTCGTGTGTACCTACTTCACATCTGGTTCGACCCATAACTTGAGCTAAATTTACAGCCGCGTGGACGCTCGCTCATCGACGCTGATCTTCAACCGCATCGAAGTGGAAGATGCCGGCAAATACTTGTGCTTTGCCAAGAACAGAGTAGCTAACACGTCGGCCACCGCCGAGGTCGTCGTCAGCGGTACGTTGCACAAATTTACCCAGATATTATTATAACCACACCATAATCAGTAACCACAATGACAGAGGCATGTAACACCTCAAAAAAGCACAATTTTCATAGTATTTATAATACGACAGGTTGCGCGATAGTTTTCAGTTAAGTAATAAGTTTTTGCTTGTTACATTAATAAGCTCTCGCTGTTCACAACGCTCAACCTGTGGTATCATCACGTAATCACAACACCGAATGTACAGTTCAGGTCGCACATAAATGTGAAGGCGCCTGTTCTCGTTTGATTTGCATACCACTGATATCGACACTTGCTTTCCATTTTCATTGAGATGCTTGAGGGTCGAGTTGATTGCATGAATAACCGTCCATAGAGGATACCGATCGCGCGCCGTCAGAGTCGCACGATAACGAACAGCACGCGCACGTGGGAGCCGCCGTCCAGCTCAGCTGCAACGTGCAGCAGTCCCCCGCCGGCTTCCGGATCTCGTGGACCAAAGACGGGCGCCCCCTCCCGCGCTCCGTCCACAAACAACCGGACGGGTCCCTCTACATACGTCTCGCCCAGAAATCCGACAGTGGCCACTACGTCTGCAACATTCAGGACCGATACGGACGCCGAACTAGCAATTACATCAACCTGCACATTGACGGTCAGTGCCCGTAGTTGGAGCTGCGAGGTGCCAAGCTTTGCCTCTAGTAACCAACGCATGCTTGTCAATAGATCTTCGCTATTTAGTTGTTGTATTTTGACTAATGATATATTTTATTCATGAGAATTTTTCGCCCATAAAGGTGATGAGGATTGTAAGGATACACAGTTTCGTTGTTATGACAACACGGGTTGTGTAGACGTAGATCTGCTGTGCGACGGAGTCAGTGATTGTCCGGATAATAGCGACGAAGGGAACTGCATTCTTCGGGAGAAGCGGATTCGAAACCGGAACGCGGAATACCGAAATGCGGGTAAATCCACAGGGCAATCCTGCGGTTGTGTTCGTACGATGTGCAGTATGGGCGTACATATTTGTTGTTACTAAGCGGTATCTGTATCTACTTTGGCAGCAGTGGAGTATGACGACGTTCGTGATTTGTTATTGTCCATTTGTGTAGTCTATGTCTATTGTAATATTTTGCGATTATTATTCGATTAGTAAGCAGTATTGATATTTACTTATAAGATAATAATGCTAATTTCATTGCACGGCTTTGCATGTTCTATAAAACTTATATTATGAAAGAAAAATGTTGGTGTTGGTGTTTGTTCTCTGTGATATATTTATTGTTGTTAATGGTATAACAATTTTATGTCTTCTAAATTTTACAGGAATAAAGGTAACTAATCACATATTACATTTGCACGAGTTTCGTTTTAATTTCATTGGGGTCTTGGGTTTCATCATTGTCATCTTCCTCACAATTAAGTAATCGAAATTACCTATTTATATTTGCCAAATACATTTTATGTGGGGTAGCTTCAATATTTTGTGAACTTGTTTTTATTTATTACATACCTACTACAGCTTTTTTCTTTTGGATATTCTTTAGTTATTGTTTCCACTGCAAAAGCGTATTATTAACTATGAGTAATTATAGGTGGTGAGGTCAGAACCCTAAACCTGGTTTCCATCGAGCAACCTCGCAGACAGTACAGAGTGGGTGAGAACGTGGAGGTGCTATGCCGCGCCGGGTCGCGCGAAGTCCGCGTCTACTGGGAGAGATACGGCACCAGGCAGTTTGTCGAGTCAAGGGTAAGCCACTTTAGAATTTATAAATGCTCTATCCAGGGCACATTTTGATAATTCCTCCCGTGACATTAGGTACTCGATCGTTAGTCCTACAGGAAGCATATTTTTTTTTATATCTTGTTTATTGCACTACGGGACTCTTCCCACCTCTCGTTCCCACCACTGCAACTCCTGTGTAGCCAGGATCTACAGCTTGACCGCCATAAAAACCCAACCAATGAAGGTCAAGTTTGTCCCGGGGGAAAGTTAAACTGTCATTGGACCCGCAACGAAATTAAACAGAAGAACATAGGAGTTCGAAATTAAGGTTTGACTTCCCTCCATTGCAAAGCGGATGACAGGAGACAAACAAAGGTTTTTCTTGCACTACCTTATCTTGCAGTTTGTTTGGTAGTCGGTTTTTTATGTGGTTGGTTTCCAATCGAAATGTTTTCTGCAGACGTTCGGAGACGGCGCCATGTTACTGGTGCCCAGCGTGCAGGAGTCGGACGCCGGCCTGTACCGCTGCACAGGCACCGATCCCTACGGCCGCTCTAGCTATGAGGACTTCAACCTGGAAGTGATTCCAGGTGAGACAGGTTTTATATTATGACATAAGCTATTCACTATTCAATGAGGTGAAGTGTTGTCACCTGCCAGTTACGTTTTAAACTGATATTTATAAGGCGGACCAAAAGTGACAACTAGACATCTTTTCTTTTTTACAACATTGCGTCGTTCTTTTTTACAATGTTAATTGAACAGGGTCAATAGGCAACTGCTAGTTCTTTAATTTTATTTTAAGACTTACCTCCTAATCTTTTTAATTTAGTTTTTTTAACATACTGCTTAAACCCCTATTTCTTAGAGCCTTCTCCCCTTTTAATTTAGTGTTCAGAACACACTGCCATATTCGCCTGTGGGGGTTTTGAAAGATGTGGGGTTTTGAAAGATGTTCTCTGCATCGCGGGACTTAGGTGACATTTCATCCAAGAAAATCTGATCCGCGGATGAGTTGTCTCCCTTTTTAAATTTGTTAGGTGTCGAATCATCCGCACGAATGGGGGGCATTCCCCTATCCGCAGCAAATCCAAAAATGCACACGGCAGATCCAAAACTGCTTCCGAGATCCAAAAACCTTCAGCTTGCCTCACACCACTAACTTGACTAAAACCATCTGGTTAACTCTTAGGAGCCGTCGTGTGGCCCGAGTATCCTCCGAACGAAGTAGTGCAGTACACAGTCCGCCTGGGCGACAGCATCGACATGCCTTGCAGCCACAACCTGGAACAGCCCGTGTCTGTGGAGTGGCGGCGCGAGTACTCGCCGCTGCAGCCCGAGGTTCGAGCCAACGAGGTCAGTATAACATGTTTGAGGTTGGATACCCAAAAATCAAAAATTTAAATCAAAATTATCTTTATTTGTATAGACTTATATTAGTACTTATAAATCGTCAAATGCTCCATGTCTCATTTTTTTGCCCTACAAACATTTGGGAAGTGCTGAGAAGCGCCGCAACAAACTCAGTCACCACTGTCTGCCGGTTAAAACTTTCGTAATCCACACTTTCACACGAGGTTCTTAAAATAATTTAAAAAAATATTTAGCCATCTTTTTTAATTTCAAAATCAATTAAATTATGCAACGTGAAAGCGTTGCATAATTTAATTATTTTCAACATGATACGCCGAAAGGTAATAACGAAATATTACCTGTATTTGCCTTTATCAGCGTATCGCGTTATACCTGTATAAATTTTATAAAAGAATTTTCTCAAGCCAGCGACTTAAGGCAAATTGCAATGGCAGTATTTACTGCAACACAAGATTTCAGTGTGGGAAATTCGATAAAAAACCGATAAGTTATCACAGGTATAGGAGGCTCGTGTGCCGACAAACTAATTAACTTGCTACTCGCCGGAAGTGACACTGGCCTGGCTAATTGCATCCATCCGCTCAGGAAACCGGCCACATAAGTACCTAGTCCTACACTTCTAAAGCGCTAAATTTAGCCTGGATGGCTGTATGTTCTGTAGGTCATTCTTCTTCTTCTTTTCAGCCAAATGACGTCCACTGCTGGACGACTGCAGGTCATTACCTAAAGAAAAAGCATTTTACTTCGCAAATATCAACACGCCTCTTCGAGTTACGAGCATCGCATCAACACAGCCTTTTAATAAATTTTTTCACCGCCACCTACTTAGGCCAGGGATGGCACGTTTAGCACGCGATACAATCTCTTGGGCAGGCCACCCATCACAAAGTTCACTATGAAATAAAATATTACAAACGAAAGTCTCTCACATAATATCAAACTTAAAATGGCATTTTATGTAAGATATCAAAAAAACAATTGATAATTTTTCAAACAGGTAAAATCATTATTCCTCTGGCTTAGCAACAGGGGGAAATAACGGTACCAACTCATTTGAAGCAAGTACGTTCCACTTGAACTGTATTATGTCTTAATGAGACTTAGCAATGAAACAATAATTGGGGATTTAAAAAAAAATCAAGTGGGGATCAGAATCTCGAACAACGCGGAAACGGTTCCGAAGAAATCGAGTCGAACCCGTGCAGACGGTAATCACCTACTCGCATAGGGTTGTCGCTTTTTTGCCTGTATGATATCGTTGATATACCTACCCAAAGATTTTGAATTGTGTAAAATAAAAAATAAATAATATTATTGTGTGACAGCCCCCCAAATCTCTGAATATTCTTCTTAAACCTGTATCTTAATGCAACGAAAAACAATATGATATTTAAAAAACATTTTTGCCTCTTAGGCTGCCGAACCCTATAAAGAAAATACTTAACGCTGTACGTAAAAGTATAATTTACATATAAATTATAAGTCGAAATCAATACTGATAATAAGCCTCTTTCAATGGCAGGTACTTGGCGTTGGCGAAATCTCAACATTATTGTTTTGGTGCTAATAATTTTTGCTTGTTTTTGTATATCGACTGTTGTTACTATCTAGATTTATATCTTCACAAAAAATCAAAACATGGAACCTGCTCGACTATGAGTGCTAAATCATCTGAAATAGAGTTCAATATTGAGAGTAGTTGCCCAGAATGCGTGGGATCCCTAAACCTTTTAATAAATATTGCTAATTTCTCTGCCCTTATTTTGGGACCTTAACACAAGAGATTAATGTTCAAAACTGTATGCCGCTGGCTTGTTTTTTAACCCACTTCAACAAAACGTTTTCAATTCGGTTTGTTTTTAAATTATTTTTATAAATAGTTCAACGACAAAATAAAGTCAAGATTTTTTTAATTGTCTAGCATGTTAAAAATAGTTCTTATGAATCGTCTTTGTTCTTTATAGAAAAAAATATAAGACAAACAACGGAGCCTTTTCATGTCGTTTTGCCCTAAAGCGCTTCGATGCAAGTGCTAAAAGCGCCGCAACAATTTCAGTCACCACCGCCTGCTGGTTTAATTAAATAGAAATAACGGCAGCAGGTACATTATTGATTCAGGAGCAGTTTCTGAATTTAGCGCGTATTGGATTGGTATACAAAATTAAACCTTATGAAGATTGGCATACAAAATTGCAAAGTACTTAATTATCTATCTAACCAAATTTTCTTGTTGGCAGCCAACTCTCCACCTGGAACGAATTATGGAGGCTGATGCTGGTACATATGTGTGCCGTGTGAGCAACAGCAGGACAGCAGTGGAATCAAGGGCCGTGCTGAGGGTCGCTGGAGTGGTTCCAAGGTTCGACGGCAACAGCTGGATCTCCCTGCCCACCTTGAAGGAAGCCTACAGGCATTTCGACATCGAAATCTCGTTCAAGCCAATCGGTGAGTGACGATCGATAATCGCCTGTTAGGCGACTTATGCCCGTTTTCACCATCAATGCCTAATTTTAAAGTGATACTTATGGTTAATAATTTTGTTTCTTAAAAATTAGGGATTGATGGTGAAAACGGGCATGAGAGTCTTAATAGACTCTTTTTTCTGTATTTCTTTTGATATGATTATGTGCTGTTTGGAATGCCCTGACTTATGTTTAGGCTTAAATCGAATTCAGTTTAAACTGCCTATTTGATGCCAGGTCAGGTTCCTTAAGCTAATTATAGTTTACATTGATATTATTATCGTATCGTACTCGTACTTCATAGAATATGATTAGGCTAGAACCACGAATGGTATCATGTAGCATTCATGTACAGTCGCTACCATATTTAACCCTACACAAAATTAAAATCTCCTATAGATTGTATTCACAAGTTTTATGTTTAAATTCGATGGATCAACCAGTTTTATATTCAGTAATTGATTATATTGCAAGCTTGTTCACAAATTGGAAATTCCATATATTAGCTGGATTTAAGCCTTTAGAATTAATAGCATCAAACCAACCATTTTACTTTAAAATGATAGCTATTAAATATATAATCATCCATGTTTTCGGGCGACCTAAAAACTTTCTAAAACTTTACAAGCGTTAGGTCTTATCAAAGTGGACGCTCGCTAATTCACCCTTTAAATTCCAGACGGGACCGGACTGATTCTGTTCAACAGCGAGAAACAAGGGCCTAACGGGGACTACATCGCGTTGCAACTCATCCGTGGAGTGCCTCAGTTCATAGTCGACGTCGGCTCCGGGCCCATAGTCGTCGATGGAGACCGTCCACTGCAACTTAACACTTGGCACACAATTCGCATCAGCAAGACCAACTCTAAAAGTAAGTTAAATTAGATGACACATAAAAAAGGCACAACACTTCATTCTAGTCCTAAAAATGAAGTGTCCCCAAAACACTGTAAATCTAGAGTTCAATTACCAAAATAGTGAAGTCATCGGCTAGAATAGCTATTAAAAATGTACGGAACAACCGCTTCACACAGTTGATTGGTGGTTTAGAGAAATAAGTTAAGAGATGTCTTATACAATAATAAGACATAATTTGCGGTAGAGTTCCCAAACTTTGTGTATTATTGTGAAACACGATGTCCACACGTTGCATTATCATTAGGCTTCCTTATTGTAACTGTCTAGCTAAGTAATTTGATACGGCCCGAGCGCGCGCCTCGATGGGGCCGCCACCCTGAAAATCAAATTTGTGCAGCAAGTAATCCTATAGCGAATAATAACCATTTTAGTAACAATGGACGTGGACAACAACGGACCGACCAGCGTGAAATCGACTGGCTGGGAGATCCTGGAGCTGCTAGAGCCGCTATACATTGGCGGAGTCCGTGACTACGGCGCGCTGCCCGCTCAGCTCGCAGAAGCCTCAGGGTAAGCCCCATCAAACTTAAAGAGTCTCGATATAAAATGATGTTTCTAACTTCGCTCTAAGGCTATCCAATTTTGTGAAAATCGACGTCCAAACTAAAATCTCATTCATCCTCATTCTTTAACTTAGCTAACATTATTTAATACAGATCCAAAACCTTTAGGACCGAATGTTTACTCCACTGTTTAATCAGATCTCCTTAAGTACTCGATAAAATCACACATCGGCTTTTTCCGCAAACAAGTTTGCTTTTGAACGTTAGCTTTTATGTAAATAGTTGTACAGGGGCGATGGAAGAGTACCTATGATTCGAGCGGAAATCCGATTGATGCACGAGTTACGATAATATTTGCCATAGGATTCGCAATGCCTGTACCTAAAATCTTTAGCAGCTAATAAATTGGTTGCTTATAACTATTCTTTTCTCGATCTAGATTCGTGGGATGTGTGAGCATGCTGATATTGGGTCGTGAGGAGAAGAACATTATGATGGAACGTCTTGAGCAATCGAACGTGCTGGAATGTGACTCCTGCTCGCCTAACCTTTGCTACAAGAACGGAGTCTGTCAGGTATGTGGTTAACCCCAATTTTCAAAGGATAGACAATTTCTTATGTGCACGCTCTTCACGTGAGGCCTACTTTGGCCGACTTTGACAAAGTGTGAGGCCTAAACTAGTTAGCTAGTCAGTGTAAGGCCTACACCACTTAGTGCGAGGCCTATTCTGGTCAGTGTGAGGCCTACACTAGTCAGCGTGAGACCTATACTAGTCAGTATGAGGCTTTCACTAGTCAGTATGAGGCCTTCACTAGTCAGTATGAGGCCTTCACTAGTCAGTATGAGGCCTACACTATACATATTTGTATGACGCCTACACTAGTCAGTATTAGAGCCTTACCACACTGGCGGATTACAAGCGTTTTCAACGCGGAGCGGCAGAGACGCCGCGGCAATTTGCAAACATTTCGTCTTACTAGTAAATACAGGGTGGAACTTTGTAAAGCCACCTGGAGGGGGGAAAGTACTCTTAATACTGTAGATAGAAAATTTTACTAAAAGAAAACATTCCTTTATTTTTGAAAAGAAAGAGAACTGCATCCAAAGAATTTCGAATTTTTTTCGAGAATTCACTACCATACCACACAATTTTCTGTACACAATTAAAATAACTTAAGATTTCATGGTTATCCTTTCATTTCATTTATCAAGTTTGTTAAAGAAATTTCATCCTTATACTTAACCCTAACGATCGATGTAATAAAAATACAGGGTGTGATTTTTTACAGATTTTAGTTGCTTCGATAGTGGAAATCTTTGAATCCAGTTATACCTATTTCCTTTCAAAAATATAGGAATGTTTTCTCTGAGAAAATTTTTCTATCTACAATATTAAGAGTACTTTCCCTCCAGGTGGCATTACAAAATTCCACCCTGTATAAAAAAAGTAGGAAGTTACAATACATTCAGAAGCAAGTTACTTATCATGCATTCCCGTTGATAGAAGGTAACTCTATCTAGCACGAGACTGCGTGGCGAGTTTTAAATGTAGTATTTCTTTAGTGCCGTGCTAATATCGAAACACTATGCTAATATGGAGTAACAGCCTAAATGTAAGGGCTGTGTTACACCCAAGCGAGCCAGCATTAATCGAATATTCGATGTATTGTCAGAAAAACTGTATCCGTGTGCAACAAATCAAGTCTCGATATTGATGCCTTAACAGGAAGCGCGTAACGAGCGCGGTTACATCTGCCTGTGCGCAGCCGGGTTCGCGGGCCTGAACTGCGACCGCACGGGCGAGGCCTGCAGGCCCGGCCTGTGCGGGCCCGGCAAGTGCACCGACACCGCCGATGGCTACAAGTGCGCTTGTCCAGTCACATACACCGGCAAGAAGTAAGTAAACAAAATAAAATAATGCCTGCGGACAGAGTAAATACAAATGATTAGGTTATCTTCATGGAAACGCACCGAGTGCGCCAATACGTATGCGGCGCGCACGCACACACTGTCAAAATTCGGCGCAACCACGACTGACTCCCCGCTAATCTACGATAAATTTTGTCAGTGTGTGCGTGCGCACCGCATACGTATAATTGGCGCGTTCACATACAAACCGCGCTCGGTGCGTTTCTATGAAGATAACCTAATTTGTATTTACTCTGCTGCGTATAAACCCACGATATATCATTAAATCCGTACAATTAACTGTGAAAGTTGAGCTGCTTGCTTCATTTACTCAGTTTTCTTTATTTTGTGCGTGTATATTAAAATAATTTCCGAATTAAAATAATGATTCCAATTAAAACAAGCAAAAGCAAGTTGTTTCTGATGCGGGCTTTTGTCCGGAACAAACCTTTAAAATGATACGATGAAAAAAGTGAACACGGCAATTTTCGGATATTGAAGTAAATCTTTGTTTCAGTTGCGACGTGAAACAATCGATCGAATACCCAGCGTTCACTGGAAGCGCCTACCTCGCTATCAAGGCCCCGAAGGCTACACGATTCTTCCGCATGTCCATGAAGGTCAAAGCTTCGGCTCCGGTGTCAGATGGAATCATCATGTACTGCGCTGAGTCGCCCAGAGGATACGGAGGGTTCACCGCCCTCACTGTGCACAACGGACGCCTGGAGTTTACTTACGACATTGGAGACGGTAAGTGGCAGCACATACACGGGCACTAAATACAATAATTCCATACGCACACACACGTGATCACATATGATCATGTCGATCATACCCTAATTATTATAATTATTCCTCCCAATTCTAGGTAGGTATAGTCCGAAATAATAACAGACATTATTATAAGAAATACTTAATATTAAAGCTAAATAATATTCATACCGATCTACGAGTATCTAAGTATCTTTGACAACGAAGTAAAAGTAGACTGAGGCAGTTATTAGCTCTGATTGAATCAATTTTATACTAATACTCATAGAATACGAAGCATGCATATTTTTATGTATCTAAAAATGGATTGTTGTCTAGAAGTTTGTACATTACAGTAAGTAGTAGGCACTGCCTACTACAACAAGTAGGTACATACTTCTCATAATGACGCTACAGAGCATATCAAATAATTTTCTGTAAGTGAAATGGAAACATATTCGTCAAAACCATGTTACAGTTATAATATCAAATTATCTTCTGAATATTTTGTTTTGGCACCTCTAAAAATATTAACAGTGAATCGAGAAATCCTGCAAAATGGAGTCACTCTACATTAGCTTTAAAACTGTAATGACTAACAAAAGCACTTTCAATCCATAACATTGCTCATTAAAATCGACCATTAGCACGGAATAAGTAATAGTACAGGTACAGAAGGATTACTCCGCAAGACGATTTAAACAAATGCGAGTCTTGCTACGACGCGATAAAGTGGAATTCAGCTCGCACAGCACTACGTACCTACAATTTTATTCACCTACAAGTTTTGTCTCTTTCTATCGCGTGCCTCTGAACTCTTCTTACGCTGCTAGGGTTGCTGCAGTTGCTGTCTAGTGAAAAAATAATTAATCTTCTTATATGTAATGAGGTACATATGTAGCATTCATGACTCATACGCATTCATTATGGAAAATCTTGGGAGAGGCCTTTGTCCATCAGTGGACGTCAGTGAAACGAACGAACGCATTCTGAGCAGTACCTAGTCATGGTAGGTTAGGTTCCTATCTTAGATTAATTATTGGCTTTATTAATCTAAGGTTCCTATACTATCCTAAGAATTATTGATTACCTACATGGATAACATACCTTTCAGCATCTCTGGGAAGCGAAAAAAAAAGATAAATCCGGTAGATTTATTTTCGAATTTAAACACCCGAACGCCGCACAATATTTCTTTCTCTTTATGTCCATTTTTAAATAATACTTCGATCATAGAATTAGGTACGTACTACAACGCACGCCAGCGTCCTGACAGGCGCGCGCGTGACACTCGACTGATATAATACCCGCCGGCGGGGCGCTTCGCTGTAGGTAATTATCGGATGTACCGCGCGGAGTGAGCCAGGCCTGCCATTAGGTACCTACCTTGAATTGTTAATCAATCACTCACTAACGGTGCAGTCAAAGAGAACGCAACCTGCATAAAATAATCCATCGTGAATACGTTTATTTGTTTGAGTGTAATGTCCACTAAAAGCCAACCGCCGGCCATCGAACGTCGCTCTCACCCTTCAGCAGACTGATATTTTCTAGAGGTATATCAATAATAACTATAAACGTTGCATCGCGTAGGGCAGCGAGGGGACTTCCGCCAGCAAATGTAGAAAATAATTGCGAACATTGTTGGCATTTCAGAGTTCAGTATCAACCGTGCATAGGGGTTTTTGTTCTCATAAATTAGTACTGTTTAATTCTTATCTTCTTTATTCGATATTTCTCTACTGACAATTTTTGGCACTAGCTCTGCACTATTTATTCCCAAATTCCATAGCTGTATTTATGGCGAGCTCACAACCAAACATGTTTGGTTGTCAGTAAGTTTAGTAAGTAATTAGGCAACCTTCGAGTGTACACGCACTTCGAAGCTCGAAACTTCGAAGTTATACCAGCCAGTTATACTTCGAATCGATATTTTTTTACGATCTTAAGTTCATGCGACCTGACCCCCGGACGAAGGAAACATAAAAATACATTGACAATAAGGCCTAAATTTCAGTGAAGACGAGTCGCTCAGAATAGACGTGTCTGGAGGCCGATTACAAGGAAAGGTAACCTCGATATGTCTGGACTCTGGAACAAGACCACTATGATTTATTTTTATTTTTGTCACTTTATTAAGTTTGAACTTCAGTTTCAATAAACGGTTACGTTTGACGTCGTCCGATGAAGCTGTATTAATTTGTTGGAACCAATATCAACTCCGAAAAACAAATTAAAAATGAGCATTCAATATTTGCACGTTACTTAACTGCCTGGAGCTATTTACTCACCCCAACGTCCAATGAAATACTGAAAGTTCCCAAAAATTAAACCACCATCTGCATGTAACATCCCAGATGCTGAGTATTACGTATAGTGTATAAATGTCTTTATTGCAAGAAAATATCGTTTTTATTTCCATATTGTGATGTTTTAGATTAATACAAACTATTATTCGAAAAAGATTCCTATCGATCAAGATTGTTTTAAAAATTTAAAGTTAAAGTGGTAATACAGTACTTATTATTATTCTGTGGTAATACTCGTATTACACGAACATCTATTAATTATCGACCTATTTACCTAGATAAAATTCATTACTTTATTTGGAAACCTTACACTTACAACCTCACACTCAAATGTTGGACATCATTTTACATAAAATATAATTGTTTTGACACTACCTAGCTATAAATAAATATTAAATTGAGTATTTAGGGCCACTTCCGAGCTCTTATAAAGTCGAAGTATTCGTATAAGATTTTAATTAAATTCTATTTTAGTCAAGAATATTATTGGCTTAACTCCGCTCCCGGAAAAGCACATCGACCGGTAATGAGGAAAGAGGTTCAAGGCTATGTTACCTTTGCCAGCCTTTATTGCAGGTAATAGAATTTCAAAGTGCAGTCTTAACAGGTTCTTAACAAGTCCATGCCCTCTTGACATTTAAAATTCTAATCAACTTTTATGTATATGCATCCGCTCTCCATCAGGCTTTTACTATAGTGATATTTTAAGGTTTTAAACTATATAGGTACCTACTAGTGCTGGCACTTGCACAATCATTTCGTGCAAGTCTGTCAAATCAATTCGTGACGTCGTCAAGGTAAGGTGTTATTTGTAAGAAAAAGCGAAACATTTATACGGATTCCATGTTGCTTGATCACACCGTTTAATGTGACAGGTGGCAAACGTTGTTTGCGTTCTGACCACTCGCCACCGTAAGGACGCGTTTCCACCAAAGCTTCTCAGCGGAGCATATAACGCAATTAGAGAGCACTTTTCAAAGGAAATATCGTCTATTTGCTGATATCACCTCGCTCTCTCGCCCACCTCTTTTCCATCAAAGTTGCGAGAAAATACAAATAACTGGTTCCAGTTGATGAAATATTTTTCTCATCATACAGTTGCTTCGTAGAATTTTGATGGAAACTCAGCCTTAGTCCTTAGTCTAGCCGCAGACAACAGACATTTGTCGGCCGATAGTTGAGTCGGGCTGTTAATCAGTATGGATATTATGTATGAAAGTGCGCACATTATACACCGATTTGGTATCGGCCGATTTTTCATACCAATTAGAATCGGGCCCAACTATCGGCCGACTAAAAGTATGTAGTCTGCGGGGAGTCTTAATACCTTTGCTACGGCACGGATTGATACAATGTTTAGTCGCTCAGGGGGGAACGATGCAGATATTTTAGGGGTATTCAAGGGTTCTTAAATCGGCTCTACGACAAGTATGATACTTGCTACAAATGGAAATTAATTGGCTAGAGTTTTTCCTTGTTCTCGTTAGTGAGCGTAACTCAAAGGGTATAAAGGTGTTTGTAAGTTTTCATTTTGAGTAACGATAAGGATGAGCTTATTAGCCCCCAATTAGCGTAAAGGGGTAGAAATGGAGGAAATTAAAGTATGCCAGTTAATGACCCTTTTCTACTACTGTAGGAAGCCGGCCCGTGGTGCTGCAAAGCAACAGAAGCCTGCCAGCCAACGAATGGACCGACGTGCAAATCGCGCGCGTCGGGCCCACCGTCACGCTCACTGTCGACCTGCAGTACAGCTTCCAAGACAAACTGGACTCACCTAAGAATGTAAGTTTACCCTTTGTATGTGTCGCAGTCGGATTGTATAATCCGCCGTTTTACATTACCACTAGGCATTTTACATTACAGCTCTGTTTTGTAATACGGCGGCCCACGTTTAGCCGCATCGTACTTCTATAGATTGTAGGGTGACTATACTTACAAAATAAAACAATGTTTAATGAAACTAAATTTTAATAAGACAGATTTTAAGAATTATTACCTTCGTTACTGTATACTAAATAATATATTTGGCTTCAGTACTTTTTTTTTACTTATTTATAAATCACAAGGGATAGCCATCTAAAAAAACCGGCCAAGTGCGAGTCGGACTCGCTCACCGAGGGTTCCGTATAAACCTGCAAGGTTTACAAAGTTCGTTCATTACGACAATCGAGTCATAACTATGGTATTTTTATTGCAAAATGAAATTCGTAAGTTTATATTTATTAAAAAATATATATTTTGTAATGTAACTAAAAATTTAAGGTTTTCGGAATTTTTCCTTCATGTGTGCTATAAAACGTTGCTTCATGCCAAATTTCAAGATTCTAGGTCGACTGGAAGTACCCTTTAGGTTTTGATTCCCTTGCGAATACTTGCGAGTTTCAAAATATGCAGCTTAAATTGCTGTTTCTTTTGATTGCGTTGACATAGAAGTTCGATTTTGTTACAACTTAAAGGTATTATAGACCTGAGTATTTGGTATGAATTTCAATTTAATACCTCTACGCGTTTATGAGGAAATGGGTAGTAAGTTTAAAATTATTAAAAAAATATATATTATGTGATGTAACTAAAAATTTATGGTTTTCGTAATTTTTCCTTTATCTATGCTATAAGACGTTGCTTCGTACCAAATTTCAAGATTCTGAGTTCACGGGAAGCACCCTGTAGGTTTTGATTCCCTTGCAAGTGTCGAAAATTTGCGGCATAAACGGCTGTATCTTTTGATTGCGTTGGTTTAGAAGTTTGATTTTTTCACAGCTTCAAGGAACAGTAGACCTGAGTAATTGATATAAATTTCAGCTTCATACCTCCACGCGTTCCTGAGAAAAAGGGTCTTGACAGACGGACGGACGGACAACAAAGTGATCCTATAAGGGTTCCGTTTTTTCCTTTTGAGGTACGGAACCCTAAAAAAGTAACTCAAAATAGACTTTTCTAAACATTTTAAGAATTAATTAGATATTTGGCTTTAGTCTTTTTAGACATTAAAAATGATCAAAGGGAACAGGTAACTCAAAACAATAAAGTTTTGGTCATTTTTTCTGGGTTATTTTTCTTTAAGATAAAATTATCTTCACCGGCCACTGCCATGATTTCATATTTTTACACTAATAATATTGTGTAGGATTCCGCCGAACACCAGAATCCATAGCCACTTTGTCCAGCAGCGCCACGGTATTGAAAATAGGAACTAAAAACTGTCAAAGCGGCGGGTAATGACACGCTGTTTTACATTACGGCTAGCCGTATTGAAGAACGTTTGGCGCCGAATACATTCCGGCGGATTTTCATTCAGCCGTATTCAATCCGGCTAAACGTTAATCCGCCGTATTACAAAACAGAGCTGTAATGCAAAATGCCTAGCTGTAATGTAAAACGGCGGATTATACAATCTGACTGCGACATATGCGCATTCTTCATTCGTCCATTTCAAGGCTCGATTCTGGTTACTGTGAAAAATATATTAAAATCCTACTTACGTGTAATATCGGATTCACTTTGTCTAAGAATAAGAATAAGAAATTTATTTGTATGTATTATGTTGTATGTCTTTTCAATATGTTTTCTTATTAATAATAAACAATTGCAGTATCTATTAATAATTCTATTTAGATGATCCCAGTTTTTAAGTACTTTTTGAACTTGAATGAACCTACCGACGTTTGTCCACGATATGGATCAACATGTTGCTTAAAATTTTTGCAAACTTAACTTTTAAAGGATTGAACTTTATGCAAATTAAAAATGTTAGGATTAAAATTTTTGCAATTTCAACATTTCAAAAGGCATTTTTGCGGCAAGCTTGTTTTAATTGATGAACCCACATGATACGATAAAAACAAAAAATACGACATTTTGCATTTGACACCCCTTAAGTTTGTGCTGTGCTTTGAACGACAAATTGAATTAGAGCGGTCTACCCCTGAGATTCAAATCATAAAACGTGTAAAGTAGTTCTATTGTGTCAAATTTAATGACTAAGATATTAGACATCTTTTAGAAATAAATACTTTTTTTTAGTTTTCGAGTTCGTATCGAAGAATCGATCACAAAATGAAGAATGTTCACTAATTATGTTTTTTAGCTTTCTGTATTCTCTGTTAAAAATAAAAAATACACGTGAAAGAATTATTTCGATACGTCAATTAGTTTCCAAGATTGAAAGGTTACATTGAGGCTTGACAAAAGTAACTGTAAAAAATGACACTTGTTAAATGCAAACTTAATTAAAGGTGAAAACATCATGCGTTAGAGACTAAAGCAACAGCAATTAGGGGTTAAAAACTGAAAATATTTAATATGGTGTAAAGAAGTCCCTATGCTTGTTCAAATCGGTGAGATTTGTCCAAGCATGTGGACTTGTATTTACGTAAACTAAGGAAAAAAATATCAACATTAACATTATTGGACCTAGACAGGGCATTGTAGGTATTGATTAAACATTCTAAGTATTTAAAGGGGAAAACAGACCTAGATTTGATTTGGAGCTCCTGGTCGCAAACAAGTTGTATCGGGATATCCTAGGCAACTTATAGGGAACGTTTAGATTAACTTTTGAGAGCAAGTTAGGGCAGTCAAAAGCACCGTTGACCAATTTGTATAAAAACGAATTGTCAAGCACACAGCGGCGTTCCTGAATAAATATTTATAGTTCCTCTATAAATATTTATTGACCTCTTTCCCAGAAATTCAAATATTTTAGTGCCATAATGCTAACTAATGGTCGCAATAAAGTAAGGAACCCTCCTTTCTTAGATTTTTTTTTATTTCAAATGTTTTAATATTTCCTTTGTTCACAGGACATGAACTTGGAGACAGCTATGTTCGTCGGAGGCGTGGATGACTCCATCGTGCTGAACAAGAATGCCGGAGTTTCGGGCGGATTCAGCGGATGCATTAAGGACGTAAGTGGTTTCAGGGAGATTCTTAGGTCGCACAGCAAGAGTTGAGGCGTATATCATTAGTTCGCTCGCCGCGCTATCGTCTTTACATCAGTGCGAGTACCGTGTTCGCACCAACTTTTGCTGAGCAACTTATTTATATTATGCCTAAGCTAAAATATTTTGGAAAGACACAAAATGGATTTTTGGACTGGTTTAAAAAAAACTACCACACAGTATTACCTATTTGCAAGGGACTCGTGATCATGAGCGAAATGGCTTCACCTGGCATGTGATAGTAATTTTATTGGGCAGTAGCAACTTAATTTATATGGGTTGACGTTATTCCAGGAAAAAGGTTTACTGCCTTAATGACGTTAATTTTAAAATTCATATCTTTAGTTACACATTTAAAGTTTAATAAAAAAAAAGGTATCAAAAGAATTCAATTCCGCTGTCCATTATCACAAACCAAATACGCGCGCCGCTTTGTCCGCCATAAGCCTGCCCGGATAACCGTATGCAATGTTCACGTGTATTTTACAGCAACACTGAACTACACTCGGCGTCAAAACAATCGCACCTCCCGCGACAAACACTTTTAAGCGTATGCATCTCTACTTCCCACTAATATTGGTATCATTTAAAAGCCCAGTTCTAAACATGTACATGTATTGTTAAGCAACCTGAATGTCCGTTAGTACCTGAGGATGCGCATCACAAATCCCTAGATATTAGCATGGATTTAAAATCTCCTAATAAAGCTGACTTTGATTCGATCAAAACAGGACTTAACGCTGTTAATTGGGAGGAAGTGTTCAATACCATGACTGACATTGATTCAATGACTGGTTACTTTTATACAATTTTAAACAACTTGATAGATAAATACGTACCTACTCAAAATATTTGTAATCAAAATAAACGACCGCCGTGGTTTACTACTTGCCTCTTAAAAATAGAAAAGGAAAAGCTTAGATATCATAAGAAATGGAAACTTAATAAGAACTTGCGAGACTACCAGACCTTCTCTCTTCTTCGCAAGAGATTTAAGAAGATGGAAGCAGAATGTTATAAAAAAATTATTGAACTCTCTGAGGATAATATTAAAGTCCATCCAAGGTTATTTTGGTCTTTTGTAAAATCCAAAACAGATTCTAGTTGCATTCCCGAAACTATGATATACAAGGGTAAAAATCTTACCACCGGTATTGAGATATGTGAGGCTTTTAATGATTATTTTCACTCGGTTTTCATTCCTTCCACCCATCAGAACTCGGATCAGAACTCTGATCATACTATCTGTGATTCAGGCAATTCAGTCGTGGACATAAATTCAATCAATATTTATCACGATAATGTTTTTAAAGAATTAAAACACGTAAATGTTCACAAAGGTGCAGGTCCTGATGGAATCCATCCTTTTCTCATTTCTGTATGTGCCAAAGAACTCGCTACCCCCATCACATTCTTATTTCATTTCTCTATCCAAACTGGGATATTTCCCAGTTTATGGAAAGAGTCTTTAGTTTCTCCCATCCCAAAAAATAAAAGACGTGAATGTATAGAAGAATACAGACCAATATCAAAACTTTGTATCTTCGGAAAACTTTTAGAAAAGATAGTAACTGCTCAAATGTCGTGCTCGTTTCGTAACTACATTTCTCAGGAACAACACGGTTTCTTTAAGTGCCGTAGCGTTGACACTAACATGGTAACTTTTAATGACTTTCTGTCGTGTGCCATGGATGAAAACATACAGGTGGATGCCGTGTACACCGACTTTTCCAAAGCATTTGATAAAATAAACCACGATTTGCTTATAATGAAGCTTGCTAGAGCCGGTGTGCATGGCAACCTCCTTAGATGGATTCAATCCTACATAAGTAATAGAAGTCAAGCAGTCTTCGTAAAGGGTTATTCCTCACGATTTCTTCCAGTGCCTTCTGGTGTGCCCCAGGGTTCCCATATTGGGCCCTTGCTGTTTTCAGTTTACATAAATGACATTGGCAATATCCTGAAAAATAGTCACCATTTATTGTATGCTGATGACACTAAGCTGTACCGAATCATCAGATCAATTAGTGATTGCCACAAACTCCAAGAAGATTTACTTCGGCTACAAGCATACTGTGAGTCCAACCATCTGTTCCTTAACAGTGATAAATGCTGCACAATATCATATACTCGCAAAAAAAATTATATCTCTTACAGCTACCATATAAATCAGAAGACTCTAAAAAGAGTTACCACGATCAGAGATTTGGGCATAATTATGGATTCGACCTTATCGTTCATCCCACATATTGATCACATACTAGCTTCAGCCTTCAGAAATCTAGGTTTCATACTACGAATAAGTAAACCCTTCAAACGCCCCGAAACTCTCAAAATTCTATATTTCTCTTTTGTCAGATCTTTCCTTGATTTTTGTAGCACTGTGTGGAGCCCCTGTTATAGAGCACACATCCGTCCTTTTTAATAGTTTAGCTAGTGAATAGCTTTCCAATCTGTCACTATCTTTGTGTTCCTCATTTATTTTATTTTTCTGTTTTATTTTATTTTGTTTCCGACTGACAGCATGTCGGACCTATATCTGCATATATTTTAGTTGCAAAAAGTAACTATTACAACTACATAAGATTCCATAGTGGTTGGCTCGATATGCTGTTGTCTGTGCACTAGGTTTTGGCTTGTTGTTAAAATTTTTGTCCTAAGAGTGGCTCATTTGTAACCAATATTGTAATAGCTATAAATAGGCACTAATTTGGTCTTTAATCATATTCATCTTTACTATAGTACTATTGATTGTACATGACTGAATTTTGCCTTAAATAAATTAAAAAAAAAATTCATTAAAGGAAAGGTTGGTACCCCAAAAATATGTCTTTACAAGGAGCCAGTGTTGCTTCTTAAAGCGACAGATAGTTACGCTTGAGCCAACTTGTATGGCTATAAAGCTGTTAAATTGGGATTGATCGCTATCCATCTGTTAACGAGGACACGTGAGATCATTATTTGGTTTTATAACGACAAAAATTGGTCCCAGAGGTGAGGGGGCAACATTAGCTTTTTATGTTAAAAATAATCGTTTATTAAAAAATATCTTCCGGCCGGAAGACGTAGCGTGGGCAGGCCTCCCTCTAGGTGGACCGACGATCTAGTGTAGGTCGCGGGAGGTGCCTGGATGCGAGCGGCGCAGGATCGGTCTTCGAGGAAATCCTTGGAGGATTTGTCCAGCAGTGGACGTCTTTCGGCTGAAACGAACGAACGATTAATAACACCAATATTGGTGGAGCAACATGTTTATGCCTTATCTTTAAAGTTGTTGTCCCGGGAGGTGCGATTTTTTTATGCCGAGTGTATATGCACCACTAACTAAGAGTTCCATTAAATCAAAGTATTGAATTACATTCAGCCCTTGGTACCATTTTATTTTATTCGCTGCCAACGTTTGTGGCAGATTTTACTGGATGATGGTAGTCGTCCGCCGAAAAGCTAGTTATAGACATGACCAATCACCACATATCGCGAACAAAATCGAGTACGTTCTCCAAACATTTTCGGTTTAAAACATTTCAACGCAAAGTGAATAATTTATACATAGTATCATGCTTAATTAAAATATTGGTTTCGGAATGCTTGTTATTTAAGTTAAAATGCACTCTTTGAAATTCACCTGTTGTTAAATTACTTATATTATTTATTAGTCATGGAGTAGTGGTTGTACGGTCAGCCGCAAAGTGCGCCGTCATTTTGCGTAAGAGTACGAATTCTTAAGATTTATGCTTTATTTGTAATCCTACTTAGTACTTTATTTCTTTAGTTTGCTAAGGGGTCATCCATAAAGTACGTCACACGTAAAGAGGGGGGGAGGGGGTTGACAAAATGTGACATGGTGTGACAAGGGGTGGGAGGGGTCCTAAGTTTCGTGACATCACATTTCAATTGTTTTAAATATTTTATGTAAAGTTGATTTCATAAAAAAAATTACTTAATTTAAATGGAAATAAAACTAATTTCGGAACTGCTGTTAATTTAATAATTTTTCAATGTGAAATTGCAAAACATGTGACGTCACACTAGGGAGGGGGGGGGTCTCAGAAATGTGACCACCTGTGACAAGGACGGAGGGGGGGTCAAAAAATCACGAAATTCGTGTGACGTACTTTATGGATGGCCCCTAATTACTTTTGAAAAACAAAACAAGACATTTTACAAGCTTTTATTAGGTACGCAGACGATATTTTTTGCCAGCCGTACCTACTCCGACTCTATCAGCGCAGTTGGTAAACGTTTTTTTCGCGAAACCCTCTAGCTACTTATTATATTTAGTTATAGAATTTATCAACCTATGGTTCTTCTGTTATAACTGAAATTAGCTGATGAATGAAATTACTCATTATAATTTTGCTCTAAAAGGGAAAATGGCTACTAGTACCGAGGAGTTATCTTAAAAATTACCTGGAATATGCCCATCCTAATTATAAATTGTAAAATAAGTGTGGAATTATTAAATCAATTAGGATGAAATTAGGTTGCCGTAGAGAGTTTGAGTCATAGTTTTAGGGGTGGGAACATGGTAATAAAGATTATTCAAATTATTTACATAGAGTATTATTTTCAGGTCATGGTATACGGAGACGCTGTAGACATCGTGGGATCTTCCATCCAGTCGGCGAACGTGCAAGAGTGTGGCAAATACGACCGCGGCGACATACCCGAGGTGAGCTCAGTGTGTCAAATGTGTGGGCTAAGTGGTTTTGTGCTTAATTAAGCCTAGTAAGTTTATCCCCCAATACATTGCATCTTATAGTCCCTCACATCTTATATTGCAGTGACAGACCGAAATTCACGGGGGTGAAACCACAGACAAATACTAGTGTCGAAATAAAAAGATTATACTTATTATTGCCATAAAATTGATAAAATACTTCGAATGAAATTCGCACATCATGGTGATTACCTTTCATTAGACAAATATTTGTACAACCTTTCAATGCAACTATCTATTGTGCTTAATTTATAAACTCCCAATATTCCACAAATATTTACAATTGTACATAGTTCTGGTTTCAGAGCGAGCTAATTAAATCACTCGTGTGTAATAAGCTGAAAATGAGCTTAAATTGAGTTCATAAATACATTGTTCCAACAAGCCCTCAACAGAGTAGAGTTTATCTTATTAGGCCGCGTTAATAGAAACCGGCAAATTTAAACAAGTCTAATTACATTGACAGCTAGCTATGTTTGTTACGAGTGATATAAGTAAACCAATTTATTGATTGCAAAGCGAAGTAATGTTGAGGCGCCGACTACAGGCATTATAGGATATTAAGTGTAATAGAATAGAACCACCGCCACTCTTCCCATTGTTGCTATAGAATAGAAGAAATCTAATAAACAAATATGCGATCACGACCAGCCTTTTGATCATAGGAGTTTAGGCCATTTCCTACATCTGCTTTTGGTAAATTAGAGAGGGACAAAGTCTGAAGGTGCATGTAAAGCCTGGTCCGTGAGCACGTAGAATCCCGTCCAATGACCCCAAGCTTCCCACCCCTATCGCTCGCGCGTAATTATGTTGCTGTCGCGGTCGCACACTCACTGCGGGCGCCTGTCGCACAGTCGCGACATTGGACGGGATTCTACGTGATCACGGACCAGGCTTTAGTAAGGGCCACTTTTTAAAGATCAATCTCATCAACAGGCCGAAACCATCTGCTCGCAATGCCGCAACGGCGGGGAATGTACGGAAGACGGCACGGGCTGCGTCTGCCCTTACGGCTGGACGGGCCAGCTGTGCGAGACGCGGGTCCCGCCGCCGGCCCGGCGCCCGCCCGGCGACCCGTGCGCGCTGGGCCCGTGCCGCAACGGAGGCAGCTGCAAGAGGAACTACTCCAACAGGATGAACTACACCTGCGACTGCCCGCTCGGCTTCGCCGGCAACAACTGCCAGATGCGTGAGTACATGCTGCTTGTTAAGCAGCCCCGAGACGAACAATTGCGATTGTCAATGTATTTACGTCCCAACTGACGGAAACTATTGTCAATTGCTCAGCGAAACGATCAATATTAACTTCAATGGCACCTGTCAATTGGGCTTCGATTAAAATTATCATCAATTTGCTTCAATCACGTAAATTCAATTGACAATCGCTTCAATGCCTTTTGTAAACGATCAATGTCAATTGACAATCACGTAGAATTGACAATCGCGATTGATCGTCTCGGGGCCACTTAACACTTGGTTCGTTCAGCTAAATGACGTCCATTTCTGGACAAAGGCCTCCCCCAAGGATTTGCACAAATACCGGTCCTGCACCGCCCGCATCCAGGCACCTTCCGCAACCCTCACCAGATCGTTGGTCCACCTAGTGACCCACGTTACGTCTTCGGGCCCGTGGTCGCCATTTGAAAACTTTTCCTACCTACTAGCTATGTGCCCCGTCCACTGCAATTTGTAATACCTAATTTAAATTAGATATAAATATCCTATAAATAGTCTATAATTTCAATCAAAAATACAGTTTCAAACTACGTATATTTACAACATGAAACTCTGTATTCAAAAGCTCACAATATCGTATTCATTTCGCGCGCCTGAACCGATGCGTCGGCTAGTGTCCACAATCAAATTAGTGTGTGACGGTACCGGGCTCAATTAAAATGATATTACAACAATTTCAGCGAACCTTTCACACCGATTTTACACACATTTTATATCAATTTTTGAATATCGCTTTTCAATTTGTGCTTTAACGAACTACGAGTATAATCCTTAAAATATGTCTACATCCAACATTTATCTCGACTTGAGTGAGGCTATCCGAATTTGGCTGTAAGTTGTTATATGTATCTCAAACAAATCCAGATTTGTAAAAAGTTACAGTACCTAAAGGATTTATTGCCCATTCACTTAAATGAACTTGACCAAATCGTCCGGTTCTGAATAGTCGCTAGCCCGTGAGCGAGCGAACTGGGACGCGTTTTGGGGGGTGCTACTCGCTTGTCAAAACGGAAAAATAAACGATTTAGTAACCTACTCGACTAAATTTTTAAAGTTCGGACACGTTTAGCTATTAAATTACTCGCCACATGACTAGTGCGAACAAGACTCAAGCGATGCAACAAGCCGAACAGAAGCGAGTATGGGTGGAATCCAGCAGCTCTTTAAACGCAGCTATTTACTTTTCGGGCAGTTGGTTCTGCCCAAACGATGCGGCGGTCAGGCCGCGAGCCACGGAGTTCCGGCTGGCTGGCTCAATCAACTGTTGAAATGTGATCGCTGCCGATGCGATTGATTTGTACTCTTGTACTCGTAAAACAGAAGTAATCAGTATTCAGTGATAGTATTTGTATTATTACATTGTCTTTTGTGATTAAGAGTCACTTTAACTAGTAAAGAATACAAGATGTGTTTTATTTCGGGTCGAGAGAGCACAAAATTATTGATTGGATTTGATAGTATCTTAATGATATAATACATTTATATCTAACCTTACCTTTGATTCTCATTTTTAAATCTGCGTTACACGGTAAATAACTAATGTATATTGAAAAATATAACTTCATCCCTCTAATCGACGAAGCCCCTTAGTAGTGAAAGATCTTTTTTCACTGACCGGCTGGCTGAAAAATTTCCACGTGTTCCACAAACTGGCAGTCAATATTACAAAGTAACTTTTCGTAGATGAGAATTTTAACTAATTCTACAGAGAAATAGAGTATTCAAGATTAAGAACTTTGTTCCGAGAATAACATTAATGGTTAAAATCGTACCTTTATTTTTGACAATTTTACCCCGAATCGTTATCTTGTAAACATAATTATAGTCAGTGGAGGTTTGTTTGCTACGCGTTAATGGCGAAATTTTCTTGTTTCATTTTTGAGGCTTTTTTGTCTTAATCTCTTACGTAATAAAAGTTCGTTATTATGAATTCATCTTTTAGATTTGATAAATATACATATTATATGTATTATGTGTGAATGACGTTACATTATAAAACTACCTCATTACAAACTAATCCATTAGAAATATAAAATTGAAAAATACTATTTTCTATCCTAACATCCACTCAATAAAATTACTTTTTTTACAATAGAAAATTGAAATTTGAAATGGTAAAAATTCGCTTTTAACCGCCTTTATCAAATAAGTAAGTGCCAGAGAAAGGGCGGCACATTCAGTTTTGAGGTACCTATAATAGATTTTTCGAAAGCACACTTGAAACACACGTGGAAAATGAAATAGGAGAAGCCATTGGGAGCAAAAAATATTTTTATTATTCTACGAAACAGGCAACGTTTGCGGGAATTAAGAGACAACGGCTATGAACTTTTAGTTCCAAGTATTCGTTATCGTTCGAGCTTTATCCTGAATGGAGTGAGCTGTAAATCCTGGATGTTGTCTAGAATAAACTAATTGAGCCAGGAATACTGATATATTATTGAACTACTTAGTAAGAGTATTAAGCTATAAAGAGATTAAAATGTTGATGCGAAATATTCAAGAAAACAAAAAAGTGAGCATTGTTATTTTTCAAGGAAGTTTTTGTTCTTACGATAATAACATTAAATTAGAACAAATCCCTTTTCATAAACTCGATAAAATCGAAACGAACAAGGAAAAGCTTTAAACATAGGGCCTTATCACAAAAATGTTAAATACGCGTTGCCGCGTTGTTTAAAATGATATTTCCGTACTTACTACTCAAATGTCAATAAAATAGTGTTCAACGCGCGTTTCATGTTTTGAAATGTATTTTTTTAGCCGTGACAGGATGAAAGATCTCGTCGGGATCACAAAAACAGAAATTGTATACCCATCAAGTGAAGATGCAGACAGCGCGATGGGGGCCTTAGTTTATCAAATAAATAGGAAACTGTGCATGAAATTCATATCAGAGCCGGTGGTTCGCATTCTAAATGGACTTAATCCGGCAAGGGGAGTCCGCGCAAAGTTCGCCGGGAGCGGTTTCTAGGAATGCACAAATGAACCATTTGTCGGTACCGAATCACATATTAATTATACGAGTATGTAGTTACATCGGGCCGGCCTGCACACAGGAGCTTAATTACGCGCGTACAATTTCATTTCGAGATCCGATTTATTGAAACGCGATGTCGTTTATGAGCTCCGACTATAATGTACTAAATCACACACAGTTATAGAGTAATGTTTACTCTCATTTGTGTTGTTTTCTACTTAGCCTCATCATTGAGACTAACTTTATAAAATTCCCATGCTTATTTCTTTTAAACTGAAAGGCGAGTTTTAGTCAAATAATAAATACTACATAATCTAAATTAATATTACAAAGAGAAAAAGATTGTATTGTTTGTATTGAGCATCCGAAACTACATTATCGCTGATGAAGATAGGCGGTACGAAGTTCGCCGGGTCAGCTAGTTTGATAAAGACAAGTTAGACAAAAACTTATCATAAAATGTTCTTGCAGCCCTCGAGCTCCGCGAGAAAGTTGGCTTCAACGGGAACGGATACATAGAACTGCCAGCAAGCGAGTTACGCTACGATGCCTTGTACTTGGAGCCTGCGGTGATCGCCATGGCGTTCCACGCTAACAGCGACGGTGTTCTGCTCTACCAACATGAGGTGCAAGCCCCATACACCAACGGAGACTTCATCTTGATTCGAAGTAAGTATTCTTATTTTCTCCATATGACCTGTGGCTGACTGGTAGAGAATGCCACCCGGCATTAAGTCCACCGCAGTACAATAAGTGCAAAAAGTTTAAATAAGTAGGTTCTATTTAAGCGGCTTAGATAGCTTGTAAACACTAGTGAAGCCGGTAATTTACTTGTCGATAGTCTCTCGGTTCGGTACTGACCGCATGAAGATCATTTTTATTTATCGTCAGAATGTAGCCAACATAGTTACAGTGTTATTTTACGCATATTAATAGTAAAGATTTTCAAAATTCATCACAAATAGTCACTAATAAATTAGGAAAGCCGAGCTTACAGCCGCAGGCAAACAATATCAAATTGGATACAAATATTCCAAGCACCGCGTCGGTAAAATAGCTAGGTATTGACAATGGTGTAGATCCATACACAAATCCTTACTGTGTGGCGCGCTTCATTTATTAAAATAGGCGTTGAGGTTTTTTTGGTATTCAATTTTTGCGATGAAATTAAAATGAACTTAAAGGTTCATAATATAAATAAATAAATATGAAATTATTTTTTTCACTACTAGTATCTAATATTATTAACACTTATAGTGTAATACTTGATTTATAATATACGAGGGCGGCACTGAAAATTTCGGGAATCAAGGAAGTGAAACAACATTACTATTTAAAAATGTATTTATTGCTTTTTTAAGTATTCTCCGCGAACTTTGACACATTTTTCTATACACGAAACCAATCATTGAAGCAACCATTGCATTCGGAAGTTTGGGTCTCCAAAATGGCCTCCACAGGCTTCCACAGCTTCTTCAGGTGATGAAAATCTCTGACCACGCAATTTATTCTTTATTTTAGGGAAAGTATAGAAATCATTAGGGCTTAGGTCGGGGCTGTACGGCGGATGGACTAATAATTCTATGTTTTCTTGCTCTAAAAACTCTTTTGTTCAGTGCGCGGTGTGAGAACTCGCATTGTCGTGATGGAGGATGATGCGGCGGTTGCAGTTCTCTTTACGGAGTTCAGAAACGACCTGTGGCAAACAAATGCTAGCATACTAATCTGCATTAACCGTTCTTTGTCCCCCAAGAGGAATAGTCGCAACATGGCCGGTTTTGGAGACAAACGTGGCCACCATTTTTTTTGCAACACTCCGTGAACGAACAATTTTTGTTGGCTTTAATTCATTTTCGAACACCCAAACTCGTGACTGGTTTTTTGTTTCGGGTTCGTACGCGTATATCCATGATTCGTCACCTGATACGATGTTGTATACAGCATTTGAGGATCCTGCATGTAATCTCCCGAGAGTTCTGACGCACCAAGTAACGCGAGCCGCTTTTTGCTCTTCACAGAGCGAATGCGGTATCCATCGGGAAAACAACTTTTTTACACCTAATTGTTCATGCAAGATTATTTGTATTTGACTCATGCCAATGTCTAAAGTTGCCTGAATTTCGCGGTATATCACATGTCGATCTTCTTCAATCAGCTTACGCACAGCATCAACGTTTTCTTAGGTGACTGCAGTTTTTGGACGACCTTGACGGGGATCATCACTGAGCTTGACACGTCCATGTTGAAATTCAGGAAACCAGCGATAAATTGTGGTTTTGGATGGGGCTTCATTACCAAATGCAGAAATCATCCGGTCAACACACTGTTTTTGTGTTAAACCACTTCAAAAGTCATAATAAATCATCGCTCTTGAATTTTCTTAAGTCAATTCCATTTTCTCAACGACTAAACAAGTTTGACAAGATCTTGTGATACGACCGAGAATCTTTTTTTAAATAAATAAATGGTATACGATTTTTAAAACCCTGGAGTTTGCAATGAAATAGATTTTAATATGACTGGAACAGTGGAAATATTCCATTCCCGATACTTTTAGTGCAGCCCTCGTAACTACCTTAAGTACTTATAATATAAAAATATATTTCATATAAACTGACATACCTCCTAACCTATCGATAGAGAGGCAACACTTCACGATTTCTCTCAGCACTGACACAAGAGAAGAAATCGTTCATCCAAGTCCGCCTCTTTTCAAAGCGCTTACACGTTAATAAATAATACCCTACGAAGTGTGAACTAGACATTTAGTTCCACGCAATTTTGTATTCGTTGTCCTTCTAATGACTGACAGTGACCACCCACACGTATGAAGTGGCCAGTCAGAAATTATTTGTGGTATAATGCATTCAGCATATTCATGCGTTAGCTCTTAAATGAGCAACTTAAAAAGGTCTGGAGTTTGCAAGGGTCGCGTATCCGTTTTGTCCGATTACAATATAGCGGACTGTACTGTAACTGACACTAACTGACAACTGTTGTCAACAGTTGAGAACGGCGTGGTGGTGATGGAGTGGAACCTCGGCGGTGGACTCTCCACTGCTTCCATTGAGAACGCCTACGTCGTCGATGGTGACAGACATTCGGTAAGTTATGAAAAAAAAAATAAAAAAAAAACAGACAGCCACCTACCATTACTGAACAAATCAGTTTCCACACCAAATAATATTTAAAAAAAAATACAGTAAAATCACCAAGTGCACTCAAACATACAAGTTGAAAATAATAAATTAAATTCTCTCGGAGCCAGTCTCACGACATACTTCGGGATTTAATCCTTTGCCCACTAAAGTCAGATTTGAAAATTCAACAAAGACGTTTTGTCGACTCTGCGCGCGTTATCAAGTTTAGTATAATTGTTTGAGTACAAGTATTTTAGTTTTCATCAAATATATTAATAGTTTTTATTTAATTTGCACTGCACAGACTTGTGTTTGCCATCCTCATGCACTCAGTCACTCAACTTTGTCTCCCAGAATGGGTAATCCAAATACCGGGTAGACGATTCAAGGAAACTTTCAGGCAAAAGGATGGGACTAATTGGCTTAGATATAAGCTTAGAATATTCTACATCTAAAGGAAAGCAAAGCTTATATTACTATGAATAAAAACCATACTGATCAATAGACGCACTGGGTGTATAAGTGGGTGAAATGTTATTCACAAAGACTATATTTATTCCAAGCACTTTCAGGGCTTACAAATAATTATGTATTTTTCCAATAAAAATATAAATATTCCGATACTCAAACTATATCGGCTCAGACAACACCTACGTTTAGAATTTAGATCGTCTTCTCCAAAAAAATAACAAATAGGTATTATGTAATATGTTTGATGAAAAAGATCTTGCTTGTTTGTTGATGAAAAGAATAAGTACCTAATATTTTGTAAGAGGATAATATTTTTAGTGTCTTTGATAAACATATTAAAACAGCAGCAACTATCAAGTGCTGTTGAATCATCGTCGATTTCGCGGAACGCAGCGTGCATAGATAGATACTAACAGTAACTACCGAGTGGTTTACATGGTTCGGACAGAGCTAGAGGGGAAAATTTTAGTCCGCTTGTTTGATGTGCGGATTGCTTTTGAGAGACATTTACAACGAAAACTTGAGCCCTTCCTTATAAAGTGATCAAATCCTTATACATCTTGGCCATACATAAATAAATAGACACATAAAATATGCTTATTATTACTGTGTTATATTGTAATTTTTTCCGTACAGCTGATCGCGAAACTCTATGAAGACGCCTCCGTCCAGCTGACTGTTGATGGCACAACAAGGAACTCCACCAGTACTGGCTTCACGAAACTTATGAACGCTGACTCCAACATTTATGTCGGTAAGTACAATTTTCCACTTGTTACGTCCTGGAATGGTGGCCATGTAAGTAGATACTGGCAAGCGCAACGTAGGACAGATGACAGGTAGCAGGAAAGCGCTGGATGCAGGCCGCTACCAACCGCAGTCAGCCTATGTCTAGCAGTGGACGTCCTGTGGCTGAAACGATAATGACGATGAAATTCAGCACCAAACAATAAAATGGATGAATTTTAGGACTACACAAATTCAAACAATACCGCATCGTCATTGGTCATAATGTGAGTAAACTTTTCGATGAAACTGTACCGCATCCACATTTTATTTCTGCACATGTCGTAGGGGAGCGAGGGGCTTGTTGTAACAGGGATAAGTAGTAACAGGCTCTTTTCACTAGGATCTTGAACGCAATTGACGTATGTCTTTGACTCGATTTAACCTATAAACCGCGCCGCATCATGTTGCCATAGCTAGTGTCCCACCGGCCGGCTCAGTTAGCGGAAGTGTGCACGTGCTTCATTTTTGCCAGGTAATATAAAATTGTACTGTCGTAAAATTTCGGTTTGCTTTATTATTACTGACTAATTTCAAATGTTCTATATCTTATTTCCATTCCAATTTATCTATCTCTGATAATGTGTAACAGTTTTTATGATTGCTAAATTTTATAAATAGTTATCTTGATAAATGTTAAAAATCATACCATGGGGTTAGTTGTAACAAAATGCGGGGGCTTGTTGTAACATGTTACAATAACAAGTAAACAAGTAGTGTTTAACTAAATAAGACTGCTTATTACTTAATTTTTAGGTGTTGCTTACTAAAAAAGTGTATCTTCATTTTAGTTATTTAAATTTTCAATTAAAAAAGTGTATCTTCATTTTAGTTATTTTAATTTTCATACAAATCGGATTTTATAAAATTTATATTGTGTGAAAATTAAAAAAATTAAAATGATGATATCAAATTTCTGACTTCACCATACCATTTATATGCCCATGTTAACATGGGCTAGTGTCGGCTCATAAACCCATTTACCTAACACCCTGTATAATACTTACTTTTAAAAGATGTGAATTTTATTAAAAAACAAGCAAAGAATAAATGATTAAAGGTATTATTGTCGTTTTTTTTGGCGTTACTACTTGCCCCGGTAGATGTTACAACTTGCCCCAAGCACGAGGTAAGTTGTAACACCGCACTTCTTCTAGAAAATAATTGATTGTAAAATAATGACCAATATTTATGGTATTATTTTTACTTGATTTGGTACAGGAAGAGTTACAGCATCCATCCATCTTTATTTAGTAGACATTTAATCAATAGATCTCAAGATATATTAGTTTTAATAAAAACTGTTACAACAAGCCCCTCGCTCCCCTACCCCACATGTGTACGTATTAGTGTAAATATCATGGACAAGCAAGGCTTTTAGTGAAAACCGTCTGTAAATAGACGGCCAATTGCCTGAAGATGACATTGCTTTTTCCAATTTATGGTTAGGGCACGTTACTATTAAAAATTGGTCAATATTTTAAGAAAAAAACCAACCAAAATTATGAATTATAGCTGTAGGTACGAACGTCGCAACTAATTCAAACATCTCTGCGCACATTAGGTTTCAAATGGGATATCCAAAGCTATGTATTGACAAACCTTAATTAGGATGGAACGTAAGGGTGCTGCACATCCAACTGGATGCTTAACGGGATTGTCAGCCGGGTCTTATAGAGCGACATGCATTTCCGATTCGATTATTGATCCTCAAATGTAACTGATCTAATTATTGGGACTGCACCGTGCAGAGCAGTATTAGCAAATCATATTACCGACACGTGACTAACGGCCCGATCTCTATCATTTACTTACAGTGCAATTGATTTCATTACTACAATTTCAAATCAGTTTTATTTTTTAATGAAAAGCATCTGTGCTGAAAGACATCCCTTCACAGTGTCAAGGTTAAATGGAGAATACTTTTGAAATAAAATCGGGTCAATCTTTTACATACTTAGTAAGTGTACGGATGGAACTCGTTCTAGCTCAATCACGTACGGGCAAATCGTAAAGGAATCACGTGGTGGTACCACAATAACTTGAGCTGTTTGTTTAAATCAGTCAACAATTATTATACAAAAAAACAATATTTTTTAACTAGGTACCTACATATTCATCTATTCATAGGGTCACCAACAAAGCAGCCGACTAGACGCGCGCTAATTCGCGTTACATTATACTAAAAACAACATCACACGTTTCACACAACTCGACTCTACATAAGCTGATTGCTTCGTCAGCTTTTCAATTACTACTCAAAATTTGCAACCCTAGTACACCATTACGGACTCTATCGGGCACCGCAAAATTACAAAGAGCAGCTTATATTATAAGCCTGGTAGGGTAACCCTTGTTGCAACCGGTCGCATATTTGCTGTTCCTATACGTTGGCGCCGCAACGGGCGAGTGCATTAACAAAATTCCGTTCAAAACACACCGCGGCAGCGTTCGCCTCGTCGGGCATTCATCGTGTTGGTTCACCTATAGCAATCTATTCGCAGTTATCTTTCATTATGAGTTCCGCAAAATTGAGCAGGCATAATTATTGTTCATTACCGCTTTAAGTTGCAATACAGCAGAATACATGTCAGGTCTTGTTTGAGCGTAAATAATATTAAGCGGATGAGCTGATTTCTAGAATTACCCATTTCTGAGGAGGTCTGTAAATACGGCTCCGGCTGTATGTTATCTTCCTTTGACAAACGCGAATACATGGCAATAGGTAAGATCGCTGATGTGTGATACTCAGAATCAGATCTAATACCCGATAGGTGATAAAAGCCAGGCTACGTGTTCTCTGGAATTATTAATATTGGCTTTAGTTAGCTTACCAGTTCTTGCTGCGCACAAACAAACAAAGGAGATTTTACAAAGGTGTCCGGCAACGTCACGTGACAAACGTGGACAATATGTACCTAGATAAAGCCAGTAAGATGTGACTGAGTATTGTATGAAACAAACAACCCCTGAAAGCTATTACTATCGGCTCCGCGACTTTAGTCTGGTTCGTTGTGGTCGTCGTTTCAGCCAAATGACGTCCACTGCTGGACAAAGGCCTCCCCCAAGGTTTTCCACAATGAACGGTCCTGCGCTGCCCGCATACTGGCTCTTCCCGGTTATAAAAATCAGTTTCTTTAAAAACTTATCGTACCATGTCTTACTTTTTTAAAATTCAAATTCAAAATTATGTTGTGCTTTCTAAGTGATAATTGTAAGACCTTTGATTAGTAATTTCCTCGTTCCTGACTTAACCTATTTGTTTCCGCTTTAGGCTAACGAACTGATATAATAAGAAGGTTAGGTAATAATTAAAAAATCCATGAGATCTTTTTTAAGACCTTGTCTTTTGATTAGGTAAATGTCAATTTTCCTATAAGCATCCATTTAATATTATTTTAGAAGTAGACGACGCGACGACTAAAACTGCCCGTGTGTTTCCCCCGAACCTTTGGTAACAACAACGGTCGAACAAAGCTTTTGTGTTCGTACATCAAATACAATTCGGTTTACAAAGGCAGTCTACATCTAAAATTGTAAGGTATTGTACCTAATAATAATAATATTGATTTATCTTGATGTGAATGATATGTCTGATAGGTTATGGAAGATTAAGGAATAGGTAGGAATAGAACCTAAGTAGCTATATTTGAACTTTAAAATTCAAACCAAAAACATCTCTGGAATTTTAAAAAGTTCATATTATTTTCGCCTAAATTACATTCTTAATTGTACCATGAATTTCAGTAGATTTTAACTTTTGACAACCCTTTAAAGAAATGTATTTTAGTGCCTAATTTGTATTGCACAATTTACTTGGTAATAATCCCGTTTACCCCTCGTACTAAGCTAAATATGTTTGTAATTACGAGCGGGTTCACCACCACTATGGTCGAGCGGCGCGGCGGGGTTCGAATGCGAGTTCCTCGGATATCGAGTCAGCCAGTCTGACATCTACATTAAAACTGTTTTCAGTTAGCTGACTCAAGGTGGATTTCTTTAGCTCATACATTGTTACAGGTGGCATCCCCGACAGACTGAACGTAAACCATTACCCGGGGCTGACCGGGTGCGTCGAGCAAATCGAACTTATGAACTCCGAACGCGGCATCAACTTGGGCCGCACCGCCGTCGCCGGGCGAAACACTCAACGGTGCAGAAAGTGAGTATACAGCCCAGTGTTGCCAACTCGGATTTTGAAAAAGTCGTAGGACAGATTAGAAAATTACGTAGAAATGGTACAATTTCCATATAGAAAATACGTAGATCTACGTACTTTTTTTTCTGAGTCAAATGAAGAGAGTAGGGGTAGGTAAAAGTAATAAAACGACAATTTATATTACCCTAAAAGTAGTAAAGTACACTTTTATTGTGTATCATTTTCAGACAAATTAAATTTATACATAATTATATTTGTTGGAAAGAAGGAAGGAAGTTGAAAAATATCGAAATACAACAACACCTTCGAAATCTAAGCACAATCTTAGTTCGAAATATTTTTATAGTGTCAGTCGTAGATAGAGAAGTGTCAGTGACATTTACAGGGGGGCGCTGTACAGCATTTTTTCTAGGGGAAATGTCAAAATAACATTAGTTCCGACTTTTGCCACATGCCAAATAACCGTGATCGGAACCATGATCGAACTTTTTTGCGAAAGTAAAGGAAACGATGCCCATTCAGCCTATTTTGCAAATTTGATAGAAAATACGTAGATTCTGGGACTAAAGTTCGTAGGTTTACAAGGATGGCATAAAATACGTAGATCTACGTAAAAATACGTAGAGTTGGCAACCCTGATACAGCCTTTACAAACGTACACCACAATATAGACAGGATCAGAAGACAGCCTACGTACAAAGTGCGCTCGGGCAATAAGCATCATTTCAATTTCTGCCCGGCCGGAATCGAACCCGGGACCTCTCAGCATAGTAGTCCGTTCTGAACCACTACACCAAAAGGCCGACAAAGATTGAGGCCTTAATGGACGAAAATTATCAAGTCATATTGTATCAAGCTAGCCTACTTTCTAACTGGCGATGGCTTGATCAATATTAATTCAATAATCACTTGCTTCAACCCTCTTTGTAATAATGTTTATTCTGTGCCTAAAATCTAAACTAACCATTAGGTCGGACACTGTTTAACTACATCCATTGCTGGGGTACATTTATTTCTAAAGCGAGACTAATAGTTTTATCGAACAGGGACACGGTACCTATTTTTGGGTGCAAAATGGAAGCGCTAAATATGAACCTATTTTACTCTTTTACTCTGTTCCTAAAACCAATAATGCAATAAGGTACATAAAACTAACCCACTGTTGTAATCTCCCAGCTGTCAATAAGTTAATGTACGAGTTTCTACAGTAATTGCAATCGCTTCACATACGCCATATAATGCAAATCTCTAACATACGTAATACTCGTATGACGTATTCATCAATGTTAGTATTGCGTCAATAATACATCCAACGGACGAATACACCTACAAACAGATTCAATGCATGAACAGATTTGACTAAGCTTCCACAGAGACATAACGCACAAATAGACGTAAAGGCTATCAGCAAATGGATCCGTGCACAACCCTAGGAATGGCCTGTGTGTAAAATCAAAATCAAAATAATTTATTCAGTTTAGACCACAATTGCACAAGTGGCACTTATGACCGTCAAAATGTAAATAATAAAAAAAGAAAAGGTAGCCCTTATGGGGCACTTTACATGTCTCCTTATCTTTTGAGCCCTACCAGCGCTTCGAGACAAACATATGGTTACGTAACTAAATAAACAATGCATGCCTGTCGGCGGAATCGTGGACTGATAGCAACTAACTAACAAGTGCTATCAGTCCACACCTGTTTAAGACCTTATGTACAACATAGAATGCAATAAAGATTTTGAATTTGAATTTGAATTTGAACAACGTATCAATATTGTGACAACCAATAGATATATTTAAGAAGCTCTGAAGTACGTCCGAGAAATAATATTTTGCTAACAAAACGGTAATATTAATCCCAGGTGGGTGCCTAAGTTCTTACGCATGTAATTTATAAATAGGTTTTAATCTGTTTTTCTCAGCTCGATTTGTAATATAATTTTGTTTTAATATAGTTACACGGGTAGTTGCTACCTTGCTACCCACACGAATGAAGAAGAACTTAAGCCAAACAAAAACAACGGATAAAATTAGCGATTACTAACTAGGGTTTAATAAACATGGCTAAGCGTAATTAGATTAACTTGGCGGTTCTGTCTATAATATTTATTAATTACAACTCTAGTTTCTTTGTTCGACCTGATCTTCCTTGAGAATTTGGAAATAAATGGACAATAATTTACGTAATGTGATGATTGCCTCAAGACAACACAAGATCACAAGTATCATCCTAAACATCTTTAAAAAAATTGTTATCTTCGAATAGCACGATGAGTAATATTTTCACAAAAGTTATTTTTTTTGGTTCACGCCGTACGATCAGGTTGAACTCTAAAAATTTAATCGATTGATCGCAAAGCGGATCATCATTAGTTGCTTAGCAAATAATCGGGATTAATTTGTTATTGAGAGTAAAAAACATTTTTCTAAGCGTAGGTACTTCGCAGAAGGCTAGCACCGTGCTGTGGGCACTGAATAATATAATTCAAATTATCTTCACTGCAAATAAAACAATTAATTTTCCTATCTAAGTGAACTGCATATTAAATTTCATATTAAACTACTTCCGGCCTGTGTTGACAAGAAAATAAATTGAAGAAAGCTCCGTGTCTTTGTCATTTATCGGATGGTCCTTTGTAGTCTGATGGCACCTGCAATACTCTATAGCGTCTATGGCATCAAAGAACTATGTAATTATTATACATAAAGATACTTTGTATAGACAATGTAATTACGGCGACCACTAAGTGGCTCGATAGACGGACGTTTTCATTCAACTATCCCTTTAAAGAGTTCCAGTAAAAGCATATAGGGAATATGCAAGGTTATCGTATCAAAGCTAAATCGAGAACTAAAACATTTTTCAAAACATATCACAAAAATATACGTTTCCTGGTATCCATTTGCGAGTAAGTAGCTGAGTATTAAAGTGCTAAGATGATATGATGATAGAAGATATGTTCATAACTTAAGACTTGTCAATAATAAAGACGATAGCACCACCGTGCATCGTCGCATTTTCCGTGAAATCACGGTTTACCTGTACCGTGACGCTACTAAGCTTCCGTTCCCGGAAGTGGTGGGTGGTTGGTACATTGTAGATGTTACACAGACGAACAAACATAAAGCCCGACGCGAGACGACTACAGCTGGACTGTTGACGGTAGTCTATCGAGCATTGCTAAATGTATTTGTGTAACGCGCTTAGCCTTCACCACGTTTAGCTTTAAAAGATTTCTGTCATACCTGTTGTTCGTTGGTGCTTTTCTAGTAAAAATAAGTAGTACAGTAAAACGAGACAATAGTATTTATAGAAACGTAGAAAATGACTAATTTGAGTAGAACAAGAAAAACGTGATAAAACGGGAACGAGGCTCTAAAAATAATTTTTAATTTTAAGGCTCTATAAAGTAGGCACGACCTTTTAATTCTCAAAGACTTATTTTGTAATTTTGATGTCCCTCTGACTTAAAGGTATGTGAAGTTGACACAGACCAGCTTAAGATAAAATTACAAATTACAACTTTTTTGTTCATTTTATTGTGAAATACACGTGTTCTTCTAAATTTCCACATTTGCGTAGGCAGACATGATAGAAAATCAATCACCGGGTAGCGCTTTGAGAGGAGAGCTTTGTAGCGTCGGCTCGTCCATCAAGAGTATAGATATCAATGTGCCTAGAACGGATATCCTTTACCTCAGGCACTAAAGTAACTTAGTTATTTTACTCTACAAAGCTGAGAAAATGCATTAACACCGTGCGTCTTAATCACAAAACCAATTATATTCCAGTAATAAATTAAATATAGGCACAGATAGCAATATAATTATAGCCTCGCATTTAATCACAGAAATAATAAATGGATGTTAGGCAGACCATAATAATAACACACCACAGAGTTTAATTAAATATTAATGTTTAATTAATGGATATAATCATTACTAACACTAACAATGCTATTAACTTTCACGCTGCCTTGGATTCCCAGCTCCATGTTCCCTGATGTTTATCCGTTCTTCGAAGAGGTCGAGGTGTTTGAGTCCCCCCCGCCCCGCTACCACTTCAACTCCCACTCCCGACCTAACCTTAACTTGGGCCTGTTCCTGGCTCTAACGCCATCCATATATCTTGTGCACTTTTATTAGACTTAACACTATGGACTGCATGGACGTCAAAGGTGGGTAAACTTGTTTTTTTAAGCAATCACGCTGACTTCGTAGGTTTGGTGTAATCGTAATCGACGCCTGCACGATTATGTTTCTGTCATAAATATTTTACTCGTAACGATTAGTGTACTATACCTACTTTATTTAATACGCTTGAGATTGCCCTTAATCTGTTAAAATGCTGATCAATACATGCAAGCAAGTGTTGAACTATGCTGGAGCAGAAGAGCGAGCCAAAAACATAGATGTCATTGCCCGATATTTTTATTATCCTTATCGCTAAAATTATCCCGGAACTCACCATAATATATTGATTCGTCGTACATTGGAAATCAATCCAATTTCTAATATTCTATAAATATTTGCCAAAACATAGGGATGAAATACACAGCTGCGTAGGTTGAAATCTCACTTTAGACGTAGTTTCATATTAACCTACTTATCAAAATAATGTTTGTTACATAAATTAACGTATTTCTTTTTTTTCAGCTGAGGGTGTGATGACGTGGACTTCATGTAACTTCTCGTTTTAAGGTCAATATTGTGAATGTTATACATTATCTATGTTATTTAGTCTTTCAAAGTTCCAAAAAACTATGCGTCAATTGTAAAACAAAAAAATATTCATTGTATCAAAATCTCTAGTGAACTATGTGTTTTCAATTCATGTTACAAAATCTATTCGGATTGTTTTAATTTGTGAAGATTTTATTGAAAATTTACGTAGTAACTTTTAGTACTAAGGACATTTCAACATTCGACAATACGAAATAAATTTAGTAATTAAAGTTTACTGTTAAATAATTCATGTTAATGTTAATAAGATTAATGTGACCTAGGGGTGAGGCCCAGCGGACGCTGTGGCGACAGACGGTGCCATAAGATTGAATAATTGTATGTAGCTAGGCAACTATTTACTAATTATATAACAATTTTACAATTCCCTTATAGTAAGCTTGATAGCAGTTTTATGCTCTATCGGTTTATTTTTATTGACTTTTTATTTTTATTTATCGCAAGTTCCTCTTTTTGTACATTGTTGGCTATGGAAATTGAATAATTTGCACAACTCGTATGATAAAGTTATTGACATGTGCCAAAAGTTATGACTGGGTTAACATATTATTATATTTTTTACCACTGCCATTTTTGTTTGCTTTTTATTAATAGATTCTCTTCGCTACGTGAAGCAACGAATTCACTACTTTTAAGTAATTAAGATTATTATTTTTTTCGAATTCACAATTAAAATGTTTGTGAATTGTTTCTTACAACTTTGGTGGCATTTAACTTATTTTTGTAGCGCCAGTGATCGGCAATCCAGTTCTTTGTAGTTAATAATAAATAATCGAAATGTATGTGCATTAAATGTGTTTATATTTAGCTAAGCTAAGGTCACCATGTGACATTTAAGATTTCAAAGTAGATACTGTTAAAGTTGTAATGTCATGTTTTAATTCTAAAGTATGTATATCGTCACTACTTTCAACGAACCTGCCTGTAACTATGATAATAGACTATCCATGTATTGCTGCTAAGTGAACAAATAAATCTAACAATAAACGATGAAATCTTTTTGCTGTGTATTATTTATATTGATCTACCACAGTGTTCAGAGACCCGCAGTTATTGTTTAGCAATTTTATTTAATCAGTCATTTATAATGAGGATGTAATTTTTGAGAATTTAAAATTAAATTCTTCAGTAGGGTCCTGTAGGCTAAGACTCACGGCGCGAATTTCACCTGCGGCCTCCGCGGTGGTGGAATTGCGGTTTTATTTCAAAACTCACGGGACCAGTGTGCCTACCATGAGTTTACGTTAGGTGTGCTCGCTAGCGACTGCGTAAAAAAATGACATTTAAATGTATGACATATTGTGCAGCGCCCCTAGCGGCTACTTTCAAGAAATAAAATCTTCATAGAATTTTTTGACGTATTCGCTAGCGAGCTCACCTAACGTAAACTCATGGTAGGCACACTGTTATTTGCGCCGTTACGCAGCCGCCGATCATCGCCCGCCACGTTTGCGGCCGACCGACGGTTGCAAAACGGGCAGTTAACGATCAGTTGAGGTCCAGTTCGCCATGGACACACACCAGAAACGAGCTGTTGCGATATACTTACTTCACAGAAGAATTAAAAAAAGAAGACCCAAAAGGTTCTGGGTGCATTCACTGATTCAGGATAGAGATCGTTATGGATTATTTGTTACTATTATCAGTGAATTAAAGAAGGACGAAGAAAAATTCTTTATGTATTTTCGAATGTCCGTATTTAGTTATTTAGAACTTTTAAGAAAATTGGAAATATATTTTGTGTTGTATTAAAAAAAAGTAACTCACTTAGGGTCAAAAGGGCGAACTTGTATTCTTAAAATGACCTTACCTTTAGGTACACCCGCAAAGTTTGTGTAACCTTCCGCCAAACACCCTGTATACTTTACATAACCAGTTCGTATTATCAAAAACCCATTATAAATTAGTTTGAAATGTACTTACACTATAAAATTAATTAAGACCTCGCTTTCTTTTCTCACGTGCCTGCCTCAAGCGCAATACCATCCAGCGATATTAAAATTGAACTGGTTATTACTGTCATTCCATGAAAAGCCAGTTTCGCAATAAAATATATTCTAGAACTCAGTACAATACAGGGTGATTTTTGTATCAGTATCCAAATTTTCAGGATCGACTCAGAATCAGTAACTTAATTGATTTACGTAAAGAAAACAAAACTTTTTTCTCCATATTTAATTATTTTCATCCGCTGCGCGCGGTTTACAAATTGACTCACGTGGAAAATTTGCTTCGTTCATGGAAAAATACGTACCTACACACAGTTAACTGCAAAGCTTAATAGACATATTATTGGTGAGCGAAAATAAGCAATAACCTTTAAAACTTAAGATATGGGCACCCTCGGATTACTTTCAATATTTTTTTTTTGCGAAAAATACTACAATTAAAAATAATTACGATAAAATTGTATTGTCAAATTGTTCTAACGAGCTTATTAAAAAAATTTGGATACTGATAACAAAATCATCCTGTATTGCTTTTTAACAAACACTGGAAACTGATGTAATGAATGTCCATTTCACCCGAAGTCTGGAAGGCTACCTTTGTATTCGCTCCAGCTCTATTCGCGGAGAGAACTCTACATTTATTACTGAAAGTCAAAGAACTGACCATTGAATTCATATCGCAAAACAAAATAGTATTAATATTTCTGCAGGGAAATAAGAACGAAAGCCTCAAAGGACTGCACATTTCATACACAGAATTATGGTCTAGTACACATAAATATTAATATTTAGATCTTTAGTTAAGTTTATAAAAAATGAAAGTATTATACGAGTATTATGTTAATTTTTGGTTAAGATGTGGAAGATCTTATGCGTGCATATTGAGTGAAAAAATGGGGTACAGAAACATCTATCATACTCCAAATAACATACCTCGTCTTACCCCGGGGTAGGGACAAGATTGTTTTTTCGTCCTTAAATTCTAGTTTTCTTTTAAAGGCTATTAATGTGAATGTAGAATAAATGATAAATAAAAGGTTTTTTATTTAAAACTTTTCATCTATTAGTATCCAATCCATCCCCATCATGCTTGATTCAAATTAATTTATACCTAACGTTGCACTTACTGTAGGAAAAATAAGATGTGAATGGCTACTTTAAGGCAAAGAAAATACAAGGAGTTACATCGCAAAAAGAACAAATTGAAACAAAAATAATAAATTGCACAACACTATCAATGCAAACTTCTAAAACCTTTTCTTTCATTTTTGCTAACCAGCGTAATGGTTATTCGGACTCAAAAGAAAGCTCAAAATATAAATTTGAGCACGGCCGAGGATATTCAGCCCGATTCAGGCTAACCCTCGAGCTGCTGCGCCAGACTACGCACTAGCACAGAATAAGTAATAGTACAGGTACAGAAGGATTACTCCGCAAGACGATTTAAATAAATGCGAGTCTTGCTACGACGCGATAAAGTGGAATTCAGCTCGCACAGCACTACGTACCTACAATTTTATTCACCTGCAAGTTTTGTCTCTTTCTATCGCGTGCCTCTGAACTCTTCTTACGCTGTTAGGGTTGCTGTCTAGTGAAAAAATAATTAATCTACTTATTTGTAATGAGGTACGTATGTAGGTAAATACGCATTCATTATGGAAAAACCTTGGAAGAGGCCTTTGTCCAGCAGTGGACGTCATTTGGCTGAAACGAACGAACGCATTCTGAGCAGTAGTCATGGTAGGTTAGGTTCCTATACTATCCTAAGAATTATTGATTACCTAAATAAATTACCTACATGGCCAACATACCTTTCAGTATCTTTTGGAAGCGAAAAAAAGATAAATCCGGTAGATTTCTTTTCGAATTTCAACACCTGAACGCCGCACAATAATATGCCATTTTATCTTTATGTCCATTTTTAAATAATACTTCGATCATAGAATTAAGTACTACAAAGCACGCCAGCGTCCTGACGGGCTCGCGCGTGACACTCGACTGATATAATACCCGCCGGCGGGGCGCTTCGCTGTAGGTAATTATCGGATGTACCGCGCGGAGTGAGCTAGGCCGGCACTAGTCGCAACCGCGTCTGCAGCCTCCGATGCAGAATCTGTTTCAGGGCGATCATCGTGTGTTCTCAAGCCACAGTGCGATGCAGAGCGAGCGCACGCGGAATCGGACCGAGTACGTGTCGCCGAAGAGCGAGCTGAGCTGCCGAAGCGGCTCGTGAACTACATTTGCAAACAGAAATAGCTCAGATACCAACGCTAGTTCTTTTGGCTCCAGTTGCCGCATAGGTAAGCCACGTCGATGTTACGAAGTGGTTGGAAAACTCGGCACTTCCAAACTAGGGACATAATAACCTACACCCACTCCTACTGAAATTTTATTAAACGGCTAAGTTTTCTTTTTTGGATCAGTAATTTAATTCATTTCTCGATTACCAAATCAAAGCCTGGGACAGTACAAAGTTCATTGTCATTGTTTACCAAAGAACGAAAACAATGGGAATGCTACGATGGCATGATCAATAATGTTTTTAAACCAGTCGTTCACAATTACGCTTTCATAAGCCGGTTTACTAATCTTGAAATTTAATACCATTACCATTTAATAATAATACCTACCACTGAAAGCGGTTAGAAATACCTATATCTAACCGCTTTCAGTGGGGACATCATATTTTAAATAAAAAAACTAAAACCCAACTACGACAAAAAACGACACTGAAAAAGTATAAAACAAGATTTTCAGAATACTGAACTGAACAAAGTTGCTAATGTAGTTGCATAGTAATTTTCATGTTTGGAAAACCGCAGTCACACGTTGTCAAAGTGCTACGGTAGGTAGGTATATGTAACGTGTGACTACGCCTTTCCAAACATGAAAATTACTATGCAACTACATTAGCAACTTTGTTCAGTTCAGTATTCTGACAATCTTGTTTTATACTTTTTCAGTGTCGTTTTTTGTCGTAGTTGGGTTTTAGTTTTTTTACTTTTTATTATTTGTACTATTTTGGTGATAAAGTGTATTTGTGGCGCATAATATTAACAAAAGTTAAATTGATGAACTAATAAGTAGTAAAGAAGCTACGAACGAAAAGATGTGAATTATATGCAATCAGCCCATGAATACAGGTAAAGTCACAAGCAAATGCTAGTAATATATATATTCAAAATGTACAAGTAAAGCGCTTTCAAATGATACCAAACACGGCACATTTATCTTAACTTTATTTTTTTACTCTGTATGTTTTGTCCGCTAGAGGGCGCCACATTAGACTTTGTGAAACCCCATATAGCCTATAACCAGCGGACAATTAAGACGCTTTTAATGATATGTCATTTGTCGAATTCTGATAAGTAGTTTAGAAGTTACGAGGGAACACATGAACATACATACATACATACATAGCCTGTCAAAATCATAACCCTCCTTTTGCTTTGCCGTAGTCGGGTAACAAAGATATCTACTCGTAACTATTTAAGTAATTAAAAAATGTGTTTAGAATTAGGTTGGTATATTTCACAATTCAAAACTAAGGGAACCAATTTACTTGATGTGGTGCAAACTGATAGGGTGGCTTAAAGACATGGCTCGGCAGATCCAAAATAGAAAGAGATTTCTGATCACAACCACTTGCCCAATTAGCACATCTCTTCTCAACAGCGTAGTAAAGATCATTTGGTACATAGTCTTTAGGAGCCTGCATTATACCCTTGGCACTTAATGATTTGGAAATTTTACTTTGATTTTTTGCACTGTGTTCCCTCTTAGTTTTAAGTTTATTCATTAAAAGAGAATTCCAGTTTCTTCTCATGTTCTCAACTATTGATGTAGAGTTCTCCTTGGATATACTAGCTACATGGAGACTAGGATATTTTTTTCTAATACTGATAAGGATGTCCTTTCTTGCTGGTACAGCTTCGGCGTTTTGATAGACTGGCACGATTCTAAGCGGGATATTAGGATCCAATGAGCCAGTGCCAATCAGGTCTTGTCTGATGAGGACTTCAGCAGCTTCCAGCAACGGACCAGTTACAA